CCTAACCCAATCCAACACCCTGCCCCAAACCTCCACTCCATCGTGCTGCCTTTCCATATCCCTCTGGATCTTCCCCAACATCGTCACCCTTTCTTCCTCTTCAGACTCTGACGACCCGATCTCCCCTTCGCTCACACTGTTCTTCCCAAGACTATACCACCTAACCGCATCCCCCACCCTCAACTTGGCACACCGAGCATCCTTTTCAGGATGACCCTGAAAGGTCAGAATCGCGTTATTCTGGCTGACAAAAGCCTGGTTGTCAACCAACAATTCGTGAAACCCCTTTGGTGTCGTGCCAAGCGCGCGACGGTGATGCTGCTGAAGACTCAAAACCTTCTTCCCCACCTTTCCATGCGAGGTGCTGGCCCGGTGCTGCTGTTGATGATGATGGTGATGATCCCTCGAACCGAAAAACTTCTGCCCCAGCGGCGTTAGAGCCGCCTCGGTCACCCCCAGCTCGGGATGTTCCAGATCAATCACCTCGCCACCAAACAGCATCCCAATCGTCTGGTGTCCCCAGCATATCCCGCAAATTTTCTGCCGCGGGTAGTTCTTGACCGTGTCAAGAATGAACTTGTGAACCCTCAAGATCCACGCGTGCCTCTTCCTCGGGTCGGCGTTTCCGCCCCCGATGACGATCAAGTCGTAGTTGTCCCGGCTCAAATCAGGCAGGTCGTTCTCCTGCTTGTAGTTATCGGCCGGGTAGAAAAAAGAGAGTTGAGTGTCCGGGTGGTGGGTGACCTGGGAGAGGGAGCGAATGTACGAGTCCCTAATCTCGTGGATGAAGGGTGAACGGTACGAGTTGAGCAGGATGGCGAGTTTGAGAGGCCTGCTGTGGGGTACCGTCTTCACGATAGAATGGGGGGATTCTAGAATAGTCATGTTGAATAAATTTGGAATTGATGAGTTGTGTTATTGGATCATGAATAACATGTAACACACACACACACACATACCCGCGGGGTTGAACCTTGGGTGTTTTGACGTGTGTGGTGTTGCGAGTTGGGAGAGCGACTCTTTTGGGAGAAGAAAACAAGAGCCGAAAGAGAAATCAACCCCAGAAACAGTGGGGATTTGCTGCTTATATATGCATTTATTTTCGAATTCCAACACCTGCCGAAAAGGCGTTTGACAAGGGGGTGCACGGTTGGAATCGTGGATGGTTGAAGCTCAGGGGTGGTAGTGGTATTATTAGTGCGTCAGCTGATCACCCATATGGGGACCAGCCACCTGGCGCACCCGACGACACCATCTTCGAAACTCATGATATCACTGCTCCAGTTTCTCTCAATGATAAAGAGGTGATGGGACGGGCCTACATCATCAAACAATGCCTTGTTGCTCTTGACCATGTGGTTCTCTTCTTTGTTTTCTGCCCTTCCGCCCAGACTCTAGAAAAACAGGGCCAACGGTTGAACTCCACTGGCGGACAAGGTACCGCTAGACATCACTTCGAAATTGATGCTTCCCAAACACATGGAGGGCCGAACGTTACCCGACCCGAGGAATGCAACGCCAGGAAGAACGGATGAGGCCCCGTCCGGATGGCATGTCAAGAAGTGCATTTTCATATCACGGGACAAATAGCGAGGCCGCCACAGAAGTGATAGGTCGATCAATATGCATGTTCAGCTTCTCTGCGTCGGACGAAGTTGTTCCAATTGAGATGCGCACCTTCTGCGCAAGCCACGAACCAATATCACGCTCACACTATTGTCACCAAAGCAGCACTTTGAAAAGTACTTCATACCAGGCTTGTATTTCTGGGGTTGGGGGTATTGGACCATATGAATCAAGCTTGTATTTACCCCAAGCTAGCTAAGACGCCGTCCCATTTTGGTTGCCATGCATGCAGTGCACCCGACCCGAAACCCGAATGTCAAACCCAAATCAAAGACCCTTGTGACTCCCCATTGAACAAGCTCCAGTTAACGAGACCTCTAGTACTCGGCGGAGCCGGTCTGGGGGAACTCGAAGATGACACCACGGCCGGTGAGGCGCTTGTAAACCTCGGAGTAGGTGTCGAGTCTGTAGTCAACACCACCGCGCTCCTTCTCGTCAAGGATGACCTTGAGGGTCTTGGAGCCGTCCTCTTTGGTGCGGATACGCTTGCCGACGATCTCGACGGGGTAGACGAGGTCGGTCAGGATAGCATCGTGGACAGCGGTAAGAGTGCGGGAACGGGGACGCTTCTGCTTCTGGAGGTTGCGGGAGCGGGTGGAGCGCTTGGGGCGGGGGAGAATGCGGCGAGCAGCGAGGATGAGGACGTGGCGGTCGGAGAACTTCTTCTCGAGCTCACGGGTCAAGCTGGATGGCCAAGTCAGCAACAATGTTGTTGTTGACAACGGAAACATGAGAGGCAAAAACTTACCGCTGCTGGACACGGTGGAAACCCTGCAGAGAAGGAACGGGGACAAAGATGACAATAGCCTTCTTGCCGTGGCCAACCTCGATCTATTTCAGATCCAAGTCAGCATGCGAGCTCCTGGATGACAGTGCAATCCATGGACCGCTTCCCGTCCTATTCCGCGCTGTGGTATGGATGTCATTGATGTCAGGGCCAGCGGACATAGAGAGGGCCGGCGCTGGACTGGAGCGTCGCAACACTCGCCCTCGCCCGTTTTCCCATTGTGATATCAATCTCCCCAAATAGTGCGACTGCCCGACGCGCGGCGAAAATGTGTTTCGAGGTTCGCGACGTCGGTGGAACAGGATGTCCGGGTGTTTGGTTCGTCTGTCAGATCATTTGAGTTCAGTGTGGTCTCACCTCGCGAGCAGAAGTGAACTGCAGAGGGCGGAGGGCAGCCTTGAGGTCAGCAGTGTTGCTCTCGAGGTCGTAGAGAGCGCCAGCGATGGCCTGCTCAAGCTCAGAGGGCTTGGAGTGCGAAGGGCTGTTAGCCGCGATCTTGCTGAGCTGAGGGGTAGACATTTTGGCCGTTGTCGTCGATGGTCGGGTTCCGGAGAAGTCTCGAGATGGGCTCGCTGCGAGGTTGTCAAAGTGGTTGATGGAAAATGGATTGGCCAGGCCTTGGCGGATAGGGTTTGAAAGCCCTGGAGAATTTTCGGTGGGCCTGACTGGCAATAATAGCAGGCGGTGAACTGTCTGTTGCCCCACCATGGATTCTGCCAGGCAGATGGCCAGAGCTCGAAGCTTGGACCACCCGTCAGCTGCAATCCCCACAACATCCCCAATCACCTTTTCAGGGGCAGACATCACCGAGTGTCGATACCTAAAGTAACAATGGCCGCCTCAACTCAGTCAACGGCCCCTGCGCCTAAAGCTCAAAAGAAGGGCGGGTTTTCACTTCCTTTTCTCTACCGATTCTTTTTCCTCCTTGTCGAACCCATCTCGGCGCTCGTTGGCGCATATTTTGCCCTCTTCGACCAAGAGACCTACCTCAGGCTCACTCACGCCGCCTCTGCCGCTTCGCCGATCCCGACAAGCACATCGATTGTACTGTCTCAGCTTGGGAACCTGTATTTCTTCTTTGCTATCAACGAAGCTCTTGTGCTCAGAGCTACATCTGATATCGTCGTGTGGAGGACCGTCCTTTTCTGCCTTCTCGTTGGCGACCTCGGCCACCTGTATACGGTCAAGCAGCTGGGCGTGCAAATCTACTGGGACATCTTCAACTGGAACGCCATTGATATTGGGAACATTCCGTTTGTGTGTCTTGGTGCAACCATGAGAATTGCGTTCTTGGCCGGCATTGGTTTCTCGTCGACGAAAGGGACGAAATCAGTGAAGGCAGCATAACTGCACGACCATGGAAGACGCGGCAAAGCATCAGGAGCCCCAAAATGATACCCCATTGTCAGATCGCAAGCGAAGCGCAGGACTCTTGGCCCGTTGGTCTTCCATGTGCCCTGAGTGCTGTCCATCTTTGCGTCTTTCAAGATCGACAAAGCGGGTAGGCATGATGAGGCTCTACGGAGTCTGATATGGGGATCTGGGAATCGAAATATTCAACGGTGCCTGAATCTCCATTCTACCGCCTCCTATGCGCTCGCCTCGACGAACATGTTCTCCCGACGTATGCCAGCCCAGTCTCGGAACCTCGCCCTGTGATTTGTGGGAAAATCGGCATCCGTCAGAATACCAACTGTGGGTGCGACGGCAGCGTGGGGGTATTCTTTGGACCTTACCAAGCGCTGTCACGCTTTGAGCGACGTCGTGGCGGAGCATGGTGGGGTCGGAGGGGAACGAAGAATAACACGGCATTGGTCGGAATGAGGTGGGTGTTGACTCCATGAAGTTTTGCCTACCAACTTCCAGCAGCTCGGGAAGAACAGTTCTATGCAGGTGGAAGTCCGGCTTAATTGGTTCTGTTGCACCGCTGGACGGGTCTGGATAATATCCGTCCCTCAGTCAGGGGTGGTAAGAAAAGTTGGGTTTACCCCTCAGATCATGTCTCGATCAACCCAGGAGGGTGACTGAATAAAAGGCGGGGTGGCCGCTGTTACTATTGTGTTGTTATCTCGTGAGGGACTCCGTGCTTTACAAGAGAAGAATCAAGCGTCCTTGCCTTGCCGTTTCCCACGTCGCTGTCTACTACCTGTCGCCAACATGCCATATCCCGAGACCTTCACCGGGTTCCAGGTGAATGGACCGGAGACCTGGACCGAGTTCCACAAGAACGAGTTCCAACCGAAGCCATTTGGCGATTACGATGTGGATATCAAGATTGAGGCTTGTGGTGTGTGCGGGAGTGATGTCCATACCATCAGTGGCGGCTGGGGAGAGCAGCATTTCCCTCTTGCAGTTGGTCACGGTATGGCTTTTCATGACGATTTCGCCTGTTTATGCACGGTCCCTTCAGCTCGCTGACATGAGGGATGAATAGAAATAATAGGCACCGCTATCCGCGTGGGATCAAAGGTGTCTCTTATTAAAGAAGGCCAGCGCGTCGGTGTCGGAGCTCAAAGTTATTCTTGCCTCGACTGCCGACAATGCAAAAACGACAACGAAACTTACTGCCAAAAACAGCTGGACACGTACGGCGCCAAATGGCCCGACACAGGCATCGTCTCCCAAGGTGGCTACTCCAGCCATGTGAGAACACACGAGCACTGGTATGGTTGTCACCCTTCCACGATTTGACTTTGGAAAGGCACATACTGACATCTCGTCCCAAGGGTCTTCCCCATCCCCGACGCTCTCCCCTCTACCGTTGCTGCCCCTATGCTCTGCGCCGGCTTGACCGCCTACTCCCCCCTCGTCCGTAATGGCTGCGGCCCCGGCAAGAAAGTAGGCATCGTCGGGCTCGGCGGCATCGGCCATCTGGGTCTCCTGTTCGCCAAGGCCCTCGGCGCCGAAGTCTGGGCCATCTCCCGCACGCACAGCAAGGAAGCTGATGCCAAAGCCATGGGCGCTGACGGGTTTCTGGCCACGTCAGACAGGGACTGGAACGTGCCTCACAAGATGACCTTCGATCTCATCATCAACACGGCGAACTCGTTTGAAGGGTTTGATCTGGACGCGTATCTGAGTTTGTTGGATGTTCACGCCAAATGGGTCAGTGTCGGTTTGCCAGAGGATGACGGAATCAAGGTCCGGAACCAGACATTTTTGACCAACGGGTGTTTCTTTGGAAGCTCGCACTTGGGGAGCAGGAAGGAGGTGTTGACTATGCTGCAGCTGGCGGCTGACAAGGGGATCAAGACCTGGGTGCAGGAGGTCCAAATCAGCAAAGAGAATCTCGCCGAGACGCTAACAAAGCTGCACAACAATGATGTACGGTATCGGTATTGCCTGACTGGCTACGAGGAGCAGTTCGGGGCCTGATTAGATCTCTTTACCGATTTGTTGATTCGTAGCAAGGGCAAATGTAGCGAAGTAACTCTTGATCTATGGTATCAGCTACCATCATGATGTTTGAAAGAACGGGGGGTATCTACCATGACCACTCTCATCAACCCTGTTTGATCCTTCCCAGCCCAAGCACACACCAATATGCCAATTCTTTCTTTTCCTTTTGATCCTTGTCCCGGCCGGTTCCTGAAGCAGCATCATCACCTCCACCCTCCGCCTCCCATTCGATCCGCACAAACATGGGAATCTCCAACACATCCTCATCCTGCTTCAGCACATCCCGACCTGGTTCCAACTTCAAGGAAGCAGGAACAACCTCGACGATAATACTAACCCAGTTCCGGCCTCGCTCCCAAATCTTACCGACCTCGACCTGAAACTGGCTCTCGGTCCCCGCCCGGCGTCGACTCCTACCCGACGACTCGCGGTCGTTTTCCTTGAGCGCCTCATCCCAGACGTCGGTGTTGGCGTCAATGTCAAACTGCGGGCAAAGAACCGTCACCTTACTGGGGAACCTGCCTGGAGTTTTGGCCGGGGCACCGAGGGTTACTTTGAGGGATTCGAAAATCGGGTTCTTAAACGTCAGAACAAAGTGTACCGGCTTGAGGGGTTCGAGGAGATCGCCCAGGATGGCGGGGGCAGCGGGCCCATTAGGCCCCGGGAGGTTGAGACGGCGGATGGTGATGCTTGGGATATAGCTGCCTGCTACCAACCTGATTCTGAAGCGCGTGGTCTGGACTTTGGCTTCGGGCTTGGAGATGATGTGACGGCAGACAGGGCAGCGCTTGGAGCGTTTTGTACGCAAGAGGTAGGGAACTGGCCGCAGAGACGAGTTGAACCGGGCAGCTCCATAAATATAAGTTTCTCCCAGGTTGGGCGGCTGGGAGCAGATTTGGGTGCTTGACGCTGTGTCGAGAAAATCTGATTGATGGAGTTGAGTGATCAGTGAGGATTCGTCGAGGTCTGTCTCGAGTAGGCCTTCGTCGGCCGTGATGGCTTCGCGCATGGCGCCCAACTTGGACTTGGCTCTTGGGTCATGGAGCTTTCCGCCCGTGTACAGGTTCATTATTCGTGACAACGAGGACGGCGACGAAAAGCCGAGATCTCCCAGAGACGAGAAGCCGTTATCTCCCGCGTTTGGATCGGCAAGCTGACTGTTATAAAAAAGCTTGAGATTCGCAAACTGTGTTTCCAGGTCCATATCTTGCCCTGCAGCAGCTTCACTTGACGCTGCTAGTGCTGCCTCCCCTCCGCGATGGGACAACTCCTTACGCCGTTCCTTACGTTCCTTAGCCGTGAGTCTGGAAGCGCCCCCATTGCGGATTTTGGCGAGCTGAGCGTGAATACTATTCGGCTTGTCAAACTGAATGCCAATTTCGGTCGAGCTCCAGCTGCAATAGGAGCAAATCAGCGAGTATGTCGTGTGCGGTGTGCCAGCGCGGTCAGGGACAAGTAGACTTGGGTCTGACGGCGGTGCCTCTATGCTCGTTACGGAAAGGGGCCCAATGCATATTGGGCACTGGAAACAGCTGCGAGTACATCTGAAATTGATCTCTTATTAGCAATGCCTACCAAGGGCAAGCCGGACACCAGACATAGACGACGAACGGACCTGTTGCCTTCACTCTTAAGGTTGCTGCTCGGCACTTCAAACAGACAACTGGGACAGAAGTAGGTCGCAATCTCCTCAGTGATACAGCGAGGGCAGCGAATCTGGTGACAGTCTTCGCAGTACAAGAGATACTCGAGGGGGTAAAGACTGAAGTTGGCTCGCGGGGCACGGGGATCGAAGGCGTTATCTTCTTCGTCACCGTCAGCACTGGTCGGCGATGTTGCGTCTGAAGGCCGCCCAAGCGATGCTGAGTCGGAGCAGGGACATTGAATGTACGTGTATGGATTCAAGGGCGCCATTACGCCCCAGCACTATATGAAAACTGCCACAAGCAAGAAATGGGAAGTAAAAGTCGTCGGAGGCTGCCGATGCGTGGACACCTTCATGTGGCCCCGCACCTTTTCGAGCTGGAGTTTAATTGTAGCTTCCAAAAGTTGGGAGCTTGACGCGCTTGCTGGGCAGTTGACACGCGCCGCCAGTTAATTTTGGTGGCACCATTCCAAACCCTAACCCTTTGCACCCAAGCCACATCATCCCATCTCCTTCCTCTTCCACAACCTGGAATCCCCAAACATCAATCCCCATTGTTTTATAATCTCGTACAGTCAAAGCTACTCGCAGTTGCGCGTGAGTCGGTTAATTTTCGTCTTTTCCGGACCTAACAACAGACGATGATGGATCGCGGCACATCGCTTGCAGACAGGATAAGGATCATGCATCATTCGGTTTGGAATGCTGAGATATCTCATCCCGCAGACGAATCCGGATGTGCGATACAAGCGTATCGTGGTGACACCCATGTGCCCTGGGTCATGCAAAGCTGAGGTTAATTCCTGTGGCCCCCTCGCGGCTCTGCTTCACCGTAAGGTGAAGCAGATTTCACATCCATACTGTAGCAACACGTCAAGTGAATGGCGATAGTGGTCCTGGAGAGATGGCATATCTTACAGACTTTACACATCTTACCAGCAGCATAATCACACCATAACCTGCTTTAGCAGTGGAACTGAATGACCCGCCTGGTTCACCTACCACCGGAACTGGCGTCCGTCCAGCTAACCTTATTCTTGGTCGTCCGTTCTTGGGGCACTGGTGAACCAAACACCTCCCGGCACCCCGCGCTTCCGCCATCCCATCGCCGGCAGAGCTGCTAAGTGGCCAGCATCGAGCTCATAACCGACATATCTCTCACCCGGCGAAGAGACGGCTTCTCCAGCCAGGAACTGCCTCTGGCAGTGCGTTGACTTGTGGCTCCGAGTCTCCGTGGTCCTCTCGGATCTTTTGGAGCCGGTGAATAGCCACCTCAGAGCTTATGGAACGTCCATCAACCCCAATATCAAACCTCAAGAGGTGGGATGGCGATACCAAGGGGTGTACGGCTTGGGATAGCCTGAGAAGGGTACTTTTTCCATCAGCGTCTAGCACTGGGTCGAGGATAATCCTACTAACTTGGATTCCAGGACCCGGAGCTATGGTCTAGGGACGGGAGCTGCCTCGTCTACTTGTACGAGCAAGGTATCTCACGGCGGGGTCCCTCGTTCAAGGTCAATCTTGATGTGCTATTTGCGGCCAAATGCCACCCCTTGGTGGCGAGATATGCTTTGCGAGATACTCCTGATTGGACATCGTCAGACGCCGAAGAAGCTCTGGTGAACGAGCTCATGGGTGACGCCATTTCAAGTGATAGGGTCGAGCTCTACATCCCAAATCCTATATCTGTCGGCAGGCCAGATGTTCGGAACCATCAGATTTCTATTCGCAACCTCTTTGCCTGGGTGTTTCGTCGGCCTGTTGTGGGTGAGCACCTCGGGTCGGCACTCATCAGTCTGCTGAATAGCTTGAGAGAGTATCGTTGCCCTGATGAAGATAACATGGACAGCATCCTGGGCTACATAGATGAGCTGGGCTATCTGAACATGTCAAACCGACCCTTTCACGCCCTCGCTTTGGTACACTTTGCTGAGCACTTTCGACTAAAAGATCTATACACTGATGCTCTGTGTCACTGTGTGGGTATGTCTGACCATCTCAGTGACATTCCTGAATTTCAAGTGAGTTTGGACAGCATCTTTGTGAGGCTGCTGGGTATCGGTTTGTCTGACACATTGGGCTACAGATTATTAGCTCTCCAACGCGGAAACTGATACGACAAACCAAGGCTGAAATGAGCACATACTTGGGCAGAGCAGGTCAACAGCTCCGAGACTTTCTAGAAAGCGACTTCCGAGAAAGCCAGACGAAACTCACCCCAGGAGAGCATTCGCACTTGGATCGGTTTCGAATGTTTCTTGCGGCGTACTTTACAAAACGGCTAGGAAGATACCCACCGGCATCGATTGAGCCACCATATCTTGTATTTGAGCGGGATGTCTATGCCACAATGCATCAGGACCTGGACGCCCTGTACCAGCACCTTGCGGACACTACTCTTTGCACCACTAGCATGCCGACCTTGGCTCACCTCAAGACCGGCGGCACAATTCTACAGATTGTTCATGGATTTGACGAGCGGAATAAGTTCACGCCGCTGGACCATCCTCTACCTTTGGTGCCGGAGGTGATTCCGAAGCCGGCGACCCGCAAGTTATCATGGCTCAGCAGGAGTGACAAGGTGAAACCTAGACAAACATTGGTTGATCATGCGTCTTTGATCAAGGCCACCAACAAGCAGAGATCACTGATGGCAAATCCACTTGTTGTCGCTTATCGGAAGCTCGAAGAAGATGCAGTCTTCTTTCCTTCCAAAGCAGACAAGAACGAAAAGCTGACACACGCAGACACACGCAAGGCCCGTTGGGTTCTGATTTATTGCATCAGCCAAATACTGCGAAGTTGTTCATACTCCCCACCGACATGCCGGAACATGGAGGGCGTTCGGTACAACATCGCCATTGACCCCAGCACCATCATACATCCATGGGGAGACGAGCCAGAGCCCCCTTCTTCTCCGGCTCCAGCGTGTCCAATGCCGAAGCGATCAAACACTCTTGCCAACAGGCCATCATCCCCGATTTTGGGAAGGCCCGCTTTATCCGAAGCCAAACTTTCTGTTCCACCATCCTGCGACAGCCTCTTGACCGTGTCACCACCCAGTTACACCCCGGTGACCGTCGGGCCACCTATCGGGTCTCTCTCGGCTCGAAAACCACATCACTTCCGCGCGTCATCCTCATTTGCCAAGGCAACCCCTCTGCGTGCCTTCTCGACCTCCAGCCGCCAGCAACACCATTATCCCCATATTCCCATCCGAGTCGGCAGCACCCGTCGTGGCAGATTCCGCCGCCCTTCCTGTCACACTTTTGGCTCTGTCGACAGGTTTTCAGTCGAAGATCTCAAACCTCTGCCCCTCAGCCTGACAGCCCGCGGGCCACAGGCGAGCGGTATTTGCTCCTCATCAACAGATGGCTTGGCTTGGGCCAGCAACGATGCAAGCAGCAGAAGAAGCAGCAACAGCAACAGGAGCAGCAGCGGCAACAGTGGAGAAGACAGCATCGGGGACACCAGCAGCAAAGTCTCAGACGCGTCCACCGAGGTTACCACACCGGACAACATTAAATCCACTGAAGTTTCCGTCACGTCAGCTCCCGATGTTCTCTCCGGCCTCGCCGGGCTACGTCCCCCTCCACCACCGCCGCAGTCAGCCTTGCCACCTTTACCCCTTTCGTGGCCGCCTCACGAGGGGCAGCTTCACGGCGATGGTAGTCGAAGCAAGGTATCGTCTATGGGTGAGACAAACGGATATGAACAGCAGCGAGACGAGACCATCAATGATTTAGAGGTGAGCATGCAAAAGATGGCGTCGAGCGATTCCGTGTGCACGCTGTCCAGCAGCGTGTGCTCGGATGATGCGCAGTCACAGCATAGTTTGAATCAATTGCCACTGCCGCAGCCGCCTCCGTTACCTAAGAAGAGCAGCAGGAGGAAGCTGGCGGGATTGCATCCTAGACCTCTGCGGATCAGGAAGGTGGCGGCTACGGTTGGATTGGGTGGAAGTTCCCAGCAGCAGTAGAGCCTGAATGGGGGCGGGTATGGGGAATGGGCATAGGAGGTAAAGGAGTGTGGACAGTTTGTTGGATTGGTTCAAGTTGGGTTGACATGCGCACCTGGTTGTTGGGTTTATGACTTTGTACTGTCGATATCCACTCGGCTTGAATTCTGCAACATGTATCTATAACATGAGTACATAGTCGTCTCTTGTCAGGAGGGACAAAGCTTGTCCTCCTTACCGAAACTTTGGCTCGGAAATCCACAAGGTGATAAGAGTTGTAGTCCAGAGTTAACTTGGCAGGAACACAACATGGATTACACGGCCCCAAAGAACTCAAAACGCATTCCACGTGGCAAGGTGTTACTACTTTGGTGAAACAGTAGAAGCATTGTAGACACCACAACCATCATGGTACCAAGCAATACTCTCTTATCGTACAAGTTGTTGAACATAGGAACAGACCATAGCAACACAAACTTCCATGGTTCTCGGTCCGATGACTGGACACAACCTCGAGGTACAGCTTACCTGTGGGACAGAAGATGTGAACAAAGTTCGTATGCCCTTGTCTTGTACGCCGTGGTTATCCAAACTCTAAGCTCCCTGCTTGGATATGGCTATGTCGCGTCACGGTTGCAACCGAATGTAGATTAGAGTGTATCGTGTTTGTGCTGGCAGTACTACAGTTGCCCCATTCTCTCATGTCTATTTGTCCCGTTCTGTCCAAATTCTATCCAGGTGATCATATCAAGCCAGGGGTATCATCGCCCTCCCTCCCTCTCCCTTAGTCATACAGTAAACTCGGTATAGCCCACATAGTACCTTCTCAAGGCGCCCGGGTCTTGAGCTGGACACCGTGCCACTCCTTGACTAGGTCCCCCAGCGCGGCGTTGACCAGCCTCTGCTGCTTGAGCATGTTCAACCCCCTGAACTTCTCAGAAGAAATGTCGATGCCGTACATGGAGCCGCACCCGCCAGAGATGTCTTGCACCAGGAGCTGGGTCGGCGCAAACTCTGCCACGAGTATATCCCACACTTGTGCTTCTCCTTCTGTCAAGTCTTCTGGTCTGGGAAGAGCTGAAGGGGGCTCTGAGGACTGGGAGGCGGAAGCTGCGCTCTCTGACGAGTAGAGCCGTTGTGCATGGGCTGCGATTCGTGGGAATTGGTGTTGGGGGCGAGCGGGGATAGCGAAGTTGGTAGTGATTGCTGGTGCGCAGCGGGTGGTGGCGGCAAAAAGGGTTCGCTTCGGGACGGTGGAGGGGAGCCTTTGGGCGAGACGGGCGCGCAGACAGGTACGGCAGATCATAGTGGGCAATCTTTGGGTCTAACGCTGTGATATACTGAATGGCAGCGTAGTAGCGGTTGTGTGGCCGAAACGTGCTTGTATGGGGGGCTGACTCGGATCAAAATGCGTGAATGCCTTCACCAAAGAAAAAATGACGATGCAGCAAACAGGCCGAGATGGGAATTCCAGAAAACCGTTTGGCAATTCAATTGCTTGGCTGTGAAATAAACGGCCTCTGATTGGATGCCAACGGTTCGTGAGGCCCCACCCCCTCCGCGTTCCCCGCGATCTCCGGGGCCGGCAACTGATGGCCCCACTTTCATTCTTGAGCCATCCCGCCATGTCGAACAACAACCACAGTAGGTGAGCTGCCGCAATAAAACCAAACGATAAGGTTAATAGAGCAATAGATCTCGAGAATGATGTGCCTAAACAAGCAATCAACGGTCTGCGTGTATACTCAATATACAAGCCGCTTCAGGATTGTTGTGATGCTACTTGGGCTTACACCTTCCAATACAGGCGAGCAAAAGAGACCTCCGGCTCCAACTGGCAGGCATTCTCGTTCCACCGATGCAGAATAAGCCACCAGAACGTTGCTCTCTCGATGTCCGAAGCGGAGGAAACAGGCCAACTTCTCAACTCTCATCTAGGACGGTGTAACCGGCTGTGATCTCGCCATCATGCCGTGTGCTCGTGACACTGTCGACATGCTTGTCCTAGGAACCCAAGCAATATGTCCAAGAACCCTCGCAATCTATACTCAATACTCTCGAATCCCTGATCAGCAGCATGAGGCCTTGAACCGGCACTCGTATCGGCAGCGGCAGCACCGTGACAATCTGGACAATATATACGCAACGGCTAGATATACCCGATGCGTGCGACTTCGGCATATTTCACACCCTCTTCTCTGCGTTTCCAAGCATGCTGCCGAGAGCGCCCAATCTGGTAGGATGAGCAGGTTAGGATGTCATGGACATGGAATGGGAGATGCTACCTGTCAGCCTAGACTTGGTGGGGGGGAGAGAAATACACGGAGTCATGCCTACTACATTCACATTTGGCGATTAATTGCAACCATACTCAACTCCACAGATCGCCCAAAGAGACGGGAGTTGGCGCTCGTCTTGTCAAATTTCACTTGTGAGGGTGACTGTTGTCGACAATTCGGAAGCCCCTGAACCGGTGGATGCATGGCTGGGAGCAGGGGATCGTGCGGGGCAATGCGGGGTGCCCTCCCGGTTGCTGCCAGGGCTGGCACGAGGCAGCCAAGGGGCCGCCGCCATTCTCTCCTTGAGCTTCTCCAGTTCTCCAGCTTCTCCAAGCAGTTCCAATTCTCCAGCTTCTCCTCATCAACCGGCGTATGTTGCGCTGGCAGCAATCTGCAGGAACCGCTGGGAGGTGCAGAGGTGCATGCTTCAGCGAGGCGCAGCACAAGAATGTTTGGTCATGGCAACCTCTTTTTGTATGGCTTCCACCGGAGGATGGCATCCGCAACCCTGCCAGCTTCTCGCATCTTGTCGTCCCGATCCAGTTCGCTCATGGTGAGAGACACACATTGCGCTACTGTGGGTGTGGGTGGCTGGACAGGGGATCAATGCCGCTAACCTGAATATTCCCGACTGTGTAGCACCCTGTTAACGCCGTTGGGCAAGACTCGATCGATTCCATCGCCACAACGTCGCAACCCTCCAAGCCAGCCAAGCATGCTCCCAAAAATGGAAGCCGCCCATCTGCACCCACGGATAGCCTCTGATGCGCCAAGCCAAAACTGGACCTGGAACAAGAGGACCCTCGATTCTCTCACCTACCTCTCTGAGCCTCCGAATGAGCTCCCCCAAGATATCCCAAGACCCTTCCAAGAACCTATGGAGCACGGAGGATCCTGGAAACTCACGAAGGACGGAATATACGGGAGACTGATCAAGACGGTTCCCTGTCTCCGTCATATGGAACAAATGCTGCACCTTGCACATCTCTGCGCTCTTTCTGCAGATGGCCATGGTCTCTACCCGTGCAATGCCGTGCCTGGCCCTTCTTCAGCAACCTCAAGTCCCGTGGACCTTGCTCCCGTCCATATTAATAACGCTTGGCCATAGATCCCGAGGCCCAATCGAGGTTGCATTTTCCTCGCGCTGCGAGATGGGAAGGGAATAATAGAGCAGCAGCCCAAGCTGCCCTGCCCTGGCAAGGCAATATGGTACCACCCAGCGCTCTTTTTGCCAGCGCCCGGTCCCGGATCCTCTCAACAATAGGTGATTGTCCAATGGGATGCTCCAATCGTGCTGTCGATAAGAAATCTGGGTAAATTCGATCGCAACCTCAACTTGACGTTCCTGACCATTTGGGGGGGGGGGGGCGACATGATGGGACATGGGCAAGCGAACCGTAGCAGGCCCGAGGACGGCTCTGATGAGACCTCTCGTCACTCCCGAACGAATTCTCCGCGCAGTCATGGTCATATATATAATAGCGAAGCCATGGCACCACTTCAGCCTCCCGAGGACGACGCCCTCGCCGGAAGCCCGAGGTTGGTAAATCAAGTTCCAGGCCTTCGAGGAAGAGCGACTCGCCATCCCTTCATTCCTCTGCCTGTCTAGACGTCCTGCCTCCCATTTCGTCTTCTAAACGCCAGTCCCCTCATCCGGGACCACCAAGGCAACATGGTCCGGTTAGAGCTCGCGACTGTGTTGCTGGCGGTGGCAGCCGCAGTGAATGCGGTACAGGTTGACACGCCCGAAGTCCTGCCAGGTGCATACATTGTTGAGTATGAGAACGATCAGGTATGATACACCAACCAGTCCCGGATCTACGACACCAAGGCGTCCGTTGTATAATGCTGCGCACAAGGCGGTTCATACAAGGCAACTGTGTGCCCTGCATTATGCAGATGACGTTCGTTGGCAGCATCATCTTCCTCGGCCAACTATCCGAGACATGTCGGGCCGCTTCCCTAGCTTCTGCTCTGACACTAACAAACTCATCTTCAGGATACCAATGCTTTTGTCCGCAAGTTTGGGGGGAGGGCGTCACTTCGCAAAGACTTGCGCTTCAAACTGTTCAAGGGTGCGTCGATTCAGTTCAAGGACACCAAGAATGCCGAAGAAATGGCGGCCAAGGTGGCCAAGCTGCCCACCATCAAGCGAATCTTCCCTGTGCGACGGTACCCGATCCCACAGCACGATGTTCTTTCGACGGGCGACGATGCTGCTGCCCTCGTCAAGCGCCAGCTTGGCGGCAACGTCACCAACAGCTTCTCGCCGCACCTGATGACACAGGTAAACAAGTTCAAGGAGGCAGGAATCACAGGAAAGGGCATCAAGATTGCCGTTATCGACACGGGTGTAAGTTGATATTCAGGGCCATTGGTTTGGTGGACGGACGGACAATGGTTCCGGCTAACATCGGGGTGCCCTAGATCGATTACACTCACCCGGCTCTCGGGGGTTGCTTTGGTCCAGGCTGCTTGGTTTCCTACGGGGCTGATCTAGTGGGTGATGCGTTCAACGGTGCGAACCAGCCGAGACCAGACAACGACCCCGTTGATAACTGCAATGGCCACGGCACACACGTTGCGGGTATTATTGCTGCTCAGTCAAATAATCCCTACGGTATCGTCGGGGCCGCCGAGGGCGTGCAGCTGGGCGCCTACCGTGTGTTTGGCTGCCAGGGCGATGTGGGCAATGACCTCTTGATTGCTGCGTACAACATGGCATATGAGGCTGGAAGCGACATCATCACAGCCTCTATTGGCGGTGCATCAGGCTGGAGCGAGGACCCTTGGGCTGCCGTCGTCTCACGAATTGTGGAGAACGGCGTGCCATGTGTTGTGTCGGCTGGAAATGATGGCGCTGCCGGAGTCTTTTATGCTTCGACCGCGGCCAACGGCAAGCAGGTGACTGCCATTGCATCTGTCGACAACGTCATCACGCCCGCGCTTCTTGCCAACGCGACCTACCAAATCGATTCCAAGAGCGAGTTCTTTGGCTTTACTGGCGGCGACCCGCAAAGCTGGAACAGTGTCAGCCTCCCACTATGGACTGTTAACTACAACACGACAGATGAGGCTCACGGATGCGACCCTTATCCTGCCTCCACCCCCAATCTCTCTGGCTACATTGTGCTGATCCGTCGTGGCTCTTGCACCTTTGTGCAAAAGGTCGAGAATGCTGTTGCGAAGGGAGCCAGGTATGTCATATTTTACAACAACGTCCCAGGCACACTCAGCGTGACAGCGCGAGTGCCGGGTCTGTCGGCTGTTGCTACCATTCCCTCCGGTACGGGCGAGCTGTGGGTGAAGGCATTGGAATCCGGGAAAAGAGTGCTGGTCAACATGGCCAACCCGTCCACGGCCCCCAAGTTCCTCGCCAACTTTGACAATCCGACAAGCGGTGGTTATCTCAGCAGTTTTACCAGCTGGGGTCCTACCTTTGAAGTGGAATCCAAGCCTCAATTCTCCACCCCTGGTGGCTACATTCTGTCAACCTACCCTCGTCTTCTCGGTTCATATGGCGTTCTTTCAGGCACCTCGATGGCTTGCCCCTTGGCGGCGGCCATCTACGCCCTGGTCATGAACGTCCGCGGCACCAAGGACCCAAAGACGATTGAGAACTTGTTGTCATCTACAGCAAAACCCAATCTGTTCCGCCGGGATGGTGTATCCTCCCCATATCTGGCTCCTGTTCCCCAGCAGGGTGCTGGCCTGGTGCAGGCATGGGATGCTGCCAAGGCTACGACCCTACTCAGCACCTCTGGCCTTTCTTTCAACGATACAGATCACTTCAACCCTGTTCAAACATTCACCGTCTCCAACACGGGTTCGTCATCGGTCACTTACTCTCTGAGCAATGTCGGTGCCGCTACTGCCTACACTTATAGCTCACCCGGCGCTCTCACGCCTGCTTCTCTCCCCAGTGTCGAGCTGACAGGTAACTTTGCCTCCCTGGCGTTTACCCCTTCCACCTTCACCCTCGGAGCTGGCCAACGCAGGATCGTCACAGTCAAGGCGACGGCACCCACCGGCCTCGACGTGAAGCGGTTGCCCGTTTATTCTGGTTACATCGCCATCAACGGCTCCGACAGTTCGGCCCTTTCCCTCCCCTATCTCGGTGTTGCTGGCTCCCTTCACTCGGTTGTTGTCCTTAACAGCGACAACACCCTGCTTGCACGGGCCCGCGACAGCACCAACTCTCCTGTGGCGGCAAATCTGACCTTCACCTTGCCCCCACCTGGACAATCCAACATCACAGCCGTCCGCAACCGCGCCGATATGCCCAAGCTCGTGGTGACACTGGCTATGGGTAGCGCCATGATCCGCGTCGACGTCGTGCCCCTGACCAACTGTTCGACAGCAGCGCAGAACGCCAAGGTCGTGTTTGGTACTCGCACTCTTGGCCAGCCAGAGGAGTTCCCCAGCTGGTACAACCCCCGCGGGACCTTGCAGTACGCCTGGGATGGCAGGCTCGCTGATGGAAGCTACGTTCCTGCGGGTAGGTACAAGCTCACGGTGAGAGCATTGAGGATATTTGGAGATGAGTCCAAGTCCGAAGAATATGATGTCACGGAGACTGTGCCGTTCAGGATACGGTATCTTACTGAGGGCAAGACGCAAAAGAGGAAGAGGTTTGTCAAGGGGGAGAGGGCTCTATGGACGGTCGGGGTGGAGAGGAGGCAGACGCCGGAGCAGTGTGAGGCTGACGAGAGGACTCTCAAGCAGTGAGCTGGTCTGTTGGCATGAAGGGAGGCTGGAGAAGAGAAAACCAAGGGATGTTTTAGCATGAGATTTTCTTTTTTTTCTTTCTTTCCCTTAGTTGGTCGGTCTTTCTATTTTGGGTTTTTTTTTTTGGATCATGGGATGTACTGAGCAAGCAAGCGTAGCGCTGACATGCGTGAAGCGTACATGTAGCAAAGCAAAGCAAATTGGTAACAAAGTACTGGCTCATGTGATTTTGGCTCAATGTATCGTCATGAGTAAGGGAGAGGAAGAGACGGGGTAATGAGGGCTGGCTGGTGGGAGGCTACTGCAGGTATGGTTTGTTCTTATCTTCTTGTAATGACGGTAGTGTGTTTCATTCTTTTTCAGCTCTCTCTCATGGTGTGATCTATCGTTTTTTGTTCTTCTCCCTTAAGCCCGGCTCCACGATTGCCAAGTTCTCATGATGTTGCTTTTTGGTCAAGGTGTGTGAGGTGGCCTGCATTTTCAGCTCTTGGGGCTGGCGTCCCATTTCCGCCCTGGATTTGAGGTCCGAACATCCGAAGCCGAACACACGCCTGAGCATCCCTTGATCTTGCCGTCGGATTTGTTGACTTTTCATGGATGGCAGGTACCAAAGTTATTTTCGGAGAGTCAGTGGAGATGATTTTGATTTCTTGGAAAGTCTTGGTGCCTTTTTCAAAAAAAATTTCGTCGTTTTTACTTTTTTGAAGAAAAGAGCGTTGCATGTGATTGATGTCTGGCTCGGTTGTGTCATTGGGTCGCTTGAAATCACGAACTATTGGACGGGTGCAGTGTTGAGTTTTTTGATGGCGGTTTCGTTACCAGCAAAACACAGGTCGGTAGCGAGAACAGACGGACCAAAACACTTGAAGAAGGGTCATGAGGTTCCCCCCCCTCCGCAAGGGACTAGTTCTCGTGGAGGTGTTGCTATTTTGAGAGCGAGTGTAACCGCAACCCAACCCAACCCATCAGTCTCGGTTCAGTTTACCTGCCTACCTAGGTACTTGGACAAAAACATGGTGGCTTATGTGTCATGTGAAAGCGTGACATGGTGACAACCCGGGTCTTGGTGTCGTGCTGGATGTCCGTCACCGGTGTATTGCTTTTTGGTTGGTGACATCGCCGACACATGGAGTGGTATGGCAGGAAGGCTGACAGGAAGGACACACTCCCGTTACCAACGGTTATGTGTGTGATTAGAGAGACAATTGATGCTCAAGGGGCCAATACGAGGCATGAGTTTGTCATGACGTACACAAGAACAGAATCAAGTTTTGAATTCTGAAGACTGTCTCTTACTACTGGGTTAGGGATACAAGACAAGACATTCTAGTCAGCGGGTATCTGTTAATGCCGTGATACCCGAGCCGTGAATAACCTAACTATGAGGGTAGTTGAGTAGGGCGGGATGCATGAAATTTCCGGCTGTGTGAGATAGCTGTGTATGTGATTCGACACCTCTGTCACCAATGACCGTAGGTGTATGGCGTAAAAGCCCCGAAGAGCTGGATAATCTATGCACACAGCAAATGATCGACAGGTACCCGTCATAAATCAGGCAGGCAATCTGGGATTGGTTATGGTCCCAAGCCCTTGGTACGGCACCCAAACGAGGGACGGATATGTAAGGGAAAGAAAGGTTGTGACAAAGTTCCTTTTTTTTCTTTTTGAGAAGCAATTCGAGTACGAGCAAGCCACGAGGACGAGCAGCTTTCTCATTCGAGGTGTACCAAGGTTTTGTATACTACTTCAAACCCGTTGCCTCAATACTATGCAAACGCTCGGAGGACATGTCTCGCATTTGTGAATCACTTCAACCTCACTCTGTCGCCGGCAACCAGATTCCCGGCCTTCCGGGCAAAGAAGCAAGACTCAGACACGCATCCTGCAATTTGCTTCCTCGTGTTTTTGCTGCACGCATAGACCCCCAAAAGAGCGAAATTGGAAATGGCAAACGACTGAAAATGCAGAGAGAGATGAGTGGCCGACATCAAGAAACAGAAGCGGGAGGTCAGTTCAGGAAGTCGAGGGGATGATCGTGAGCCCAACGCGATGTTTGTTGCTTTTGAAAGCGGTGTATCACCGCTAGCATCGACGCCGTTGAATTTCTCTTCAGCAAAGGCGAAACGATTGTCAAATGAAATGTTGGTGAACGGGCGGTATGGATCTCGCGCAACAAAACTAAGGATCGCGGACCACAGGAGTCCAGCTCACGCGACTTCAGGGTCTCCCACCGCCGTTGTTGTAACACCACAACTCCACCAGCCACTCCCTATCTCAACGGTGTTGGGCGCCTCCAGAGCCTCTTGGCCACACTTGCCAGCGCCGTTTTCTTTTTGTGTGGCTTGAGCCTAGTCGGGGACCTGGTTGTCGATCGTGATACCCCTGGCAGGCCTGCAAGATGCGGTCTAATGCGATTTAATGACATCAAAAGGGGGTTGGCAGGATTGCTTTCGGGTTTGAACAGTGGCATTGTGGTAACTTGACGCTCAGCCGTTGCAGAAGAACAAATATTGCCTTTTCCCCGAGTCATCCAATCTGTATGCGTAGGTAAAAGAGATTCACAACAAAACTGGCAGTTTGACGTGCCAAGAGACAGGCTGCCCTTGTCCAGTTTAGCTCCCGCAAGAGCATCGAGCAAAGATCGACGCCACCCCGTTTGCTGTCAGGGTAGAGACGCTTCGGTCTGGACTGAAGTTAGCCAGGACTAGGGTTATGTGGGGGTTTATCTCTTGGGATGAACATCATGATGGATTTGCAGTAAGGTGCCGATAGGGGAAATATCTCATACCTGGAATGATCAAGTAAATGGGGGGCTTCCAAGACGATAACTTTGCAGCAGCAGCTGACTGCCATGCTTGATGGTGCGACAACGCCTGCCCTCATCCAGTAAAAAAAAGAAGAAATGATGAGGCTCGATATCAAGCAGTGCAGATGCGGGCAAAACACCACGCTCTCGGCCCTGCATCCAGTGTCCACATCCAGAGATAGGGCTGGCGATCTCCCAGCGGGTCCGGCAGCTTGGCGCGGACTATTGAGATCGACGACGACAAACTCCAGAAGACGAGTGTCCAGGTTTGTAAGTGCCTGTCTTGGAAGAAATCGCTGTGCTCATCTCCGTCAAGAACGGCATCATCCGGGTCAGGTTTGATTGTCACGAGACAGGTATATAAATCTCATGATGCCCTCGAGTAGAGACACATTCTCTTTTCTCATCCTCATCATCTTCACCCTCACCGCCGCCCTTCCCAACTAGTATTCCCCCTAATCAATAATATCCAACTCCAGTCGCTCTTTCGAGACTCTCCCATCCCTTAGTATTGCCTTAATATCATCTTTAATCACCACCACCACCAGCACCATCCACAAAACACCAAACAATCAAGATGAAGTTTCTCAACGCCGCCATCGCCGCCGCCAGCTTCGGGTCCGTCCTCGCTGCGCCCGCCATTGACGCCCGCCATGACAAGCCTACTGCCACGGTGACTGTCCCAGCTGATTGCCCATGCAACACTGGCTCTCCTGCCGGCAGCAGCAGCATCAGCCTCCTCACCAACCTTCCCTCGGTTTCTGTCCCGGTCAACATCATCCCCTCGACCTCTTGCACAGATGATGCCGCTTCTTCAACAGGCGCTCCAGGCACTCCCGGCACTCCCAACATCCCCGGCATTCCCAATGTTCCCGGCACCCCCAATGTCCCGGGTGTACCCAATGTTCCCGGCACTCCTGCTGTTCCCGGTACCCCCAACGTTCCCATCGTTGATGTCGATGTCGACGTTCCAGGCACACCAGGCACACCAGGCACACCAAACACCCCAGACATCCCAGGTGACGACAGTGGCGATGACGACGACAACGACGACGACAGCAGTGACAGCGACAGCGATGATGAGGACAACAACAGTACTCCCATCGTCGATGTTGATGTAGACATTGATGTTCCTGGCACCCCTGGCACACCTGCTATCCCCACCACTTCTGGCAACCCTACCATCGACCTTGACGTTGTCGCTAGCCCCATCGTGGACCTCGATGTTGAGATCCCTATTCCTGCCATTACTGCTGATGTCGATGTTAACGTTGTCATTGCCGACCTCGTTGCCATCATCGTCCAGATTGAGGCTCAGGTCCAGACCGATATCCAGCTCATTCGTAAGACTCCCCGTTTTCATCATGATCAAGACGTATATGTTGCTAACATCACGGCCTAGTTGACATTATCGGCGCCGTCGACATTGATGTTGATGCTCTCATTGCCGTCCTCATCGACCTCCAGGCCCAGATTGACCTCCTCGTTGGCGACATCACCCCCACTCTCAACGCTCTCCTCCTCAACGTTGACCTCCTTGTTGACCTCAACCTCGCTGTCGTCCTCGACCTCGTTGCCGATGTCCAGGCTCTCCTTGGCGAGATTGAAGTTACCGTCCAGGGTCTCCTTGCCCTCGATGCTGGTACGTCTTGCCGCCTCAGTAGCTGCCCCCACAACTCAGATAGAGATGCTAACATGCCAATCAGACATCCTCCTCGTCATCTCCGCCAACCTCGAGGTTATCCTCGGCCTCGTTGTCGACATCTCTGTCCCCATTGTTGACGTTGTCGTTGACATCGTTGCCAACGTCGGTGCCTCTGTTGGTGCCGTTGTTGCCGGCGTTGTTGCCGACATCCAGGTCGTCCTCGATGCCATCGTCGACCTCACTGCCCTCCTCCGGGTGGACCTTGGCACCATCGTTGCGCTCCGCAAGTAAATTGCAATTCTGAGCTTGCTGATGAAGGAACAACGGTGTTGTTGGTCATGAGACATGCATATGACTAAAAGGGATTGGGTTAATTCCCGGCTGCTAGAGTAGAAGCTGGGTTGCGAGCAGGAGTTGGTTTTCAGCTGTTCCTTGTCAGGGTCTTTTCTTTTTTTGTCGATAGTTTGTGCTTTTGTATACTTAGATTGTAATTTTGATTGTCTTGTGTGTTTTGCCAGAACTAGTTCCTTGTTCTCTTCGTGCTTTGTGAACAGTCAACCAACCCAACTCAGGGGCATCGGCATTTGTCAGTCCCGCAATGACATCAGAGCCACCTTGAGGTTGGTGAAGCGCGAGGCTTGCATCCGTCAAAGTTTGTCTACACTTTGGACGAGTCGGTCAGTTTCGGCGCCGGCGCTAGAGATTCGCAAAAACCACCCACCAAACAAATCACACCTGTTCAGGTGCTGGATGGAAAAATAAGGAAGGAACGATGCGAGGGTTTCCAGGGGGCCAGACTCATCTTCACATGCTTCGGGAACTTGACCATCGCGGCTGATGGCCCCCCAAAAAGGTCTGGCCCCGTCAGAAATAAGTTAGTGTTTTCATCCTCCCCATCACCCCTTTGCCGGCTGGCTGAACATCAGTTGCCTGGCAAATATCCCAGGCTGTCACGACTCAACGCTTCCCTTCGGTTTCATTGGCCTCTTTTCGAGTCGCGGGTGTCCCCTTTTCCTTCTCCGTTATGAAGCTGGTACCCCAGCATCAACTGGCCGCGGCCACCCATTCATTGTCACCCATTATCCTCCATGTTGTTCCCTTGACTGGGAGCACGACATTGACAGCCGCGGATTATGGCTGATACTATCGAGCCCGTGGCTCGCCCACCGCCACCACCCAACTTCAACACACTTGCTGAGATTCAGCAAGAGGCAGAGTCACCAACACCGGCACCTTTCATCCGCCTGATACAATCTCCTGTTCCCCAAAGCGGCGACATACCAGCCGCCACCTTCAGAGTACCTCGTGCAACACTCCTCCGACCGAGCAAAGATCCAGCCCGCAAAATCCATCCAGTTTTTGAAGCAAAACTCAGAAACAACATGCTGCCCGCTTTGGGCTTTATCGAGCTGGCCAACGCAGGCGACGTCGCCGCCAACGTGTACAACTCGACACCAATACCTATTACCATTGTGATCTGCATGATTGCTGGTGGTACCGCCTGCTTCAGCCTGCTCTTCTTCCTCATATACGACGCGACTCGAAGCTGGAAAAACATCTGTGGACTCAGGGTTGAAAGGTGGTTTCTGCAAGACCTACAAAAGGCCGAGGACGAGCAGCAAGACTTGGAAAAGAGAAGTGCCGGCGCAGGCATTGCCCGTTCATTCTCTGGCTCCCATACCAGTGGTTCGAGCAAAGAAAAAAGAGCTGATGACGCTGCAAGGAACTGGGGCAGAACCCTGGCTTGCTTTCTCCATATTAACAACCAGGACCTCCGTTCTGAAATTGTCTACCGCTTCGGCATGGACATTGTCATCGGCGTCGGTATACTGTTGGTCAGTGCTGGCACCTGGATGGCCACCCGGGGCGAAGACCCCTATCTTTTTGATCTCTCTAACCTCCTCACTGGCTTCCTCGGCAACTCCCCACTCGCCTTTTACGCAGTCATCAACATGCTCTGGGCAGTCTACCTCGACAATGACCAACGCAAGAAAACACGCATGGTCGCCTCGTCTCTCTATTCCGACTTTCCCCCAGGACGTTCCTATGTAGGCGACCGCCTCGAACACATGGTCTCCACCAGAGCCAACTACCTGCGCATCCACTTCCTGCTCAACGGGCTACCCGGTCTGATAGCAGGCGCCATGTCCCTCGCTGCGGCGACGCAGTGGTGGGCTTATGTAGTGCTGATCCCTTGCATCGTCAACTCGGTCATGGCCAACCGGCTGTGGCGGCACAAGATCGGCTATGACCGGCCGTTCTTGACCAACATCGATCTAAAACCCCTCAGCCGGGACGAGCTGCTTGAATCCCTACTCTTGGTGGATAGCCGTCGGCAGAATTTGGCCGCGACGAGGTGGGCGGCGATCACGATGCCGTTTTGTCCGTTACTGCAGTACATTGTTCAGTTCAACCTCTTTGAGCAGTTTTGTCTCCGACTGCTGTCAAAGAACCCCGACATGACCAGACGTTACTTCCAGGGTGATGTCGAAAATGAGCTGGGCGGGGGTACGACAACGGTGACGATTGACGCGTACCAAGTGTTGAAACTGGCTGAACTCGAGCCATGTACAAGAGATGTGGTCACCCAGGCCGCGAGGGACACGATCTGGTTTGATGCGAAACGTGGATTGGAGTCGAGGGAGAGGTGGCTGATTGAGATTCTGGAGGTGTACCTCGTGCTGGGGGCGGTTGAAAATGATGGAGGCCGTGATACGCGGCCTTCAACATCGTCGTTTACAGAGAAGAAGTCGGGGTCTGTCAACTCGCTGTCTGAACAGGAAGACGTCAATGAGAAGCTTGAGATCAGTTTCAGCAGAGAGTAATGGAATACGAAACCGAACAAACACATGCTACGAATTCCTACAAGAGGTTATGTCAGTCGGCGTATTCCAGCGTATCTGTTGCTTACGGTCCTGGTGTGGGTGGAATCTAGTCTCACACAATTCGGAACACGCCGGTCTCGATGTTGGTAAAGGCAACGCAGCTTCCCGTTTCTCGTTCGTATTTTCCCGCTACATCTCCCACGGTTCACCAAGCCATTGCACAACCCCCGCCCTCAGAGCTCCTTCTTCTCGGACCCATTCTTCACCACCTCGCTGTACGTTGGCTCGTCTTCAGTCTCAGCACCAGCAAGCCCATCAATGATCTCCTTCCCAAACCCATAGATAAACTGCGTCGCCGGAAAAACAAGCCACAGCCCACTGCCAGTTTCGTTAGTATACACACCCTCAATTTCCAGCCACCAGCCACAAACACAAAAAGCAAACTTACTTCGGCACCACCCAAAGAACCACCAGCCTAAAGAGATCGTTCTGCCCAATGTTCTCATACCCCGAACAAATCTCATTCAGCCAATACAGCACAGTCTTGCTCTCGGTCATAACCCCGGCCGCAAAACCAGTCAACACCGCCGCCGCCGCCCTCTTTCCCCTAATCTCCCCAGTAACCTGATCTTTACTCGTCCACCAAATCCAAGCATACACGAGGTACATGGCCGTCTCGATGGCGTTCATCCAGCTCTGTGCAGCCGGGAACCCAGACCCGGCGTGCCACTGCTTCCAGCCGTAGTTGCCGTCCACCTCGCCGTAGAGCGCGTAGGGTACCCAGAAGGGCGAGTGTATGGACCCGCCAGGCATTGTGTGAGGCCGGAATATGACATAAAAAAAGTCCCAGGTCACGGCGGGGAGGGAGAAAGCGAGCCACAAGAGGGTCAGCTGGGTTGGGGTGTGGGTAAATGTCATTTTTTGCAGTTGTTGGTATGCAATATTGTATCTCCGTGGGGGCGATTGAGGATTGACAACGAGGACAACAATGTTGATGAGAATAAATATTAAAGGGTGAAGATGAAACAACAGCAAGAGGGAGTGGACATGCCAGCTTACTTAGCCCATCTCATCTGTTCCGCTTCCATGACATCGGATGACTTGCGTTGCCGTGATGTGTGAAGGATGAAACATGCCGAAAATGAGGGGCTGTCCAATCAGCAGCCAGTCTTGTTGGTCAACAGGCACGTCCGTGACCAAAAGAGCCCAGACAAGACATCGATAATATGGACCTTGTGATGCTATTGGTCCGCCAAGAATGTAACTCAACCTCGTCTTTTTGAGCACGGGGGTGGGATTGGCTGATGTCACAGACGGCCCTGGTTCAAAAGTTCCCGAGGCCAAGAGAACATCTTTAATTGACTGATCGTGGAGATGGTTGCGCATCCCAACATGTCATAATCGTCCACCCTTCCAACAAGATATGTATGATAGCAACTTCCAACCCGGGTGATATCAATACTCGATTCCTTCCTCACGCCCGCCCTTCGAGATCCTAACCATGCCCGCCAAACCTTGCTAGCAGTGGCCCAAAACCTCGAACTCAGAGCGCCAAAGCCAGGAGAAAGCCAACCGCCATTGCCTGGAGGCTTCTAGACACAGGGTCAGCAAATTTGCTCAAGCCATAGGGATATGGGCACATACCGGCCAAAAAGCCCATTCGTGTCAGCAGCTTGATTTGTCGAATTGGTCGTCGTGGGGGCAGACTGGGTAGCTGTTGATACCTCTGGAGAGCCTGTGCCTGTTGCAGCCGACGATGTCGCAGAATCTTGAGAGGTGGCAGACAAAGTCAAGTTCGAGTTGGCCGTAGGAGCGGTCAAGTTGGATACCACGCTCGTGATGTTGGCAAGGATAGAGCTTGTGAGTTCCGACAGTTGGGACGCGTCAATGGGTGGCAAGGTGACCTCCAAATCGCCAAGGCTGTTCCCGGGCGTGAAGGTGACGGTGGCCTGAGGTGGCTTCTGCTGGTTGCTGTACACTGTGACGGTGCTGAGGCCGACAGTGGTGAGCTGAGCCAGCTGCTGGGTCCCGTTGGTCAACCCGTTGCCAACGATCACGGTGGCTGTTGTCGCAGCCACAGTGACGAGGGACACGTTGTCGGCCCTGGCGAGAGCGGCGGCGAGCAGGGCTCCGTGAAGAAGCATTGTCGGGAACATCTTGAGAGGGCCGATGGTGAGAAGGCCGTGATGCGTATTTGTCGGCCGAAGGACGAGGCAGATGGGATACTAGCTGAATCGGAATGTTGAGAGACAGGTTGGAATAGCGGCTCGATGTATTCATTTGGTTGTGGAGAGGAATCTTGCAACACGGGGGAGAAGACAGGACCGGGGAGAAAGCCTTCCACATTCAGCTTCCCAACCAAATTCCGCCCAAGTCACCTGGATGCAGGACCGCAGAGTGGGAGGCACCTTCCTCATCAAAGGCAACTGAAGGCAGCAGCCTGGCAATGGCATCATCCGCCCTGTTTCCAGCTGCGCCCAAGTACCTAACAAACCAAAGGGAAGCTCCGAACCCCGTCCATGATCACTCTGCGGACTGGCTGTGGCAGAAGAGAGAGAACATGATGGCCTTGTGCTTGTTTGACGACAGGGACGACAAGTGGACGACCACATTTGGATATTCCCCGCGAACAGGAGGAGGTCGTGGGTGACCGCAGGCTCCTTCCTGAACACACCGTGGGGCTCGGGGGTCGGTGACGGGAGTTGGTGGAGTCTTGTCGAATTTGTACGAGCATGTTCAGTCGAGACTTCCTGACTGGCCAGCTCAGGTGCCAGTGGCGGGCCTGAATAGTGGAAGTTGCTTGCTTGATGCTGTGGCAGGAGCGTTGGGCGATATGTAGGTAGGTACCTTAACTCTGAGCAATTCTCAGCTGCATAAATGAGAGCAGAACCACGGCACTGTGAGATAAACTTGAACAGGAAATTGGTATCATGATGTACAAAAATGCTCGGTGTATACAAAATGTAACTGACATGGCCTATCAACCGCCCCTTGACTATACCTCTTTACAGCAAAGCAGCGCCGACGAGAAGCATCACGCCTGTGAGAGCGAAGCTTCCAAACGATACCCTCTCGCCCATCATTGGTGCGGCGGCACTAGGTTGTGAGGTGGTCGCCGCCGGAGCGGGCGCCGTGGTTTCCGACCCGCTGGACCCCGAATTGGACGATGAGCCAACGAGCGCCGACAGTGTGTCATCCGGCTGAAAGGATGCCGTGACGGCGCTGCCGTTGACACAAGAGCCGCCGGGGGCTGGCGCGGAACCAGACACGAAGTTGACAGCGGCGCACTGTTCCCTGTGTTAGCGTATCGAGATACCGGGACATGTCGGGGAATTTGGCACATACCGCGTATAGAATGCCATCGCCAGCATTGCCGCTGATGCCTAGGAACCCCTTCTTCCCAGCCCACTCACCGGGCACTGTCACAACAGGCTCGCAGAAGTTACCACGCCCAGTTTGTTGCACAATGGGGAACAGCTGCTCCCAGTCGCCGCCGGCTTTGGGGTCAAGGGTACCACGGATCAACCAATTGCCCTGAGCATGCCCATTGAATAGTTGTACGTAGTCGCCTTCGACGTGGAAATCGGTCGCCGTGTTTTGATCAATGTCGGCATTGGCACCACCGCATGGTGCCGTGGCCTGCGAGCTGCTCTCAGCCGTCAGAGGAGAGGGATGTTGAAGCTCGAAGTGGGCATTGGCTGTTGTCGACAGGAGAAGGAGGCCGGCAGCGAGAACGGATCTGAGAGACGCCATGTTATCGTAATGAGAGACTGAAGAGTAAGGTGGAACAGGAGGAGCAGACAACAAAACAAAGGCAACGGGGCCAGGGAGAGTTTAAAGGAATTGAGGCGGAGTTCCCCTTCGAGCTCCAACAGGGGGGAGCTTAAAGAGGGACAGTGCCGAGTCGCGAGACAGGGACCAGATGGTTGTATGGGTACGTACCTTTGTTGATCCACTTGGCGATATCTGCTATCAACCATCAACTTGACATGCGTTTCTACTTCCTATTTCATCCCATTTAGTCATGCCAATAACTCTGCCCGACAAACAAAAACTAACCAATTGACGTCGACAGCATGCTCTCTTCTTCACGATATCTCGGGAAGCATTCCATGCCGTAACACATTGATGTTACGACTGAGAAACCGGGATCCTGGGTCGCAGTGACATAAGACCAGCACCGGCAGACTCGGCACCGCCTATGTATGTGACCTGAGCCTCCACGAAGAGGTATCTATTTAGAATCGGCCTCGCGTTGAGATGCTCGACATCGCTACATCAGGTCTCGATGTCAGTGGGAGCTGCTTGTCACCATCTGTCAAGCTTTCCGCCCAGATGTTGCGGAGCTTATCAGGACGACATCAGGTAGCTGATTTCCACCAGATAATCTCAGACAAGTCGCCTCACCACCATATCTATCTCTGGGCCGTGGCATGGAGGGTTTCCCAACACATCCCAATGTTCTCTACTTAGGTATGCTTCCAGATCAACGTGTGGAGTGAGTGTACCTACTCACATATTTGAAGAAGTGAAGCATGTCGTCAGCAGTTGTGTGGGGTAGATGCATCTTGTGCATGAATAACGGCGCCAAACCGCAAATGGAAGCTGCCAGGGTCTTTGTGTGCGGGTGGTCTTTCCCCAGAGGGGCATAGCCTGGCGCAGGGCGAGGGGGTTTGAGCAAATTCTGGGCCGCTAACGATCTGATTTCTGGCAACGCCGCATCCTCATGCGCACGACAATGTTCTCTAGCCAGTGACAACTTGCTCTGCCCGTCTCAGCTTCCTTGCTGGGTGAGGATGCTGCGGCTTCACGATGATCGCAAATGATGGAGCTGTGTCTGTGGTGTACGACCTTTTCCATGCCTTGTTTGCCTATGGGGGCGGTGTCCTTCGGCTTGTGTGGGACTATGGGACACCTACACGGCAGGCGGATCTCAAATGGCTGGCATTTAGCCACCAGGGACCGGTGACTATCAGGGCCATCATCATTCGATGCTATTCTTCTTGTTTGGCGACTTTTTTTATCCGTTGTTAATGAAATCGCATCAAGATTATTGACCCGGCAATCCACCCCGCCGGTACTGCTGCTGAAGTTGCACTGCGCTACTGTGTTCCATCCACTCTCGCTCACTGCTCGCCTCCCTGGCCATTTGGGTCCAGATTTTCCAGATCCCCGGAGCCTCCTTGTTTCCCGTCATTTGCCGCCAGACAGGAACCTCACCCGGCGTTTCCTCGCGAGATTTTTGTCCTGCGGACCCATTCATCACAGGAGACTCACGCCAGGCTAGGAGACTGATTAGTGGTAAAAGAGTCAGGGTATCACAACCTCGAGCCCGGTGAAGGGAAGAGTTGACCGACATATAAGGGAGGGCCTTGCCGCCCATTTGGTGACGGCAGCATCAAAAAGCTGTGGGAATGGATCATGATCATGGCTCCCACGGGGGCGGTGGGACGGGAAACACGACCTACCCTGTTACAAACGAAGAACTGGCGCAGCGGTTCTGGTACATTGTCGCGGGGTTTGTGGGCGCGTTTCTGGTCTGCCGGGTTATAAACTGGTACAAGTTGGAAAGAAGGTTAGCGGTTATTCCTGACATTTCTACCAGAGCTTGACTCATGCTAACAAGGGGCACTTGTTCTCAGACTACGACGGCACACGTCGAGTTCCGTCCAATCTCCAACAAAACCGGACACGGCCTTTCTAGAGCTGTGGGCAACCTTTACGGCCGTGGTTCGTGAAGTTAGCTATCCCCAGCTGTATGTCCCAGTAAGGGGGTTTTCCTGGTTGACGCCGCCTCCAGGAGGCCGCGTCATTGTCCTGTTGGTGTACTGGATCATCGTGATTTACATGGCCACCGATGGTGCCATATTTCCAGATGTCTTTCATTGGGAACGCATTGGCTATCGCAACGCTTGGGTCACTATCACCCAGCTGCCGCTGCTCTATCTGCTTTCTTCCAAGTGCAACGTTGTAGGCTTCATCACGGGTATCAGCCATGAGAGGCTCAACTGGCTGCACCGATGGGTGGCCCGCACCATGCTCGCCACAGGAGCTGTTCACGGCTTCTACTTTTATGCCGATTGGGCGCGTTCTGAGCTTGTCGACTATCAGATCAAGATGATGCCCATGATCAAGTATGGGTTCGGCGCCTGGGGTCTTTTGTTATGGGCCTGTGTCTCGGGGCTGGCCCCATTGCGGCGGTTGTCCTATGAGTTCTTTGTCTTGCAACACATCGTCACTGCTGTCTTGTTGCTATGGTTGATATACGTCCACATTCCTGTCGACGCCAGATACAACCTGTGGTTTGCCATTGCGGCCCTCTGCTTCGACCGGTTTTGCCGAACAGTGATGTTGGTTTGGCAGAACGTTAAGGCGTTGCCTGACAAGAAGAGATGCACGGGAGGACAACGGATTGGGCATCAAGCCCAGGTGCGTGCGGTTGGGGACTCGATCACGGTAGTTACCATCAAGGATGTCCACTTCAAGTGGAGAGCTGGACAGCATCTTTATCTTTGGATGCCCCGAGTTGGTATTGCCGAAGCTCACCCTTACACCATTGCCTGCGCCCATCAGCTCCCCGAGACTTGCATCTGCACCAGCATTCAACTTGTCGTTCGCAAACACGGTGGATTTTCCAAACGACTGCACGAATTAGCGACCAAGGCCCAGTTGGCTGGGAAGAAGGAGAGGCTGACAGCATTTGTCTCCGGGCCGTATGGAGCGCCACCGCGGTGGGACATTTACGAGACCATAGTACTCATCTCGGCTTCTACCGGTGCATCCTTTACGCTGCCCATTCTCGAAAGTGTGCTCCAACACAAGGGCACAAACTGTGTCAAGAGGATTGACTTCCTCCTGACCACCAAGCAGGGCGAGGAGATTGACTTTTATGTGACGCGACTCCACGAGCTGATTGAGCATGCCAAAGGCACAGGCATCGAGCTCCACGTTCACATTGCCGTTACCCAGGGGCCGACATCGTTCCCGGTCAGCCAAGATGGCGTGACTGCCGACAGCTCGTCTGGTTCCTCTACAGGAACCAACTTTGGACGAGGGAAGAAGGTGGCTGATGAGAAGATCACGAGCCAGAGACCATTATCCAGTCCCGGCGACATCGAACAAACAGCACGGGCGATTCCAGTGGAGCGGAAGAGGTCGAGCCACGCCAGTACGGACTCGCACGTATTTTACTCGAGTGTCCGACCAGACATTGAGGCCTACATCAGAGGACCTGTGGAGGCAACCGGGGGGGAGACCAGCGTCGTTGTATGTGGCGGCCCAAGTCTTGTTGCCAGGACAAGAAATTGCGTTGCGAGCCTATCGGATGAACGGGCGGTTCACAAGGGAACAGGGGCACAAGGGATACAATTATTTGCTGAAGAGTACAGTTTCTAGATGAGGTAGATAGATAGATATCTTACATCTGGTCTCAAATGATACCAACATCCATCCCAACACCAACAAGCAAGGCTGTGCGACTCAGCCCTGGAGAAACTGAGAGTTCTTATTGGCTGTGAATTTGTAGTGGGGCGACTGCAAGGCGTGTTACGGAGTAAACATTTTTTTTTTTTGGCTCGTCAGTTGGACTGGTCTCAGGCTGGCAGTCACCACCAGCGACTCAGCAGTTGTGAGTCAACGTTGGCCCACAGATGTGACTGACGGTCCGCCATAGGGTTGGTACCAGTTGAGAGAGGGTGAATCAACCTACAAGATAAAAAGCACCCATGCTTTCCCTACCGGTCCGCCCAAGCGCCCTTTTGCCTTGCCTCCCGCGCTCCAGGTCTCTTCTTTTACACAGACACTTCTTGGCAGGCACGCGCACACTGCATTCTTTTGGGCCCCACTTCCAGACACTGAACCCCTCCATCCGGAAGCCGAACCCCTCCACTGAGAAATTGAGCCCCTCCATTCTTTCGCGAACCGGCATCACCGTCACCTGCAACCGCTACAACTCCTGGCAGTCACCACGACGATACACACACAGCACCACAGCCATGGAACAGCTTCAGCAACAGGTCGAGGGCCTTAATCTCAATGCCATCACCGAGTTTCCCAACTGCTACCCCGATGTCAACCCCCTCGATGTCTACCGCGCCCATCTCGCCAACGTCCTGACCGAGGTTACCGGTGTCGACAAGAACATCATCTACCCTGCCCTGTCATGGACTCAAAGTCTTGACAAGGGCGACTTGGTCCTCGCCGCGCCCGCCCTCCGTCTCCCCAAGGGCGGTCCCAAGCCCGACCAGATCGTTCAAGATTGGGCCGCCAAGTTCCCCGAAAACGACCCTCTCTTCGAGAAGCCACACGTACACAGCTACTTCATGTCTTTCTTCTTCAAGGGCGCGCCCCTTGTCAACAGCATTCTCCCCACCATTCTCCAGAAGGGCAAGACATTCGGTACCAACCCATCATTGGGTCTCAAGGACCCCAAGGAGCCAAGCGCGGGACGAAAGAAGATTATTGTCGAGTTCTCGTCGCCGAATATTGCGAAGCCTTTCCACGCTGGTCACCTTCGCAGCACGATTATCGGCGGTTTCCTCGGTAACCTGTATGAGGGCGCAGGATGGGACGTGACCAGGATCAATTATCTTGGTGACTGGGGCAAGCAATACGGTCTTCTGGCCCTGGCGTTCGAGAAGTTCGGTGATGAGAAGGCTCTGGAGCAAGACCCCATCAACCACCTCTTCCAACTCTATGTTCGCATCAATACGGAGATGACCGAGGAGAAGGAGCAAATCGCGAAGCGCAAGGAGGCTGGTGAGGATGTGACAGAGGCCGAGGCCAACAGCTTGGACGAACAGGCCCGTCGCTACTTCAAGAAGATGACCGACAGGGATGAAAAGGCGCTGGCCATGTGGAAGAAGTTCCGCGACCTCAGCATTGTGAGGTACAAGCAGACCTATGCCCGTCTCAACATTCACTTTGACGAGTACAGCGGTGAGAGTCAGGTGTCCGAGGCTGACATGGCTGATATCGGAAAGCAGCTGGAGGAGAAGAAGATCAGCAAGGAGGACAATGGCGCGCAGCTTATTGACTTCTCCGAGCTTGTCCCCGGCAAGGAGGGCAAGCGCCTGGAGAAGCCTCTTGTCAGGAAGAGGGATGGCACTGCTCTCTACCTGACCCGTGATATTAGCGAACTGTTGGCTCGTCATGCCAAGTACAACTTTGACAAGATGATCTACGTCGTCGCCTCGGCCCAAGACTTGCATCTCAAGCAGCTCTTCAAGATCATTGAGCTCTTGGGCCACAAGGATATTGCTGATAAGTGCCAGCACATCAACTTTGGCCTGGTTCTCGGTATGAGCACTCGCAAGGGTACCGTCAAGTTCTTGGATGACATTCTCCGCGATGTTGCCGACAAGATGCACGAGACCATGAGGAAGAACGAGGACAAGTATAACCAAGTGGAGAACCCCGAAGCTGTTGCCGACGTCCTTGGTATCAGCTCTGTCATGGTCCAAGATATGACTGGCAAGAGGTAAGCAAGCAACATATGCCCCACTGGGTGCGAATTGGAATCAAGAATACTGACCTTTGGGGATAACAGGATCAACAACTACACCTTCAACATGGATCAAATGACATCGTTTGAGGGCGATACCGGCCCGTATCTTCAATATGCGCACGCCCGTGTGTGCTCCATTAAGCGCAAGGCTGGCCTCAGCGACGAGGAGATTGCTAGCGCCGACTTCTCACTGTTGACGGAAGCCCATGCTGTCAACATTGTCCGTCTTCTGGCGCAGTGGCCCGATGTCTTCAGTAACACCTTGAGGACGCTGGAGCCCACAACCGTGTTGGCCTACCTCTTCAAGATGACACACGCCCTGAGCAGCTCCTATGATGTATTGAGGATCATGGGTAGCGAGCCTGCGGTTTTGAAGGCCCGCATGGCGCTCTACGAGGCGGCCCACATTGTGCTGGGCAACGGCATGCGCCTGCTGGGTCTGAGCCCCGTTGAACGGTACGTCTCCATCCCATCATAAACCTCCTTGACATCATTTCTCGTGGTCGTGCATGACACTGACACCTTTTTAGTATGTAAATTTGTTTGTTTTTTATCGGGGAGCGGGGGCGAAGCATGGTGCCATGATGGTATAGTAGGTACGAAAAGCAATGAATGAACAACGAAGAATTACCAAGGTCATCTCAAATTGCTGCATGTTATGCTTCTGATGCATGGTTGTCAGGTGGACAACAAATGACTTCTAACCGACTTGACGGGCAATGTCATTGCTGTCGCCCCTCTGCAGACTCGCAGGGGAGCGCGGCGATCGCATACTGACTAGCACGCTGACCGCACCAACGCTTGACGTTTCTGTTGGAAAGGCAGAGGCCACGAGGAGAAGGTGGAAATGATTAGGAAGTGGGGTTGGGGAAACACCGATGGAGTGGAAGGGGTGGAAAGGATGTCCCGCTACTTCATGATGAAGAGATGTGTATCAAGCACAAACGCCCAACCCGGCGATTTACCCTGTGTGCAAGCCACTATTCGGCACTTCTTTATGGGGTGAGATACGGAGTGAGGGGGGGCTGGGGGGGTTCGAGAAGAGGTTGGTGGATATGGAAGCATGGAAGGGCACTCTCGGAGACATTTGAGATCCCGTCTTTTGTGTTCTTCCGGCTTGGTTGTCCGACAACTGTCATGCAGTTTGCCGGGGGTCGATCATGTCTGTGGCTCGGTTTGCTGCCTGGTGGTTTGCTGGCACATCACCTGTGGTGACTTTGTGTAGGCGGGTGGGGGTATTCGCTTGTCCAGGCTCGGTGCCGTCGGGCACTCGCAAGGGGCGGTATGGTTGGTGTAGGTTGCCATATCGTATTTGTATACACACACATGATACGTGCGGTTGAGGTTGTGGAAAGAGCCCCAACTGTTCCCAGTCCCACGTTTTGGACGGTTACGGGTGGCTACGGCGCCGGCGGTGGTGGTGGTGGTGGCGATGATCCAACATCTCGGCGCTGATGCTGGATGGGTGGCACGATGGGTCGATAATGTGGAAGGGAAAACAATGCTTCGGCGAAAGGGCCCTTGTGGTTGATACGGTGGAATGCGATGGGATGCGATTGGCCTGAGGACAAGAAGTTGGTTGCAGGCGAAGTGATAACCAAACATCCTTCCCGTGTTCGGTCCGCATCAAGGCGAGAAGGCCTTGTTTTATCTTGACTGATGATATTGCAATCAAGCATTGCCAAGCGAGCCGATGCTCCAGAGAAATAGATGCGACGCGATGGATGATGTACCAAGATTGCCGACTACTACCTTACCTTCTTGTCGATATCAACTTATTAGCCAAGCCACCAGCTCGAAGGAGGTCAGAGACTCGGAAAGATGGTGGGCTGTCCAGCCTTTGAAACCACTCAAAAAGTTCCGGCAAGCACCGTCTTTTTGTGCACGGGGAATTGGGAAGGATCCGGCGTCCCGAATACTCAGAAGCAGTGTCCCTCTGTGCGACGTTCGCTTCAAGTTGTTGGCAACACAACAGGAGCGAGTAAAGAAAGGAAGGGTAAAAAGAAGTGAAGATCCATGGATGACGTTGCAGCGGGGCGAAGCTGGGTTGATTGCTGAGCAGCAGCTTGGGAGGTCAAGGTAGCCAAGCCATTGGGTCACAGTGGAAGGGAAAGAAGGTTGTGACGGAGTATCCGTAGTGTGGTGGAAAAGGGACTTGAGTGGCTTCCATAAGGCGAGTGGGCTGCGTGGGCGCCGAGGGGCCAGGGTCAATCACCGAGAGATGCATACCTAGTCTTGGCTGTCATTGGTAAAGTCAATTCCCCCATTATTTACCACACTTTTCCTCTCAACGATGAGATCGATCGATAAGCTCAGATAAAGACATGCTAAGAATAGCCGTGCGGGACGTCAGGTCAAGTGGGCGAAGTGAGTGTGGGGAGTTGCTCTCAGACCCTTTACACACAGCAAAATAACAACAACAACAACAACAGCAACAACAAACACGGACTCACAGTCAGGTCGGGCACAGATGAGGTCAGTTGTCAGCTGGACACAGCAGCCGAGGGGTCAATCAATAATACACAACACGCTGTCAAGCTGTGGAGAGAAGCTAGCTACCTTGCCTGGGGAGCCGGGGTCAGCCGGGCTGTGATTCCGGACAATGTGCGTCTGGCCTGCTGCCGTGAACGTGTGGCTTCGGCTGTTGTGGACAACTGAGACCAATAAGACATTCGGTCTGGCCTTGCCGAAAAGTGCGGCTCACAAAAAACATCCCGAAGGGGGGGGCTGAGTAGGAGGGACGGGTTGTTCGGTCTTGGCTGGTCGTTTTCTTCCCTCATCCCGCAACCCGTTGGCAAGTGGTCAGTGGGCGATTTAGTGCCGCCGAGAAAAACCGGTTTCAAACCTTATTTTAGCTGCTTGTATTGCCGAAATGGAGGGTACAGCTTTCTCCTCGCCCTCAGGTTTGTCCTCCAAGGCCAAGCCAAGTCGTTCGCAATGGGATATGCAACGAACCACTGTATGCCATGGTCGTCGGCATTACCACCGCCCTGCGACCCTTGGTTCCATGTCATGTATGCACCAACAACCAGGCTAGAGCAGAGTGACTGATCTTCAGGTTCTGATGGCCAGTTGCAACGACCACTTTTGTTTTCTCTCCTGCAGCATCTTAGGCGAGGTGGTTACTTGTTTTGTTGAGATCCTTTCATCATGATCCCAGCAGTCCAAGGAAGACACATGCCCGTAGGGTCCATTCCGACGTGATGGGTAGGAAAGAGACAAGCATGCCCTGTGGGACTAAGGCATGGCTGTATGTACTATGTAGAGCGGGCGGCGAATCTTGTCCTGCGTGTTTCTTTTCCTTCGGTGTCTTGGTAATTCCTTGGTAGTTCTTCGTTCCCTATTGGCTGGTGGATGATCCCACTGGTGAGCTGGGCTGAGTGGGCTGTACTGGAACGGATTATCTATGTTGTCGATACCCCGAGTATCACCACATATCATACCCCTTCTTCCTCGCTACTGGCATCAGGTTTCTCTCCTACCCATCATCCGCCCACTTTACTGCCTACCTCTTTGACATATACCGGTCCCCGTACACCCTGAACCAAGACATCCAGTTCCTTTCAAACTACCTACATCGTACCCGGTGGTTAGCAGTCCGAGACTCATCATCCTCGTTGTGGTTCACCATCTACAGGCCATGGCCTTCGCTTTACTTCTCTTATTGGCGACAGTGGTTGCCCTGGTGGCAGTACATCGCTACCTCAACCGACAAAAGCTACCAGCAGGCGTCCGTCCCTTACCGGGCCCTCGAGGCATCCCATTCATTGGCCGAGTACACGACATCCCGGAGAATGCCTCGTGGCTAAAGTTTTACGAATGGAGTAAGGAGTATGGCGCCATCTACCAGATGGAGATCTTTGGCACTGTCCATGTCTGGATTTCGTCTGAGAAGGTTGCCCATGATTTGCTGTCCAAGAGGGCTCTGATCTACTCGGACAGACCGACGATTCCCAACTTGCCTGATAACAGGACCAGTGGTGATTACCTTGCCTTGTTGGGCCGCACTGGTATGCGCCCTCCTCTCTCATCCTCGAACACAATCCGGTGCTAGAATACTAACCAAGACATGAACAGAAACATGGAAGCGCCAACGCAAGCTCTGCAACCACTTGATGCACACCTCGGCCCTCGCCTCGCTTCACTCATATCCCACCCGTGAGCGCGATAGATTTCTTTACCTCATGGGAAGCGACCCTTCCAAGTACCTCGAGTGGATCGAGCAGTTCACGTCTCGCACCGTCTCTCGCCTGTCCTGGGGAACCGCCAAACCAGCCCAGATCCTCCGGCACACGACCTTTGGCCTGCTGCAGACCATCTCACCTTCCGGCGCGTTGCCAAACATCATCTCCTTCCTGCAGCACGTCCCTCTTGCGCTAAGCCCGTGGAAGAAGAAGGAAGCGGCTAGACACGCGCTCGAGGACAGGTTGTTCAAGGCCAATATCGACTTTGTCAGGAGAAGTCTCGAGTCTGGAAGGGGTGAGGAGTCCTTTGTCGGCACGTTCATGAAGAGCCAGTTGCCTGCTGAGGGTAAGGACGAGAAGGAGAGGTTGAAGTGGGGAGATCAAGAGGAGGCGATGCATGTTGTCGGTCTGATGGCGATCGCTGGGGCGTTGACGATTGGGAGCCCGATTCAGAGCTACATCCTGGCCATGTGTCATTACCCCGAGGCTCAAAAGGCGTTGCAGGAGGAGATTGACCGGGTTTGCGAGGGGAGGTGCCCGCAGTGGGAGGACAGGGAGAAGCTGCCTATGCTGAGAGCGGTGGTCAAGGAGGTGATTCGGTGGAGGCCGCCGGTGCCCACGGGCATTCCCCATGCGATTGAGAAGGATGATGTCTATGAGGGGTATCTCATTCCCAAGGGGGCGACGATTCATGCGTTGGAGTGGTGAGTTTTTGCCTTCCCCCTTTCCCCCCCCTTTAGTGTGATGAAGCTAACAAGTGGAAAAACAGGGGCATCACCCGCGACGAGGAGACCTACCCCTGCGCCGATGAGTTCCTTCCGGCCCGCTGGGTCGACCCGGCCTATCCTACCTTCAAGGAGCCCCTCACACAATACCCGAATCTCAACGGCTTTTCTCAGTTTGGTTTTGGCAGGCGAACGTGCCAAGGCATCCCCATCGTGGAGCAGGATCTGTTCCTCTCGATGGGCGGCATGGCCTGGGCCTTTGACATCCGCAAAAAGGTAGACCCGGTGACCGGCAAGGTCATCCCTGTGCACTGGAACGACTACACGCCTCTCTTGATCGCCAAGCCCTGCAAGTTTGACTTTGACGCCATCCCAAGACAGGAGGGTAGGATGGAGGAGCTCAGGCAAATGTTTGATTCTGCGAGGGAGGAGGAAGAGCAAAAAGACAAGGCGATCGCGATGGATATCAGCCAGTTTGAGAAGGACCTGGGTGCCGAGAAGATTTACCGCGACAAGGCATGTGAGATTAGGTATGCCGACGCTGCGGCGCAGTCGGATGAGCTTGAGCAGACGGCCTCTGAGGGGTCTTCGACGCCACTGGAGCCTGGGCTTGAACTTGGGGATTCGAGTTCCGAGGCCGATACCGAGAGCGACTTCGGAAAGGAATCGCTCAGCACGGGGATGAGGGTTGTGTTGGACGGCCGGGTTGAGAAGACGCTCGGGATTGAGCCTGTGGTGAGCGTGACGGGAGTACCAGGCGCGTGGAAGTGGGCTTAGTGATGATGGCTGGCCATGATTTTGCGATGTTTCTAATGAATGAGGGCTGCATTGGGATTGGGACTTGTGCTGGGTATTTGGGTCTATCAAAGTGAAATACCCAAAGGAAACTGGTAGTATTTGGATGGACGGAGTTTGGAAAAATGGGTTGGTTGTTTTGATGATCGACAGGGCGGGTGCCCTCTTTTCTTTTGTTTTTCTTTCTTCTTATTCAATTAGTATTAGCATAACCTAAGGTAGGTTTCTTGGAGCAGATAGCAACTGAACTCTCCTCTTGAAATGACTAAGAAACGTGCCCTACATGGCCATCGAGGTAGCAATTTGACTCTCGTTGTCTTGTAACTACGCTTAAGGGTGCTGGTGTTGTTCAAAGTTTAGTTCAATGTTAACTCGTGCGACAAAGAGCCGGGATGACTGGATGTTGATGGATTCGGATGCTGACGAGAACATGAGGGCGCCCGCATGATGTTCTGGAATGAAGAGAGGCCCGGAAAATGGCTTTCATCTCGCGTTGGGCGACTCTGCATAGAGCATTGTGTGGTGGAGTGGCAAAACGGCTGGTGGCTTGACCAATAGCACGGCCATCTCTCCTGCCCAGGCATTAACATGGAACGGCGAATCTTGCGAGAAGGACCCTTCTTCTGGCGTTGACCTGGCTAAATGTGTTTATGGTGGTATCCAAGCCCGGTAGCGTCTTTTCTACCCACCAACGAGAAGCGTCAGATGCCTGTTGGTGCTGGCTGTCACTAACGGCCCCATGTGACTGCTCCGCCGTACAGTCTTCTTAGTGGCCGCCATGTCCACGACCCCAAGGCACCATGCTCTCCCATGTGGCCAATCCAGCGTGGCGTCTTGCAGTGCCGCTGCCAGACAGCAGCATGATAAGCAGGAGAGATGACAGATGACAGGGGGCTGGGACAGTTAGGTGGTATAGGTCGATATTAAAAACCTGGGGAACTGCCGTATTCACCTGGATTTCACCCAGGCTCAGGCTCTCAACATCATCATCACCGGGCAACCTCCTTCCCACTTTTTCTCGACCTCTCCCATCACCTTGACCAGCACACAATGGGCCAGGGACCCAGCACCAGCGCCCTGCAGCAATGCATCCAGGGGGTTGCCAACAACCGAGCCAACTTCGCTGCTTTTGCCGGGAGCCCACTTTACCAGATTCAATGGGTCAAGCCGTATAATCTTGATGTGCCCGTCGAGCCTGCCGCCGTGGTGAGGCCAGAGACGGCACAGGATATTTCCGACATTATCAAGTGCGCCAATGCCAACGGCGTCAAGGTGCAGGCCAAGTCTGGGGGGCACTCCTATCAGAACTACGGCGCTGGCGGGAGTGATGGGGCCGTTGCCATCGACATGGTCAACTTTCAGAAATTTTCAATGGACACCAAGACATGGTATGCTACCATAGGGGCTGGAAATCGCCTGGGAGAGGTGGACAAGAAGATGCACGCTCAAGGAGGACGGGCCATGGCCCATGGTGTCTGTCCTGGTGTTGGCCTTGGTGGTCATGCTACGATTGTAAGTGACTCTTCAAATCATGTCTTGCTGGATGCCTGCTAACTTGACCATCAAAGGGAGGATTGGGCCCCATGTCGAGAATGTGGGGATCTGCCTTGGATCATATTGTCGAAGTTGAAGTCGTCACCGCCGACGGCAAAATCCAGAGAGCGAGCGCCACGCAGAACGAGGATCTTTTCTGGGCCCTCAGAGGCTCTGCGTCTGGGTTCGGAGTCATCACCGAGTTCGTTGTGAGAACACATCCCGAGCCGGCCAACGTTGTTCAGTACGAATACACCATCAAGCTCGGGAAACAGGCCGATGTCGCTCCTTTGTACTCGAAATGGCAGGCTTTGATGGCGGACCCCAAGCTTGACCGTCGGTTCGGATCCATGTTCATCATGTTCCCTCTTGGCGCTATCATCACTGGCACATTCTATGGAACTCAGGAGGAGTTCTTGACAACTGGCATCCCCAACGCTCTTCCGCAAGATGGCAACGGCCATCTGGTCATCAACGACTGGCTTGGGGGTTTGGCTCATGATGCCGAAAAGGAGGCACTGTATCTGTCTGGGCTTGCTATGCCATTCGTATCACGCTCTCTGGCCTTCAAGCGACAGGACCTCCTGGGACCGGAAAAGATCAAGGACATTTTCAACTGGGTCGACACCCAAAAGAAAGGCACGCTCCTGTGGTTCATCATCTTCGACGCCGCAGGGGGTGCTATTGAAGACGTACCGCAGAATGCCACGGCCTTCGCTCATCGTGACAAGGTCATGTACTACCAGTCTTATGGTATTGGACTGCCCGTGACAAAAACCACCAAGGATTTCATCACCGGATTTCACGACCAGGTTGTTCAGAAAGCCGGTCCAGGCACTTGGGGCACGTATCCAGGGTACGTCAACAACGCTTTGGTCAACCAGCAAAAGCAGTACTGGGACTCCAACCTGCCCGCATTGGAGCAGATCAAGGCTCGGTGGGACCCCAAGGACTTGTTCCACAACCCAGGGAGTGTGAGGCCTGCCAAGAACTAGTGTCTTGTCCTCATTTTCAGGCGATTTGTACTTGTAGAATAGAGATACCCGATTGCATTAATGTTTACGTGTTATCTGGCTTCCGAATCAGGACATGACTTTCACTCAAGTGATCCTTGGACTAGGTAGTTGGATGTAGTTGAGGACGGGTGAATGTGTGCAAAGCCACTCAAAACAGCCACCCAACCCCAAACATTCAGCCGCTGGGCTCCCTCGTGATGCTTCACCCCTTGCCAATAAATATGTATACAAAGTATGCGGGATCCTATCTCCGACTTTCACAGCTAAGGTTCTCTCCATCTCTCCACGATCATCTAAGCGACCAACCCCTTTCTACAGCGATGACTGACACAGATCTTCTGCCGGACGCCGTGATTAGATGGGCTCCCACAATTGATGCACTTGACAAAGCCATCGCCAAAAACATGCCCCTGTGTCCATCCACAAGCTCCGGCGAACAAGCATTCAACCATTTCTGGCATAACGTCTTTACCTCCCTTGCCGCCGAAATCGAAGAAGATGACACCATCCCCTTGCACCTGACTTCGCCTCCCCGTCCCACCTTCTACATCAAGATTTTCACGAAACCAGTTCGGGACAGGACTTGCTGATGTGATAACACTGGCTATAATTTCCAAATCGTCCTTAGAAACCCATCTGGTGTGACCAAAGGGGATTTGGTAAGGGGCATAAGGGATTATCTGTATAGCGAGGAAGGGTCACAGACAAGGGTTTTCTACAGGCCAGGACAGCCGGGCGATGAACTGGGAAAGCAGGAGGTGGATATGAAGCGGGTAGTGGTTTATGATTCGACTTGGTATATCATGGACAATGAAGAGGACATACCTGATGAAAATGAAACACGTTTCAAGGGATGCACATGGAAGAATCCCGAGATCGTGCTGTTTTGTTGCACGATGGAGAAGGTGGAGGAACGACGGAAGGAAAACAACAGAATTGGGGACACGCATATGAAAGATGCGGCGGAGTGACCCAATTGTAGGTGTTTCCAAGCGTGTGCCTGCACGCAAACCAAAATAAATCCAACTCATGACTTACCCCAAACGCCTTGATGTAAACCAAAGGGCATTGCGCTGATTCCTGAGGCCAAAAACCGCCTGAAACCCTTAAACCCAAAATGCAAAAGACATGACAGTGTGCCCGACCCGGCTCCTTTCTGTCCTTGATCCTCGCCCTCGGACCTTCCATCCATGACGACACGAGCGTCCCTTGTCCAACCAAATTCAAAATATTATAAACAGCTCTTCACCAACCACAGTGCGGGCATGGCTCGTTGTTGTACGTCGCATTGGCCAAACAGATCTCAGTCCCACTGTCTTCTTTCTTGCTTCCTCTGCCTGATTCGGCTTCCGCATGTTCTTGATCCTCCTCTTCCGGCTCCTCCATGACGACACGGGCGTCTCCTTGTTCTTGCCCTCCAGCTTCCTCCTCTTCTTGATCCTCCTCGCTGACGACCCAGCCGTCAATCTCCCAGTATCCTGCCTCTTCAGTTTGTTCCTCGTCTTGCTTCAGCCACTCGCGTTCTTGCTCTTTCTCCTGCAGTATCGCCATGACCGCACGAGCGTCGTCCTTCATGCGTTCTGGCTCTTCAAAATCTGGTGCCAAAAGTGCGAGCGGATCAAGCTGGCGGTAGAATTGTTGCCACATAATTCCGAGTTCGCTGCTCGACAAAATGTTGTGATACACCCCCGTGCGAGGAAAACTCAACACTCGGGCTTCGAGCGCATGATCCTCGTTGTTCTTTGCGTTTTTCGTGAGCCTCTTCATGGCTGAGCCGAGTTCGGAGCCAGCTGCCTTGAGAACTTTTGTTGTTGTTTGGTCTAGCCAGTCCTGGTTGGGGAGTCTGCCGCTGAACTGGTCCCGGAACCTTGACAGATTCTCTGTCATGTCTTGACACGCCCTAGATCGGGCTTCGGCGGATTCATTGTTTGGAGCGGCCACGGCTTCCTTGCCAGCGAAATATGTGGCTTGGGAGACTGTCATGTAATATGCCAGCTGAGCAATGGTGCCGCGGACTTGGCGCATTTTCTCGCCGTAGATTGGTGGCAGAGGTAGAAGGTGTTCTTTGAGAGTGTTCCGATAGGTCTTGCTGGCGGCAGCGATGCTCGGGCGGGCTAGGTGGTTGTAAAGCGGTACGAGTCTGTTGCGCTCGTACGCCGGCGGAGTGTCTTCATTGTCGATTTCGCTGCAGTGGCAGTCGCAGGCGTTTGGGTGGTGGCAGTGGAACTGGCAGTCCTGCTGGTGGGTGCTTTTCCCGCAGCCGCAATCACAAGGGAAGTGGAATTGGCAACCGCAGCCAGGCTCGTAGTCATCATCATCATTCTCAGGTTGTCGTCATCATCCACGTCGAGTTCGTTGTCGTCATCCGCCTCCTCCTCATCATCCTCGGATTCGGCGTCATGATGGTGGAGAGCATTGTAGCTCTGGAAAGCTGTGTATGCTGGTGGCCTGTCATACGAAGGAGGGGCCCCAAGTTTCTCCTTCACCCCGCGGAGAGCGACGTTAGTAAACGGGTTCCTAAACCCAACTGAACATCCACAAGCGGCAATCCTATCGTCTACAACAAATTGATTGGCGTTTGTCAACGTGATCAATTGGCATTCATAAACGCTGTTTTAACGTTTGTACACGCAATTAAGTGTCGTTTACAAACGCATTTTTTCACGTTTTAGAAACGCTGTCTTGACGATTGACGTTTGAACACGCGATCAAGTGTTCTTTACAAACACATCTCTTGACGTTTAGAAACGCAGTTTTGACGTTGGTAAACGGACATTCACAAACTATCCATCGTCTACAAACGCATCTGTAACGTGTGTAAACGATAAGCTGTTGACTGAAAAGCAAAAGCAAACACTCGATACTTGCAGTTGATAACTGGTGATGGTGATGATGGTGATGGTGATGATGGTGATGGTGATGATGGTGATGGTGATGATGGTGATGGTGATGATGGTGATGATGATGGATGGTGATGGGTGAGGGAAAAAAAAGAAAAGGTCAGAGTGCACAGGAAGACGGTTGATATAGATTCAGATTTTAGGTTGTGCCCTAGCGGCAAGAAAAAAAGACCACGTTCAAAAGTTCGGTTGGGTATCATGTGGGTGTAAAAATTCAAAAACTGGAAATGGCCTCCATCGTGGTAACTCCTAAACGCCCATATTTCCACCATGACCTTCCCTCACGACCTCTCTCAAGACCTCGCGCTTCCGAAACTTGAACTTGTCCTCGTTGAGCTTGCACTGCTTCGTCTCGTCCATATTGAACCTAGCCCCTGGGCTTCTTGATATGTTGTTCGCGTGGGACCCGGTAGGCTCACGGCTTGCAGCTTCTCCAATCCCGACTTGAAGGCACTGTTGATGGCCACTCTGAGGCCCGAGATGAAGGGGTTGTGTGCACGGTGTTGGTGCTGTTCTGCTAGTTGGTAGTCGGCGGGGTGGGAAACGTGGTGATGAACTCGCTCAAGACGCTCCATGTCGTCGAGCATCATGTGGTAGTACTCTTCATCCTCCATAATGCGGTGGTGGATATGATGGTGTCCCTGATTGTCACATGTCAGGATTAGGGCTGTGTTATTGTTTTACTTCATGGCTGAATACACATACACTGTGTGGAGAAAACAAACTCGGAAGCTTTGGGTGGAAGAACTCAAGTCAGAGTTCGATGGTGTGTCTGAACACTTCAAGATGATGGCTCTTGTGAACTTTGACAGCTTGACCGTCGGTAAAGTTTGATGTGATGCGATGGTGAATCGTTGGTGATAAAAACGCTTTGGAAGGCCATCCATACCCTCAAAGGGGACATGGAGTTGGGATTTATATGTCACATTGTGATTCTCTTGTTCATATTGAAGTTGCAGCCCAAACGCGTCAATCGCACCACCACTGCTGTGTGGCCAGTTGTACTGAGCTGGGGACTGCCGTCGTCGTATGATTTTGGTTCAATAGAGTTGGTGCCATTGGCTGCACCAACCACAGCCACCCAGACACCTCCCCAGTTGTCAGTCCACTACAGAGCAGTGCATCCTGATGACATTGAGCCCAGACTTTGGCATTGGGCCACCGGGCGAAACCGGGCTAGCATGGTCCAAATATTTGTCGTGATTCGAGAATCACCACAGTTGGTAGCTAGACACCTCTTGCGCTATCAATAAAATGCCATTCAAAACAACAAAGGAAAGGGTATATAATAACCTAGAATGATACAAGACGCAAGCGAGTGCTGGGCTCGGTCCCACCCCTTCTTCACCTCCCACCTCTCAGCCCATTGCCAGGCTGTTGGCCCTCCCACGCTGGCAAAGGAAAAAACAAAGGAAAAAAAAACAGTATTACACAAGTGACTCATGAATTATCATTATCTCGTGCTCCACCACCCTAAACTCTCCCTTCTTCTTTACACCGTGGCTTGGCCCTTCACAGTTCATCATGGCCCTGAACCTTCTCCTTGACCGCTTCGGTCGCTTCGCTCGCAACACTTGCCACCTTCTCACCGACGCTTCTGACCTTCTCGCCGGCCTCACCGACCACTTCGCTAGCGGCGCTGGCGGCTGAGCCAACAACGTTGGTGCCGGTGGCATAAGCAGCATTCAGCCTGGACACCACGCTTTCCGAGAATGTTGGTTCCTTGCCGACCAAGAGTTCAGACACGAGCGCGCTCACGGCCTCATAGCGTTGAGCAGCCGCATCACTGGCCACAGCAGCGGCACTCGTTACTGACCCCGCCCCTTCACCAGCTGCCGCCGAGGCAGAGGAAGCGTACTCGCCAACACCGCTGTAGAAAGCTTCGTACCATGGAGTAGGGGCTGGAGCACCGTAGACCTGTATGCTGATCTTGGTGACAATGACATCCCAGCCATCAGCCACGTAGTCAGCTGCAGCAGCAGCTTGCTCGTATCCGGCGGCAGCCGCAGAAGAGACGTTCTCGCCGGCAACCGATGCGGCGGAGGAAACTCCTGCACTGGCAGCAGCCGCAATAGAGGATGCACCTGACCCAATGACAGAAGCAGCAGAGGCACCAGACTCGCTTGCCGCCGACGCAGCAGAAGCGGCAGCCACACTAGCTGCCGAAGCGGCAGAAGCAGCCGACTCGCTGGCCACTGAAGCGGCCGAAGAAGCAGACTCGCCAACGGCGGCGGCAGCAGCAGCCGCGGACTCGCTGGCGACCGAAGCAAGCGAAGAAGCAGTACCGGCAAGATCAGTCGGTGTAGGGGTGGCCGTCATGGAGCTCACGGCTGCGCTGGCTGCCGACAAAAACTCGGAATACCTGGCATGCGCGAGGCCGAGACCGGCGTAGTAATTGTGCCGGGCATTATCCAGAAGCTTGTTGACATGTTCAGCTGGGGTGGAAGGTGTTGGGGTGGCCAGACCAGCTGCAATCTTGGCACTTTCGTACTGCTCCAGCGCCCAAGACCGGCCCTGTTCGAGGCGTTCCGAGGCAATGGACTCGATACGGGCCCAATCGACACTGGGCACGGGGACAGTCGGAATGGCGACCGTGGGCATGATGTTCTTCTTCGTCTTGGTTGGTGTCCCGCGCAACTGAGTCGACACAGCCTCGAGCGCAACGTCCATCCGAGAGCTTGCTGAGGCCATGGCCTTGTTGTAAGCAGACGTCACCGAGGCTAGCATCTGTTGATGAGCAGGAAGGGGAGTGCCGTGGATCTGGGCTGAGACAGCCGACAATGCCTCGGAATATTGTGCGTTGGCACGAGACATGGCTGCGGAGTAGACCGATCTCAATTCGTCTTGCATTACCTGAATGGCACCGGACATGTCCTCCTCGTCATCCTCCTCGTCATCGAGGATAGGGGAATGACGGGGCACAACCTGAGCGGCGGCGCCAAATAGAGCGGGCTTGACAGTAGGCGCCGCTTCGGCTTCCGCGACAGGACGAGTGTCAGGAGCGTCTCCAGCCTCCTCTTCTTCCCCCACGGCGTCCTCGTCGACTGGCAGCTCAACTGGGGCTGGGTCAGCTTTGACGTCCTCTTGAATCTGCGTCACATTATCAACAATAGGGGGGGTCTCGAACACCAGGGACTCGCTGGCCGCAAGATGGGTAAGATCGTCAGCAACTGGTTCTGGAGAGTTGTCGACATCGGCGGTGGCCTCGGACGTGGGCTCAACAACGCTGGAGATCTCTTCCGAGGCAGCGCTAACTGCCTCAGCCGGCTCCTCATCGCCCTCACCAGCCATCGAGTCCTCGGCCCACAAGTTGTTATTGCCAACCGATTGGGCAGCCTCAGCTGTCTTTTCCGATACAATGTCCTTGACACCGACAACAGCCTCGCTTGCCTTCTCGTACCCTCCCGCCACCTTGTCGACGACGGCATGCTGGGCCTTTTCCGCGGACTCGCCAGCCTTGTTGACCACGCTGGTGGCAGCAAGTCTGGCGGCTTCGACAGCCTCGGCAGCCTGCTGTGTCAGGGTGCTATCAAACTCCTCCGTCACATCGCCAGCCACAAGCTTCCAGTTGGCCACTTGCTTTAGACGACCGAGCTCCTTGGCTGCCGTGGCGGCCAGTTTCATGGCCTCATCCTCGATGTTGGCCCCCTCCACCTGCGCAGCTTCAAGGTTCGGGTGGGTAACGATGAGGTTCTCCAGATCTCCCTTCCACTCGTCAAATCTGCTCTTCAACAGGTGGTACTTGGCCCAGTCCTTGTATGTGATTCCATCCGTCCAGGCCCACTTCATGCCAATCCTTTGCAGTGCCAGATCTCTGATGCCTTGAAGAACGGTGAAGTGGGTTTCAGCCGCTTGCGTGATGGAAGCCTGCAACTCGGTTTCGTACTCCTCACGCCACTGGCGCACGGCCTGCGCCTTGTCTTTGATAGCCATACCGGCCTGCCTGACAGCCTGAACGATTTCCTCCTGTGCGTCCTCGGTTCCCAGCTCCTTGTCGTTGACTGCATTGATGATGTCGAGAATGTCGCCGCGGAGCAGTACCAGCTCAGAGACTGTGGCCTCTTGAAGCTGGTCGAGAAGAGCCTTGCCTGTAATTCCAGCGTTTCGGCGAATCATCCTCTTGGCAATCTCCTGGACGCGGTTGTCAATCTCGGCAGCCCCTTCATCCACGGCTTTGGCGTAGCGCTCTTGCCAGTCCTTGAGATCTGCAGCCACCGTCTCACGAGCAGCGCGGCGCACCGGATCCTCATTCTCAACTTGTTCGGCAGTATCGGGAGGAGTGATGGGATCGACGCTGGATTTGGATCGATGGGCTTCTGGAGCGTCCTTGGCTTGCGGTCGACCGGCTGTGGAAGAAGGCTTGCTCGAGGCAACAACAGAGGTGGTCGAGGAGGCGGATGGTGCAGGCTTGACAAAAGAAGATATCGTTTTGGAAGCAAAGCTAGAAATACGTTAGCAAACTGTGTGCTGCATCACTGGTAAAGACTCAGACTAACCTCGAAGCTGAGTCTACTGCCGACTTGGGAACTGACTTTTTGGTGCCATTGGTGCTGCTGCTATACCGGCCCAGTCGCTTGCCAATCTTGACAAGCTGGGGCTCCACATTCTCAACGTAGATGACTCTCAGATGCGGCCAGACAGTGCTGTCAAGGAAGAGGTTTGTCTTATTCCACGCCCAGGAGCATGTAGGCGCTACGGTTCCCAGCGCAAAGTCCGAGGTGGCATGATAAGCCTGCAGTGCGTAGGGCTGAGCAAACTGATATGAGGGTAACAGAAACTCGTGATATGTCTGGAGAGAGTTGGTTCGCACGATCTCGTAGTATGGCCCAACAGCTGCCGAGAGCTGGTCGAGATGTGGTGCGAGGGTGTGGTCGTATTGGGTCTTGGCCAGATGCTGGACTTTGGTGATTTGAGGCTGTACAGACTTTTCCCACTGTGCCTTTCCGTAGACACGGGCCTGCTCAACCTGCGGCGCACCATGCTGCTTCGCGTAATCCCAGGCTGGTGTGATGACCTTTTCGTCCACAGCGTTGTAGTATGGGCGCGCCAGCTCAACGTACGGTGCCGCGTATGCGTCGTAATATGGCTCGAGATGTGGGGTGACGGTGTTCTTGAGCTGGAAGTAAGGTCTGCACACGAGCGGGGAGTTTTCATCGCAGGCGTCGAGGGTAGCTGGGCACCAGAACAGAATCGCGTAGATCGAATACCATGCCACCAACCTGGGACGCAAAAATATGTCAGCTCTTCTCCTCTCTTGTCTGACAGCTAGTATTTGCTCACCTGGCAGCGAAACTGAACAGCCAGGACGGCCAACCTGGCCCACGACTTCTGGTAGTTCTTTTCTGGACAGTGTTGTGGCCATTCAAGGCGGGCGACTTGATGGCGCCGTTGATACCATTCGCAGCCCGGTGGGCTTTCATTGTGGTGCCGTTTATGTCGTCCATGGCGCAAGACGATTCAGCACCAGGCTGAGGAGACGAGAAGAGAAAAAATATGACAGCGCCAATGCGTCAAGCAATGAAGCCGAAGAGAAAGGGCGTCAGGCGAAGTTGATTTCGCGCCGAAAGAAGGGAACAAGATGCTACTCGGTGATGGGAGGTCAGAAGTGAGGCACTGTTGGAGAAAAGACAGGTTTGGCCAAGGGAAGCTCGGACGGCTTGGATGGCTGTTTGGAAATGCAGGGGACTGCCAAGCGGGGGCGTTGTTGGGTTTCTCCTGCAGTGCCCTGGTCTTGTCTTGTTGCCTTGTTGGTTTTGAAAATGGATACAGGTAGCAAAGTCAATGTAAAAATTAGCTGCTGCTTGTTGGATGCAACTCTGAATCTTGGGACATCTGGATGCCTGCTCGATTTTGTGTTAATTTTTTCTTGGGAAAAGCTGCAAAAGCGTGACGACATTTGGTAGCTCGACTTCCTTGACAGGGCTCGGTCCTTAGTGCGACGCGGCCCCCCCTCCATGGACGTCATAGGCGCGGGTGGTACACCCCAATCCCACTGCAGCCCGAGGAATAAACACAGTGCCCTATCTTTCACCAGTATTGATGTCAATCAGTCATATACAGAGTTTGTGTCAATGAAATATGGATGGACCTTGAACGAGAAGAGGTGAAACTTTTCCTGAATGTTGGGTCGGCTTGTCAAAATGTTTCAGATCGGCGCCGGGAACGGCGAGGCAATGGCACCTTACTACGGAGTTCTCTTCAGCCTTGGGCTTCAACCTACCTCGGATGAGATGGCAGTTACATACTGTGTATGGATTATGATCCGATTACTTCCATTTCCTACTGCCTTGTCGGTCACAAAGCACAGAAAAGCGAACAGCAGATTTCATCACACGCTTTAGACTAGTGTAGATGAATGAATGATACCCATAAAACAGCATATGATTGATTATATCAGCGCAGCCTGGTATTTTGTGAAGTCATTGGGCACGTGCAAACGGCCCACTTTGTAGCAATCACCGGATGTTGATTGGCCCTGACACGGCGTCTTTGTGATAAGCAAAGCCCCGGTCCTTTGGGCGACGACCCTCCTCCGCGCTGAGCCTAGGCCTGCATCTCCAGCGTGGACGTGGAGTTGCACCTCCTGGTGGGATTTTGGAAATCTGTTGAAGATTTGCCATCGCATCCATCCATCGCCCATTTCCCATCTCAAATCACTATCTGACTGTCCCAACCAACAACCCATCACCCGATCAGCAGAAATCAACCCTTTGCTGTCGACAACAACGACAACGACAACGACCACTGCCACATCTTGCGCTCCCCTGTCAAACCGCCACCGACCTCATCTGCCTCTCGATCCAAGGCCACGGTCCCGCTGGAAACCTTCTCATAGTTCCCATGCGAGGTTAGAGTAGAGGCCTCGGAATTCCTGCTACGAATGGCGTGTCCTTAACGTCTCCCGCCACGCACAATCACTCGACAAAACTCCGGTGAAGATGGCGGACCCCCAACTTCTGGGCCCCTTTCCGCCCCCCGACCCAGATCGATTTCCAAACACTAGGCTGCGAAGCCATCTTCTCAGGCCAGACTCGACGCCGCAAGAACCGCAACCATCACATTCTACGAATGATCCAGACACATGTCGAATATGTCGCGGGGAGGGGACGCCTGAAGAACCGCTCTTCTACCCATGCCGGTGCAGTGGCAGTATCAAGCACGTCCATCAGGATTGCTTGATGGAGTGGCTCTCCCATTCACAAAAGAAACATTGCGAGCTTTGCAAGACGCCCTTCCGCTTCACCAAGCTCTACGATCCAAATATGCCCAGATCGTTGCCATGGCACGTCTTTGCCAGCCACATGGCCAAATATTTCTTCGCCAACATGCTGCTGTGGATGAGAGCGTCGCTGGTTATGCTGGTTTGGTTTGGAGCCTTGCCGTACGTTATGAGGAATGTATGGAGCATGTTGTTCTGGTTCAGCGATGATGGTATGGCTGCTTTCCTCTTCCACAAAAGACGAGATCAAGCCCATCAGCTGGCCTCGGCCGCTGGGACGACACCTAACCCGGCCATGAACCTGTTCAGAAACAACACCACGCTAGCTACTAACCTCATATTCCCTGGCACAGCATGCATCGCCAAAAGCACCTCTGGTGCCGCTCAGGCCTCCAACGAGCACTCGGCCACTTCTACCATTTTACGTCTATTGTTTGGAGCACCCGATACATCTGGCGCTGTTTCCACCGAGGCGGTTGCTATCCCAACTAGGAACAACTCCCTTTTGAGCGGCGTCCAATTTCTTCGCAACTTGACGCGGCATCCTTGGCTAAACGACAAGGTCATAGAGGTCCTAGAGGGCCTGATTATAACAATTCTGGTTATTGCTTGCTTCATTCTCATCATCTTGGTCAGAGACTATGTCGTTCAACAACAGCCCGAGATCAATATGCGTGCTGCGTTTGCAGCTGCTGAAAATGCGCCGCATCCCGCACCACCACAGGAGCCCCTGGCACGACCAGAACCCCCACCTGTCGAGGAGGAACATCATGACAACCCTGCTCAGTGGGAGGATCTACAGGGTCAGTGGGATCCCGCCATTGTCGAACCACCTCCGCACTTGGCGCTGGAGGCCAGGCGCCAGATTGCGTTGGCTCGCTTGCAAGCTCATGAAAGACGGCTTCAAAGACAGTGGGCAGAACCCGAAGCTCGATATCAAGCAAGGTATGCGGGTGACGACCATGCTCCTGCACACGAGGCTGCTGAGAATAATCCAAATAGCTTGGCTACTGGCTCACGAAATAGTTCGCCCTTTTTGCCATCGCCCTCCTTCCTTCCAAGAGCGGAACTGGACGCCATCGTCAATGGTGGTGAAGCTGCTGACGTGAAAAGCCGGCACCTCCATGACTTCCTTGCCATCTATCAGCGTGCCAAGGGAGATCCCCATCGCATTCTCGAAATTGCCAGAGAACAAGGGGCTGAGGAGCGACTGGATTACTGGCTGGCCCTTACGAGGTCGCTGCTGGATCGTCAAAACCGTACTGTGGCCGGTGCCGATGACCACTCGGACGCCAGCAGCGCTGCTGAGAATACTCCAGCATCGAGCACGGATGCTCGCTTCAAGAATATGGATTCTCCACCGTTTGGAGGCCTTCGTCCAGCCACCCAGGCTATGGAGTGGACGACCTTTTCGGCTGGCGAAGACAATTTTGGACCCCGACATGATAAAAAAGGCAAGGGCGTACTAAGAGAGGATTCCGACGGTGAAAGCGCCCACACCGAAGACAGTGAAAGACCTTTAGCAAGCCCGCTTCGACCAAGGGCCAACACAGATGGTCCCAAAATTAGCGATACAATCCACCCCTTGGCCAACAATAGCTGGTCGTTCCAGACCTTGACAGAACAAGAGCCTGATGGGATGTTGAGTGACCAACACGGGACTGAGTCGACATCTTCGGGGCACTCGACTTTCGGATCACCCAAACAACCGGCGTCTCGACAAGATGCTGCGTCTGCCTTCTTCAAGAGGCCCAGATTCACCGAGGCTGCATTCGAACTTGACCAGACCACCCAGTCTGTGCCGCATCTGAGCAGCAGGGCTGAGGAAGAACTGCCAGCTGATCATTTGACTTCAGGACAGGAATCAAGCGCCGATTTTTGGGACATGACCTCGGGTGCTGAAGCGGCCCAGTCAGAGACAACCCCTCCGCCAGCCTTACCAGAGAATGGGGAGGATGCCGATGCGCAGGCCGAGCCCCAAACCCCGAATCCGCCAGCCCCGCGCCCCCAGCCCGTAGGCATTGTCGACAGACTTGCTGATTTTATGTGGCGGGATGTGGATGGAATAGACCCGGCCGAGCTTGCTGCAGCTGACGCTCTGCAATTCGACGTGGGGGAAGGTGATCTCGCCAACGATGAGGTAGAAGAGGACGACCCCGAAGTGCCACAGCGAGATAGAGAGGTGGTTGAAGCCGCTGTGGCAGCTGGGCTGGATCCAGACGCGATCGAAGATGCTGAGGACTTGGAAGGGATCCTGGAGCTCCTCGGTATGCGAGGTCCCGTCGCTGGCTTATTTCAGAATGCCATATTCTGCTCTTTTCTCGTCTCTATTACCGTCTTCCTCGGTATCGTAGTCCCCTACAATATCGGGCGTATGACAGTTTGGATGGTCGCGAATCCTATTCGACCGGCGCGGATGCTCTTCGGCTTATGCATGCTCGTTCAGGACATCGCCATTGTATTGTTCGGATTAGCAGTTTTGTTCGGCGCGAAGGCTCTTCTCGTGCTCACGAAAGTCGCCCCCAGTTTGCTTGGCTCTGTGGTCGACCTTCTCACAACCACGTCGGCCATGTCCTATGGCACCATGATGAGTGCTTCCAACAGAGTGGGGAGCAGTTTCTTTGCCGAAATCGTCCACATTTCTGGCACTGAGATACAAAACTTCTCTGCCATCAGTCATGAGGCATTGCTTCAACTGAAGGGCCACATTAGTCTGGGGTTCGCTGCACTTGTCACAGCGGTGGACTACCTCTTCTCCGGTGATTACGCCGAAAAGAGCTCCGACATCGTGTCATTCATGGAAGGGCTCGCTACGATAACGATGGGATGCTTGAAGCAACTCCCCGGCATCCTCACCAACCCCAACTCTTGGGTACTTAACCTCAGCGTGCCAGATTCCACGTCAACGGCCTTTGATGCAGAACTTGCTCAGTGGAGCGGCACCGACAGACTCTGGGCTATCGTGGCTGGTTATGTTGCCATCTCCATCATTGCTGGTCTCTACTTGCGACGAGGAAGCCCCTTTTTTACGGGTCCAACAGGTCAGGATTGGGAAGCATCCATTATTGATGGCCTCAACCAAGCTAGTGGCGTCATGAAGGTGATCCTGATCATTGGTATCGAGATGCTCGTCTTCCCGCTCTATTGTGGGCTGCTGCTCGACCTCGCCTTGCTGCCCCTTTTCGCGGGCGCCACGATTAGGTCAAGGGTCCTCTTCACCATGAACTACCCAGTCACGTCCATCTTCGTTCACTGGTTTGTCGGAACAGGGTACATGTTTCACTTTGCCCTTTTCGTCTCCATGTGTAGAAAGATCATGCGCAAGGGGGTTCTCTACTTTATCCGCGACCCCGACGACCCGGAGTTCCATCCGATCCGCGATGTTCTGGAGCGCAGTGTCGCGACTCAGCTGCGCAAAATCCTGTTTTCTGCCTTGGTTTATGGCGCACTCGTCATGGTTTGCCTAGGCGGCGTCGTCTGGGGGCTTGCCCTTTCTGCTTCGAGCGTTCTACCGATCCACTACTCGTCCAATGAGCCTATGCTGGAGTTTCCCGTCGATCTGCTCTTTTACAACTTCCTCATGCCACTAGCAGTTCGTCACTTCAAGCCCAGTGATGGTCTACATGCCATGTACACGTGGTGGTTTCGGAAATGTGCCCGAGGCTTGAGGGTGACTTGGTTCTTATTTGGGGAGCGTCGCATCGATGAGGAAGGCAAACTTGTACTGAAGAGCGACTCACCCGATGCGGCCCTGCCGTGGTGGCGGACATTGTTCCTTGAGGTGAATAACGACCAGGTGCGGGCAAAGCAGTGGACCAACCCTTTCGAGCCCAGCCCGGAGAAACCGACCGTCATGCGAACGGAAGACGCTCTCTTGTGGAACACAAACAAGAAGGCCCTCGTCGAGTCAGGCCAACTCATCCCTGACGGACGCTATGTTCGGGCGCCATGCTCTGATCAGGTCAAAATTCCCAAGGGCAAGAGGGTGTTTCTCGACGTATCCGAAGATAACAAGCGACAGGACGAGGCTGCACCAACTGACCTGTACAACTCTGAAGAGTTTCAATTCGTCTATGTGCCGCCCCATTTTAGGCTCCGGGTCTTCCTCTTCATCACTTTCATCTGGGCCTTCGCCGCCATCACGGGTATTGGTTTCACCATCGTACCGCTCGTCTTTGGCCGTTGGATGTTTAGATCTCTTCTTCCCAGTCACATTCATACCAACGACATCTATGCTTTCAGCATCGGCATCTACATTTTGGGCTCTGCTGCTTATGCCGCATTTCATGCGCTGTCCATCTACCGTGCCGCACACGATTGGGTCGACAGCTTTACAAGGACCGTCGTCAATGGGGAGGCTGTCCGGCCAATGGTTGATGCAGGCATCCGGGTTGCCAAGATTATTTACGCCCACGTCTTTTACCATATCGTCTTTCCCCTCATGCTTGCCTCATTGGTGGAGTTGTATCTTTTGACGCCGGTGAATGAGATCCTATATGGTGCCCTACCTAAGAAGCGAGCTGATGCTTCTGAGCTTGCGCCCATCATGACGCCAGGTGCTGAACTCAATCCGAAGCATACTGTTCGTTTGGTCCAGGCCTGGACCATTGGCCTGCTCTATCTCAACCTCATCAACCGGATCATCAACCGCTGGTTTTCGGGTACCCGCCTTGCTGCAGCCGTGATGGCTATCTTCCGGCGTGGCTGGCTGCATCCAGATGTCTCCATCCTGACTCGGGCTTTCATCGTTCCTGGACTCATCCTCTGGAGCAGTGCCGTCATCGCGCCGCTCCTCCTTGCCAGACTTGGCGTGGCCAACGGGCTACATGAGGCCATGCTTCACTCATCGTATGGCACACCTCTTGTCGGCCATGCCGAGTTAAGCCATGCATACAAGGTCCTCATCTACCGTCTGAGTTACCCCGTCATGGCTGTGTTGGCTGTCTGTGCAGTTGTGCTCTGGAGTATGTTTGGTGTGTTCAAGAGGTGGAACATGCGTATAAGAGACGAGGCATATCTAATCGGGGAAAGGTTGCATAACTTTGGGGCGTCGGTGGGAAATAGCACCCCAAAGGGGAAGGCCACAGCTTGGAGAGGCGCTCCGGGAAGGATATAGAAGGGTGCAATATCTTTTGCATTACAAACGTGTTCATCGTCACGAGCGCGACGTCTTTTGTTCTGGGAAGGTAGTTATAGACGGTCAGCATGGGTTGGTTGGTTGGCTTGGCGTTTGGCTGAACAGGTGATGATTTAAGGAGCAGAATTATAGCAGAAGCGATAGGCGGAAATTCTTCAGGTACTGGGAGCTACGAGTGTACATCTTCATGTTTTGTATGTAGCAGTTACAAAAGTACATACCCTATCCATGAGCTACTGATGAATTGACGCTGTGACAGGCCCTGGTCTCCGAAAATAGCGGTAAAGTGGGTCCTGGAAAGGGGTTATGATGGACAAGCTTGAGGGCTTGGCAGTCAGCCATGTGTAACTTTTTTTATTTATCTATGTGCACGCCGACATGCCGATCAGTGGTCTTCCACGTCTTCATCTCGGCCTGGATATACGATGTCTCTCACCACCACTGCCCTGACACAGTGGAACAGAACAAATCCATAGACCAACACCAAAACAATCGAGATGGCCGTCGAAAACCACAGGACGAACTCGTTCTGAAACACCTTCCCCAGAGAGATGGTGGCCAGGATAAAGCCCGTGTTTGGAAACACCGACGCCCACCACCCCAGGTGGAAGTACCTCGGTGGGCTCTGCACCACGGCCAGCACGGCAATGGCAAACCACCAGAAGCTCAGCGCCCAGAGGAACCCGGCCCCGACGATGGCCATCATGAGCATGATGCTCGCGTCGAGCAGCCCGTCCATGTTGGCGTCGAAGCTCCCCGGGAGGGACTGAGCAAGCCCGATAAATGCCAGCGCGGTGAAACTCGGCGGGCCGACGCACATGAACAACCCCGGCCTGTGCTCCCTGTCTGGAAGGCCCGACTGCATCAGCCGGCCGACCATGTGGGCGTACATCATTGCCGCGACGCTGATGCCCAACCCCTGACAGCTGAGGCCGCTGACGATGATGGGGAGGGCCATGGCGGGCGGTTGGGTGGAGGCGATGACGGAGGCGATGGTGCCCGAGAGCATGACGGGGAAGATGGGGAGGATCCAAGTCGGCATCATGGTTTGAAGGCTGAAGGAGTGCCGGCGGCCAAAGACGAAGGAGTATTGTGCTACTGCTAGGCAGGTTGACAGGGCGACGTAGATCCAAAAGGCGATTTGGATGGCCCAGCGGAGCCCCTGGCGTTCACCGTCCCATGATTGGATGTGGGAGGGGATGCAGTATTTTTGTGTCGAGGTGATCAAGGTTGCGATGGAGAGCAGGAAAGTGGGGACGAAGAAGCCTTCGCGGGGGTGGGTGATGGAGGCGACGAAACTGCCGGTGTTGAGGAGGAAGCGAGCCAAAAGGAGGGAGGTGATGAGGGTGAAGAGGATGATGTTGAGGATGTAGACTGCTAGGCCGAGGACCGGGGTAAGGGAGGGGAACTGGTGGGGTTGGGCGTGGATGAGGAGGGAGAGGCCACCAGTGGACATAGAGAGGGTGTACCATGCCCAGGTAAAGTGTTTGAGGCGGGAACGTAGAGAGAGAGGTGGTCGGGGATGGGTGTGGTCGTGAGGATGGCCCGGAGAGGGGGTAGGAGATGGTGAGGGGCGGCTGTCGAGCGCGTCATTTTTGGCGGCTGCGATAGCGGCGGTAGCTTCGATGTCCTCTGGGGATGGCTTGAGCTCCTGATCAGTAGGGAGGCGACTCAGTCGGCGTCGTTCGGGAACGACATATGGCAAACTCGTGCCCGAGATGGAGCCCCGTAGAGTGGGCGCCCGGGAATCGAGCTGGAGATCGTGGACCAGATCGTCTTTTTCTGGGTTCCGTAACTGATCAAGGGATGGGCTTGCATCGTCAGAGCTGATCGATAGCCGACTGAGACGACGTTGCTCTCCTCTCTGTTCGCGGCCTTCGTAGAGGTATGGATTTTGTTGAGAGACGCTGGAGGGTCGACGGCGCATGGACCGCCGGGGAATTGGGGGGGCGGGACGATGGGATGCAGGTGCTCTAGCGCCTGCAGCTTGTGGCTGGAACTTTTCGTATTCTGCGTCCTGCCGGTTGGTTTCAATATCAGAACTGTCCAGCAGTGGTGCTGACATGATATTATGCGATTAATCAAGAGAAGACCTGCTTCGGCCAAGAACGTGGTGCAGGGGCGAAATGCAAGCCTGAGAGAATGGATGATGTTGCTGACCGAGACCGAGGAACTTGAGGGGATAATAATAAGTGAAAACTGAGCGACGGAAAGACAACAAAACAAAAAACGACTGCTCCAGAGCCTGTCGAAGAAAAATGAGCGTGATGATTAGGACGGGGCTTAACTGTCTGCAAGCGCTCGAGCTTTTGTACATGTTGATCGTATTCGCATCGAGACTTTTCACCGAATGACCACCCAGGCGACATTGGAGTGGAAGTGGCAAGATATTTCAAACATTTGATGTTTGGGTCACGGTAGGTAAGCAAGTTTCGACAGCTCAAATGTCGAGTCAGTCACGACAACTGCTCTGGTCAGAGCTTGCTCGAGCTTTTGGCTCTCATTTCGTCATCATGTCCAGCCAACACGAGATACGCGCCATGGTCTCCTACATGTAAGAAATAAAATCTAATTTTGCCTTGACGCTTTTATTGAGAATAAACAGGAAGTTTGCAGGCGGGTGTTGCCTTCATCGTCAACCTCCTCTTGGCGTCGGATCATCCGAACAAGAGTGGTGCTTGGACATGCCTGACTCAGAGGTCTGAGGACCTTCAGCCTTTTGGTAACAGCTTCAAGTCTTGAGAAACTTCTTTCTCAGCTGTGTGGAAATTTGCACACATTATGTGGCATGAGATTCTACTTGGATGCAGAACTTGAAAGTCATCAATATCAGGTTCTCATGGCTGGTGACTGCCCTCGTGTAAGGACCATTGACACTGTAACTCACAACGACCGCCATTTTGAATAAAACGAACACATCGAACGTTACCTTACCCACATATTAGAAGTTTCTGCTTACTAGTCTGGCAATATTTGGCTGCCATAACGCAGATATTGAAAGATAAGGGTAAGGTAACTAGACCAAATGTCACGTCATTCAATGTTCACGTCGTATCGATGCTGGGGGTCCAGTGAAATAAATGCACGTAAGATTTTAACCTCATTTTCGAAATGCTTAAATCTGTGATGACCGCGGCTAGTGCGCGTTGGCCCCGTAAATCAATCTCGCTGCCTGACGAGACATGCGCTCGATAACCCGTGGACGTGGTACCCTCAGCAGAGAAGAAGACGCCACCATACCCACAAGAACAATAGACATTTCTTGGGCATCATACGCAGTGCATATTGACCCGACTCCGTCCCTGGGATGATGGCCAATGATACCCCTTTTGCCAATATTTAGCACCTTAGTTAGTGGCCATGGTCTGGCATGATGGTGCGATCAGTGTCATGAAATCGCCGGCGGACGAAGTGGACCAACCCAAACCGAGACATGCTGAAGCCTCGATAATCAAGATGCCTATGATTGTTTGAGAAATTCGGGTGCCTAAAGCCAAATATGTCTGTGGAGCGCGACTCGAGGCAGGGTCAAGTAACGTCGTATGCATGAAGAGACTGAGGGACAGCAGCCTCGACGCACACCGTGTCACCAACCTGGCACAGAGCATGCAGAAACACAGTCCCACAGAAGCAGAGGCTTCAATGATATGTCTAGAGGGAGAGTGTTGCTTTCTTCTTCTGCACGGGCACCGGACGGATCTTATATCCAGTGCCGCATCAGGCAACATCGAAACTGAAACGGGCAAAGTTCGAACTGAGAAAAGCACAGTATCCGCCCTGATTCCAACGTCAAAAGTGGAAGGTTTACTGCTTCAGCTCTGGTAAGGTGATAGTCAATCTAACCTCTCCGCTCTGTCTCCATAGTAAGCACTGTGATGACCGGCGGAAAGGGGGCGGTTGGAGTTCTGGGAACCCTAACCCTATGTAGGCCTCTCGCTCGGACTGAAGTGCCACAACAGGTAGGAGTGCGTGGCAGCAGGGACCTCACGTGAAGGCCCCCACTTTACAACGGGAAGTACCTGCCAACACCCCCAAAGTTGGGGCTTCGAGATTGGCTGCAGGGATCCCCGCCAGAGAAGCCCAGGCAGCAGCTTTTTGCACCCTCCATTGCCTGCTTCGGGATGCGATGGGCCAATGCGGCATCGCAGCGATCCCGCCCATCACAGGCACCGAAATAACAACCACCAAATCCCGAAAGTGTGATGCTGCCACGATAGAGGATGCTGCACTGGTGAAGGCCGTCTCTCTTCCCATTTTCGCCTCCCTTCTCAACCTCAACTTTCAAGGGGGGCAAACGGCTGCAGCCTGCCTTCTTTTTCTTTTCTTTCTTCCTTTCTTGCTTCTCCTCTCTAAGCTCACTTCGTTTCTCTCTTTACTATCTCCCGCAGCGTCTTCAACCTTCCCACAGGTACCCCTCATAAACCCGTTGGTGGATTGCCCGATTGACCTCCAGGTCTTCACCAACAACAAACTTGGCGTGCATTGTGTATTTCCCGCAGGCAAGTTCCAATCAGTCTCACCAACAGCCAACGCCAGCCCACCATCGACCATAAACTGTCCCCAGAACCCCGCACTACCTTGCCGTGACGAGTCCCTCTCTTCTGTCGATAATAGAGGCCATGTATTGAGACCGAATGCCAAGTAGTAGCTTGGATTGGAGTCGACTAGGGTGTGAAAGACACCAGTGAACCAGCAACACCGAACCGAGCATCATCAACACAGGTCTCCCGCCATGGACCCTCTCAACCCCATGGGTGATGCCCAGCCGGCCTTCCAGCGCCGGCTGAGCAGGCTTTACAACGACACCAAAAGGAGATCCGAGTTTGTTCAGACCTCTGTCCAACACCCCGAAGCCGATCCCGAGGTCAGGTCGTTGCATCGAAGGCTCAGGATTCAGAAGGACCGTTTCGTCACCTGGGGTTTGGAATGGGCTGACCCTAGTCAGTCGGCCGAGGTGTTGATAGACTCGTCGTTGAACAAGGCCGGAATCAGCGAACTGGTTAGCAACATCATGTCCAACATCAAGGAAATTCTTGCCGAAGCCGAGCCACTCTGGATGAGTTCAAGACGACTGGCGGGAGAGATTGTTGAGCCAGCACAGCCACCCCGGAGGGGAGAAAAGATTCAGATGGTTGTCTGGGACAAGAGCAAGTTTGAAGGTTTGATCCGCGATCTTACCGATGCTATCGACACCCTCTACGAAGTATCCCGAACAAGATCATCATATGCAAGCTCTGCCGCCGTCGGGGGGCGGCCGGCCAAGTCCTCGGCGGTAGCAGAAGACCTGCGTCCCTTTGCGTCATCACGGCTACAAACCCCAGAGCAGATCGATCCCAAGATCTTGACCTCGTTGCGGTCGGTGCAGGCAGCGCCTATGACCGAGCACGACGAGAAGGAAAAAACCCACGAAATTGTCTTTATGGACAAGCAATCTTACGCCAAACTCACACGAACTACTGCTGGTGCACGCCATACCCAATCGCCACTTCTTCTTGAATATGCCCCTTTCAGCTCCCTATACTCTATCACGGGTGTCTCACCACCGATGCACCGCTTCGAGAAGCTGTTTTCTGGCCTTCAGCTTGAACCTCAAAGGCCGGTCCAGCCGGGATCGTGGATTGGGTTACCGCGTTTGTTGGGCTACTTTGAAGACATGGAAAACTCAAGATTCGGATTGATCTATCAGTTTCCCCAGAAGTTCAATGCCGTCACGTTTGAAACTTTGACCCAAAACCCCCTGAACAACCTCTGCACACTCGCCGACCTCCTGGCCCGCCCAGACTTTGAGCCTAGGCTTGAGGCCAAGTTCCGGCTCGCTGCCAATCTGGCAAACAGCGTCTTTGACCTGCATGACCGGGGCATCACTCATGGGAGCATCGGCGATGAAAACATCTCTTTTTGCAATGCCGTGGGCACTGACCCCGAAGTCAGCGGAATCACTCAAGGAGAGGTTGATATTCGCAGACCTCTTATTTCTTCCTTTGATCTTTTTTCAGAGACAGAGCCAGAGTATCAGGAAGGTCCCAGAGAGTTCTCTTTGTACAAACACCCCCTTGACCCACGAAACAGTGTTCAATCCCCCCTCGCCAACAATGCCGACTCCAAGACCTTCGACCTCTACTCTCTCGCCATGATTCTTCTCTCGATTGGTCTCTGGACTAAACTTGAGAATCTTGTCCCTAACATGGCCCCGCCAGTGCTGCCCGAGTCCGTTCTCACTCAATTGGGTATCCGCTGTGGCACGCTTTACATGAAGGCAGTGCAGACATTGTGGTCTGCGGTGGACCAAGAGTTGAGTGGCACGCAAACGACTGACAAAATTGTAGAACGGGTCGAATTCAAGGCTGGTCGATATCTGGAGGCATGCTGTATCCTGGATGGTGTCAGCAATCTTGAGGAGAGACTGGGTGATGACCTAGGGGATGTGCGCCCGGAGCACGCACGGCTGAGCACACCATCGATCGCTGGACCTTCAAAGGACTCGCAATCAGAAAAGCCGTCCGCCTCTGTGTTATCAGCCGGCCAAGTCCAAACAGAAGCGAGAGGTAAGTCTGCTGTCGTGGGTCTTCAAATCCCTCCATCGGTGCTAATCCGTTTATCCCAGCCGCCGACGCCAATGAAACTTCAACCAAACCGAAGCTACGACTCTTCAAGCACGTGCCCCTACCACCCGAAGAGGTCGAGCGGTGGAACACCAACATCATGCCACAGGTCAACCAGGCTCTTCGGCACTTTTATCGAAAAAATCCCGAGTCAGTCGAAATTTCGCTGGAGTCTGTTGGAGAGAGTCCTCAAAAAACAAAACCCACAGTTTTAGTGGTGTGCCAATCCACAAGCTTGGTCAAAACTATCCTGAAGAAGAGGCTTGGCAACATTTTGGCTGCGGCCGGCCTCGGGTTGAGGGTATGCACTGGCCGAGTCATCAAATCTCGCAGAGACGCTGTTGGGAGAAGCATGGCTGGTCCAGAAGAGGAGGTGGTTGCGGCCAATCCAGAACACCAACAGCAACCCTTGAATGGGGCAAGCATCGGGGCATGGAACCAAAGTCACCATCTGCCACCTGTCAGCCTCGGAGGGATGCTCGCAGTCGATGGCAGATTGTACGGCATGACGGTACACCATATGTTGGACGAACCGGGTCCCGATTCGGGAGGGAAGTCAGGTGCTCCAAGAAGCATGGCAGGGCCTCCCGGAATGACAGATCTCCATGCTTGGTACGCACAGCAGTACACGAATCCCAGCGACTCGGACCAAGATACCAGCAGCAGTTCCGAGTATGATGCCTACGACCTCTCTGATGCAGATTCTGATGCTTTTTCAGAGTCGGCCATTACTAGCGACTATTCGGAGGAAGACGACGACGACGACGGCGAGTATCAGGAGAGTGAGCCGGGAGATATACCCGGAATTGAACCCGGTTGTGGGGACGGGTACATCGTCACACAACCTGCCCTGGACGATGTGGATGCTGGTTTCTATCCTTGCCTGGAAACCCAGGATGAAGACCATCTCGACACGTACAGAGTTGGGGAGATGTATGCATCAAGTGGTATCCGACGTCGTAGGGAGGGGGGAATGAACCACGAGATCGATTGGGCCCTTTTTGAATTCTTCGACGAGCGACTGCCCTCTGGGAATTTGATTCCCTCCCTCGACCCGCCACTGACAAAAGCACAATCACAAACCACTTCGTCCAGCATTTGTCCTACAACTGTTGCACCTATGTCAAGCTTGCCGGGCCTAGGGGTTCAATGCATGGCACGCACTTCAGGCCTACAGACTGGTGTTATCCTCCCAGCTATGGTGTCCGTCAAGATTTATGGTCGGGTTTCGCCAAGCGAGACATATCAAGTGTCGGGAACCCGACCGTCTCCAGACCAGCCTCGTCACCCAAAACAGTCGTCGCTTCCGATGGGCATGCCGGGAGACTCGGGGGCATGGGTAGTTGATGGTGCGAATGGTCGAGTATGCGGGCATATTCTTGCCTGGAGTGAGCGCAAGAAGGTTGCTTACATCTGTCCAATGGATGTGCTGATTCTTGATATTGCCGAGACGTTGGAAGCCAATGAGATTCGTCTTCCGGGAGGTGAAGTTGTGTACTCGCGGGAGCCGCTGAGTGCTCAATATCCCATGAGGTCTTTGACGCAAAGGAGTGCAAGAAGTGACATGTCGGGCTGGCAACGTTCTGAGGGCGATGTTGGCGACGACGAGGGCGAAGAGCCATCTACCCCAATGGCTAGATTTGCCGCCAGGAGACACAGCAGCCGACGGTCTCAGAGGAGCGTGGTGGCCGGTAAGAGGGCATCTTACCTCTCGGCCAAAAGACAGAGCCAACAAGCAACGATGGAAAGCACTGTTGGGGAAGAGGAGCTGGAGCACGATGAGGGGGTCGAGGTGGATATCAGTGTTGGGTTAGCTAATCAGCTCAAAGCAATGAACCTGCCTCCGGGAGACTCAAGCCTATCTTCAGCAGAGATGATGAGGAAATGGGGATATGCCTGACTCAAGGCGAGCTCGGGTTATATACATCCGTATTGGGATGCGACAGTCTGGGCTGACTGAAACAAGAATATGATGGGTATGAATGGGGGGAAGTATAAGGTCATGATGACCCGATACCAATCTGCATCATGATATCCCCTGTTTTTGGCTAGCGAAATTTACTACTCTCAGTGCTTCTCGCACAAAAATAAAGCTGAATAATTGCTTGAATGTTGTCTGTTGACCCTGTCGAAATCAGCTTTTCTCTATGCACGGTAATTATGATGGATGAGATCCCATTGGTGCTGAGAAAGATTCTTGAGCGAATGAGGGGGTTGGCCATGAGCGACAAGATGCATGAGTTTATGCAGCCCAATTTATGCACTATTCATAACTGACTCCCTACTTAGGACTATACGCAAAGTTGAAACAGAAACGCTGACCTGGACTCATCCGTTTGTCTTATCTAGGGAGTTGCCCATCCTGCCTCCGCCAGGCGCATTTTGCGGAGCTGTTGAGCATTCATTTGCTAGTGGTGGTAAACGTCTGAGATCGAGGATCTCAAGGGAGTGGGGAAGGCAAAGGCAGTATCATACAATCTCCACGGTGCCATGAACCAGGTATCTTGTGACTAGGACAGTCTTCTTCTGACCACGGCGGGCAACACGACTGAGGGCTTGACTCTCGACGCTTGGGTTCCACTGGGGCTCGAGAATGTAGACGTGGTTAGCAGCTGTGAGGTTGAGCCTGGAAACACGGGAAGTCGGGTGGTTAGCAAGGTTGGGATACCTAGGGGTTGGCGGAGATGGCACGTACCCGAATGCACCGACACCGGTAGTCGTGAGCAGAACTGGAACGGAGGTGCCCTCGTCAGACACAAAACGGCTCATGTTGTGCTGTCTTTCTGCCAGTTTTTGCCTGCCGTCAATTCGTTGATGAAGGATCTTCATCCGAGTGAGATGGAGTGCGACCAGGTCCAGGGTTTTTGTCCAGCAGGAAAATACAATGCTGGGTGAGTTGATGTAAGCTTGGTTCTCAAGGACTTCGGCCAGTCTAGCAGAGCCGACGTACCTCTTCGTGTCTCTTGGGGTTTGCTGGAGGTGGCGGATCAGGACTTCGATTTTCGATGAGACTCCTGATAGATCGAAATGGTCCACCTTGTCATTGTTGTCGTCACCGCTATTTGGCGTCAGGACGTCTGATTTTGGACTTATATGCCCACCACAATACAAGCACGAGGTCTTGTTCGCTGATCTCTGGTCATCGGAGGGGATGCACTCTGGACAAATTACATGCCCACAGCCATGACGGAGTTTTGGAGGTGCTGCATCAAAGGCAGGGACCGGTATCCCGCACATGGAACATTCAATATCAGCGCTTGAACCTAGAGCATAGAGAAACTCTTCCCGCTCTAGCAGCTTGTCTCTGCGGCCACGTCGTTGGAAAGGCTTTTGGAACGTCCCTTGGTTGCAGACCAAGCGAAGCTGGAGCTGGACTTGGAAGATACCAAATGGTCCCGTTGGTCTGCACGTAAGCCGGTTTTGTGATTGATCCAGTTGCTCATGTCAGCAGCTGTCTTGTCATAGCGGTTTCTTTCCTCTTGGGAGAGCGTGATGTAGTGGTAGCGTTCCTCAATCGGAGGCAGCTCGAGCATCTGTTTTGGCCTCCTCAGGCACAGTGTCTCGAACAATAGAGTGAATTGCTAGGTTACAGTATGTGCATCTGGCGAAGACGCATCCATGATCTTCTTCTTGAACATGGCCCGGTTTTGTAGCTGGTCGATTGGTAGGAAAGCAAGGGGCGACCCGAGCTCTTCCAGCCGGTTCTGAATGGGAGTAGCTGTGAGGCACCATCCGAAGTTTGCGCGGATTTCACACGCTGCCTTGAAAAGTGTTGTCTGGGGTCGCTTGATCAAATGTGCTAACAGGCAAAACTAAAGTCAGTACAAAGTATGTGCTCCTATAGAATTGGGAGGTCACTGACCCTCATCGACGACAACCCTGAACATTCAATCTGAAACAATGCACTTTATTCTTTGCATTGTTGCTAACCGCCACCGTATTGTATGTAGTGAAGACGAGATTGCTGTTGAGGTAACTGTGAATGTTGATATTGCGGTCTTTGCAATAGTATTTCGCTATGGTAAGTGAGAAGTCAAGATGCCTCGGCAATTAGAGAGATGTTAGAGAACAGGTTCAGTCTGTGGTCTCGATTAAGGCCCGGTAGTTAGAAACTTACTTTTTGATTTCTTCCAACCACAAGTACATGATGACTGCGACTGGTCAGCAAGATTTGCGAGAGCGTTTGGTCAAAGTGTTCGCGTTGGGAACGCACACCCTGCAAGGCTTTGCTGGTCTTGTTAGCAAAATCCGCCCCGGGCCCGGCAAAGACTTTAGGTTCTTCAAAACCGGGGAAGTGAATCAACTGCCTGTTCAGATACTCGATGTTTTCGGTGCCATATTCGGGGTCTTGAAGGTACAGCTTGGCAGTGCTGCCGAGATAAAGCCCTACGGCATCGGCATCGGCAGCAGATCCGTATATGTTGATGTCCACTCGTAGCTTTGCCTGGCCAGGAGTGTGTGACTGGTAAAAGAGGCTCTGTATTTTCCCTATTTGGGCAAACGCCTTCACTTCGAAAAACTTGAACTTGTTGAACAGCGAAGTGAGAGCTTGTGATACAGCCTCATTCACCTGGGCGAATATGTGATTATCTGAAAATATGACCATCAAGTAGTCGTCGTGTTTGATGACAGCAAATGACTGAACATGCTCGTTATTCAGAAGCCTGTCTCTGGACTCGGCCAGGTTACCAACCAGCTTCACTTCGGCATGGCTGATCTACTGGACATTGGCGTTAGTTAGAGACAATGGAGATGAGACGACCCGTGGCAGATAACCGTGAATGCAGACAAGAACTCACAGTCCCGTAGCAACAGAAGCCGCCATCTCCACTTTCTTGCTCCTCGATTTCCAGCAACTCAGCTATACCAGGTGCTATGGGATCATCTTTGATGCCACATAAAGTGGCCCAAGCCTTCATTTGACTCCATGTGTCCCCTAGTACTGCTGGATCTATCATGGGCTCTTCGTTGGCATTCTCAAAGAGTTCGCTAGTGATAGGGGGCGCTCCAAACGAGCTACTGTTGTGAATCATTTCCCACTGGGAAACTGCCGAGGTGCTCGGAGTTATGAGGCTGCACAGGTCAAAATGTCAGCAATTTTCCCTCTCGAGTAACAGGCAGTATGGCGGATCTCGTTATATTTCATGAGGACCGATTCGGTAAGTCGCTTCATGGTCTTCCTCCATGCTGGAAAGGGTGTTGAAGGGAGTATAGTTTTCGAGGCCTGGTTGCTTAGCAAAGAATTGCGAGAGGTAGGTAGCTGGACAGGGACTGGGGATCTTGTATAACAATTCAATCACTTGCTGAGACACAGGCGGGAAGGCACGAGGGTGCACTGCCCGGGGCGGACCACAGGGCGAACCACCGAGCCTTCTCACAAACTGCAAGCCAAGAAAAGGTCGCCTTGATCTTTGCATTTGTATTTTACATTAAAAAGTTGAACCAGTCCCGCGTGTCCTTTTGACAAGCAGGTTTTCGACCTGTCCATGCACCGCAGTGAGCTGGCATTGTCCGCCCCAGGTTTCCAACATTCAACATGGCCTCGCAACCGACTCAAATACAGCCCGGAAATGCCTTTGAAACCGCGCTCAAGAAGTTTCGGATGAGACTGAAAAGCAATTCCAGATCACTAGCCTCGGTGAACTGAAAAGCGAGATTTTGTCCATCCAAGCCGAGCAGCGCGACGGGGAAAAGCAGATGCAGGTGGGCAGAATTCAAGGGTTCACTGAAGCCATCGAGCAGTTTGGCAAGGTTATCGAGGTCTTTGTCAACAGCAACGGCATCCTCGCATTTGTCTGGGGTCCTCTCAAGCTTTTACTTTTGATAAATCTCAGCTGTACCACACTGATAACCGATTTCCACTCACTGACCCATTGACCAACAGACTGCCAAAGGTGGCACCGACGCATTCGATTGCCTGCTTGATGCTTACAGCACAATCGAGAAAACTTTACCCATTTTTAAGAATTACCAGCATATCTTCGGTCAGATACTACAGTTCAATCGGTCCTGTCCTCGATATGGGAACCAATTCTTGATTTGCACAGAAGAGCTCTACGCATATTTGCAAAGTCGGGTAAGTAGGATACTCATAGGATCTCCATGGTAGCGAGTAATCCACCGGGTCAGGTCATGTAATTAATTCGCGTATCTTAGCGGTGAAGTTGAGGTTTCGGCCGCTGTGGAATGACTTTAAGAGCAGGTTCGGGGCACTCCTCGGTGACCTAGAACAGCAACGGTCGTTGCTTGAAAGCCATGTCAACCAGATTCATATCGAACACTCGGAGCATGACAGAATCAAGTTCCTCGACGAGATTGATGAGCAGCGGAGAATGCGTGCTTCTGAAAAGCTATTAGCCGTGCATCAATGGCTCCAAGCTCCAAGCTGCATTCGATATCACGAGGAGCACCAAGACGTGCGAAATGCACACAGTAACGGCACAAAGTACCAACCTGGACTCTGGCTACTAGACAACGATTACGTCAAGACTTGGATATCCAATCCTTATCCTAGAACACCGTTTCTTTGGATATACGCAAAGCCCGGGGCTGGTAGGTCCTGCCATGCTTACTCTCACCATTCAAGATATTTGTACATGGCTGATACTTCCTACGCCTAGGTAAGAGTGTCCTTTCATCAGCCATCATCGACCAGATTCAGGAGAAGAAGAATGGTCTTGTGGCGTTCTTCTACTGTAAAGATCAAGACCCGGAGAGAAGAACATTTCGATCCATTGTCAGAGCTCCCTACTTCAACTCATTGACCAACAGCGCGACGTTGTCCCCTACTACTATGGCGCTAAGGATAAAACGGGCGAATTACACCTGCAGTCAGAGAAGTTCACCAAACAGTTGTTCCAGGAGCTCCTACAAACCAGCTCCAAAACCTTTCTGGTGATCGACGGCCTTGGACGAGTGTCCCGACAAGGAGAGAGGGAAGCTTATGGACCTTTTGATTGAAACGATCATCTCGTGTGAAAATAAGAATCCTGGTAAAATCCGGTTGCTTCTTGTAACCCGGCTTGAGCCAGATATCAAGAAGCGGATGTCTTTAGTGTTGGTTGAAGACATGGAGCTAAATTATGATAACCTCAAGATGGATAGAACAGACGGCAAGTACTCCCCTATCAAATGCTCAGCAGAACGATTTGAAGGTGTCTACTGACTAACAGCCAAACTTTGGGAATGTTTCTATTTGCCAAGCTTGTAATGGAGAACTTGCAAGGCCAGCCATCGTTAGAGAGACTCCACGAGGAATTGCATCCGCGTTGCTTCCCCGACGAACTGGAACAGGCGTAAGCCATCATAACTCCCTTGTCACGCTGTGGATGTGCGATACTGATAGTTTACCTGCAGGTATGGTTGGTCGCACTCTAGAGCGCATCAGACCTAACCCAACAAGCATGAAGCGGAGCAGGCTCATAGTATCTTGTCCCTCATGATTTGTTTCATCCATCCCCTACGATGGCGAGAAGTGCAAGCGGCCATTGCTATCCACCTAGAGGAGCAGATTGTCCGATATTCAAGATGTCCAGTCGTACACATCAAAGAGATTTGTGGTCACTCGTTATAATTCTCAAAGAAGGAACAGAATTGAGTTTATTCATGCTACGGTGGTACAGTACGCGTGCTCCGTATCAGGTTGGCCGAAGTTGAGACACAGCTGACACATGAATTGGTAGTTACATCGCTAATCAAAGCAACTACATCGAACGGTTTTCCGCAGAGCGTGCCATGACCATGTTGTGTCTACAGTGCCTCGTATTTGAGTGCTTTACACCCGAATGGGGGGGAATCAGAAAGGGCGAATTCGCATCGGATGGGTACTATGGCTTCCAGGACTATGCTGTGGCACACTGGGCAGACCGAGTTCTTTCTTTCTTGGGGTTCACTGCCCCTAACTCCAACAGCACAGCAGAGCAGCCCACACCAGATCAGGAGTCAGATATCCTTGACATCGACGATGACCTGCTCTCGTTTGTGGGAAGATTCGATTAGGATGGGAAACTTCTGCAGGCCTTGAAAGATGACCCAAAGCAACTGAAATCAGCAGCACATCCTCCCGGACTTGGGAGGTTCAAGTCTGACCCGTACTTTCTCAGCATGTACAGCATCTGGTACCATGCCAAGTGTGTCCGAGCGTTCACCGGCGACATGCAAGATCAAGTGCACCCTCAAGGGCTTCGAACAATCCCCAAAGCAGCCGTCAGACACTCGAACAAATGTGGACAACTACACCAGCCCCTTCAGCCGAGGTGCGCGATGTGTACGGCCCACACTGGTTCAAGTGTTCCCGTGCCAGAACTGTTCCTTGAAGTTTGGCCTGAAAACAGAACTTCGGGAACACATGAGCGCACACATTCACTCGTTGTCACAGCTCGGGACCAGAGAGGTGGATGCAGTACAGGCTGCAGTCAAAGGCCCAGGTGTGAAGGGTTTATTCCAGCTGTCTATCAAATCATGAGGACCGACCGCAGAAGTTGGCTGTGTCTTTTGCCTGTGGATTTTGCAACAAGACGGTACACAACAAGTGGGTCAATGTTGGAAGATCATGTTTCTTTCAATTATACAGTGGTATTACACCTTGTTATCTACTTGGAACTGGAGTAAACTTGGCAGTTTACCACCACTTGCCAGGCTTGCCCTTCTTGGTGCCGTTCTTGAGAGCCTCCTGCACGCCGTAGTAGGCGGGGTGCTTGCTCCAGTCCTCAAACCAGAGGAGGGGAGCACCCTCGCCGGGGAAAACATAGGGCACCCAGCTGAAGGGGTCATAGAAATCCCAGATGGTGACACCGATGCAGCCCTTGACCTGGACGCAAGCGCCAACAGCCTATTGACATGTATAAGTATGAATGACGCCGGGAAGGGAAGAAAAGGGGTTTGACATACGTTCTTGTAAGCCTCCTTCTGCTGAGCAAGGTTGGTGGCGTTGGCGGGCACCTGCAGGCGAATGTCCAACTCGGTAAGGGCAACCTCAACGCCGAGCTTGGTGAAGCCCTTGATGGCGTCAATGTGCTGGTCGAGAGTAGGGGCCTGCTCGGCAATCAAGTGAGCCTGAAGGCCAACACCGTCGATTCTGATCTTGGCCTTCTGGAGCATCTTGACAATGCGCTGGGTGCCCTCAGTCTTGGCATGGGGCCACTCCCTGTGGGTGTATTAGCGTCAGGCATCAAGCTGGTCGTGGGAAATCAATCTTACAAGTTGTAATCGTTGTAGTACAGCTTGGCCTTGGGGTCGACCTTGGCAGCGGTCGCGAAAGCGAGCTTGATGTACTCCTCGCCCAGGACGTTGTAGAAGACGGACTTGCGGTAGCTCCCATCCTCCTCGAGCGCCTCGTTCACAACATCCCAAGCGTAGCACTGACCCTTCCAGGCCTTCGCAACGCGCGTGACGTGGTTGACGATAACAGCGCGGAGCTCGTCCTTAGTCCAGTCGGTCTTGGCCTCAACCCAGGGGGCGAGCTGAGAGTGCCAGACGAGGGCGTGGCAGCGGAGATATTTGCCGTGCTTCTTCGCGAGGGAGGTAACAATGTTGCCCTCGGTATAGTTGAAGACGCCCTGCTGTGGTTCGGTGAAGAGCCACTGTTGGTTGAGAGTATGTTAGCTACCACTCATGTTGCATGGCGACTCGCATAACGGATGCAAGACTGTACCTTTTGTCCGTTGGTAGGCGTGGTCTGGCCGAACTCGTCCGACTTCCACATGATCTGGTCATACTTGGGATACTGAGCCTCATAGCCAGCCCGCTCACGGAAACCGGGCGAGTCGGTGGCAGCACCAAAGTACTTCAGACCGGCCTCTTTGGCGTAGGTGTTGAGACCCTTCTCCTTGTGGCCGTGGCCGGGAGTAGGGGTGGCAACTGCGAGAGGCAGTGCTGAGAGGAGGAGCGAGGCAGCTGTCGGGAGATGCATCTTGTCTGGGGTGGCGGTCCTTGGGGAGAGAAAGGATGGAGGAGAAAAAAGACAGTCGAGATGGCCTGGGTCACGATGCCTTTTTATGGACGGATGTCAAGTCGTCATGCCATGGTGATGGGCCGTGATGGTGGTCCACAATGCTGCCCTCCACCAGACCATCAATGGAACTCTGGACATCGATCCGAGTGCTATGGTCCCTGGCGGGTTCGACCGATACAACCTCGCCTCCCCTCTACCGGGAACGCGTTCCACAGAGCATGAGGGAAGCATCAAGATGTTACCTAACGCAGCCCATACGGCACTTCGGGGCTGCCCTCCGAACCGGGCTCCTGGGGTCTGGGCTCCGGGGATCAAGTCATTTCGGGCTCGTGTTCATCATTCAGCCGGCCGAGACTGGTGAAGGCACAGTTCACCACGGTCATGATTTCCATGAGAAGCGAACGGGTATGGTCGGATTGTCACTGGCTTCCGATGCTAGCGCCCCAATGACCACGGTTGAGCGGCCGGATAAATGCGAGGTGCAGCGGTTCGTGAATTTTGCCGTTGAAACGGCAGCCCTTGGCAGACCGGTGGATGGCGCCGGGGCGACGGGAAACATGTTTATTTCCACGTTGGCGGTGCGATGGGTTGCGATGAACACTCTATCGTGCTCTTGGCCTGCTCGGATGGATAATTAAAACTGCAGGAACATGTGCTAAGAATACCACTCACACCAGAGGAGAGCCTCGTTCAGTCGTTCATGCCTTGAAGACTGGCGAGATGGGAAACCAGCACGACCATGGTATTCGTAAACTTTTGTTGTTCAGGGCCGGGGGTCAGCTCACGATCCCCTCATTGCAACCTTGGCTTTCTGGGCAAAAGGCGGAGACCCCGGAGCCCCCCAGCCGGGGAAGCTGCGCTAAAAGTTGGAGAAGGTGGCATTCCCCAACATCCACCCGGCGATGTGGGGATTCACGAAACGGGAGTCTCGGTGAGAGGTTCGGTGTGTGAAGCCGGAGTTCATGCACAACGTGAGGTTATCGTTATCTTATCGATCTTATCGATAATCCGGAGCCAAGTCCAGAGACCCTAACCCTGGCAATCTTCAGCCGGCGCAATGACATCATGGGGGTGGTGATGTCATGGCTCCAATTGAGACCAAGGAGTTTGCCAGCCAATCAGGGCAGGCAATGCCGCCGCGTCGACGCCTTTTCCACTGAGAACGTCATGATCTGAGTTCGCGCCGGTTGCAGGCGGTACAGAATCAGGTGTCTGCCGGCTCTGTTTCCCCTTTTAAAAGTTTCCTTGTGCTTTCTCTGGACTCTCAACCGTACCAAAGCAACATCGACTCTCACCAAAATATCAACACCACAACTTTCCATCCGTCACCGACAGTAAAGCAATTTGGCTCCTGTCATCCATACCTATACTCCAGTACACAACACATCCCCTGAAGTCGCAAACGAGCAAAGAACATCGCCATGTCGTCCAGACTTCCCGCCCGCATCGTACCCCGCGCGACTCGCGTGGCTCGCACCACCAAATCCACCCCTCGTCGTTTCCAGTCCACAGCTTCTTCCACCACACAAGCCGCAGCCAATGCCGCCCCCAGCGGGACAGGTCACTTCGCTTCCGGCGTTGCTGGCGGTATCGCCGGCGCTGCCCTCCTCTATGGAATTTACACCATGACCCCATCGGGCAAGATGATGAAGACGATGAACGCAACCGTCAAGGAGACCAACAAGAAGTATGAACAGCTCGCCGCCACCCTCAAGAACAAGACTCCCTCCACCGATGAGGCTCTCGGCAAGGTCAAGGAGGTCTGCTACTCGTATGCTGGCTGGGTACCAGGAGGCCGCCAGTATGTCGATGTTGCCTTCAAGGATATTGAAGACATTCGGGACGCGAACAAGGAAGAGGTTGACAAGCTCGTCGCCGAGACATACAGGGAGTTTCAGAACATCACGGCTGCCGGCCTGACTCTCGAGGCCGCTTCCCGCAGCTGGGAGGCCCTGCAAAAGCTGAGCCAGAGAATTGCCAACCTCAGCGCGAATGCTTCGGAGCAACTGCTCGATAACCACCCTCAGCTCAAGGAGAAGTTTGGCGGCTCCTTCGACACCCTGAAGCAGATGGGCTCTCAGTACGGACCAGAGGCCAAGAAGGTCGTGGACGACACATGGAAGCAAGTGAACGACATCATCAAGGGTGGCTTCACCGCCGAGAATGCCGACAAGGTGCGGAAGTTGGTCGAGGAGAAGACACAGCAGGTGCGCAAGATGGGTGACCAGGTCTGGGACAAGGGCTTGGAAACCGCCAAGCCTTATCTTGACAAGAGCCCTGCGGTCAGAGACCTGATCAACAATAACAAGGACATCCTCAAGCAAGGAAATGCCTCGGAGCTGTTTTCCAAAATCAAGAGCATGTCCGAGAGCGGTGACTCGAGCAAGCTGGAAGACTATGTGAAGCAGGCCGTCAACAAGGCCAAGGAGGCCGGGGACACGGGCAAGAGCTGGACCAGTTCTATTGTGGGAGGAAGCACTGGTTTCGGTGTGCTGAGCCAGTTCCTTGGTTCGTCATCCGAGGGCGTAACACAGAAGGTCAAGGACAACATTGGTGTCTTGTCCGAGGTGTATAAGAAGCATTCGGACGAGGGTCAAAAGCTGTTGGAGGAGACACAGGAGGACTTGCGCAAGCTGTTGGAGGAGAAGGCGAAGAAGGCCCAAAAGATTGCCGATGCTGCTGCCAAGGGGCAATGAGCTGGTCTCAGCTTCTCAGTTAGCATGGATATCGGAGAGGACTTGAGTTGTATGATAGCATGAACTTGCATTGCGTTGGTAGCATCACAGCCCGTAATAGTATTACCATTATAAGCTGAACATGTTGTCTTGAGGGGAAGTGATAGTCCTGGTGGCATCTGTAGGTACCTAGGTACACATCCAGGTGTGAAGAAAACGGGGAATCGAGGGGGGTCTGGTTGGTCAGAATGTACGGGATGCCCCGCGGTACCCGGACCTTCTGCTCCATCCTTCGTCCATCCTTTGGGTCCAGCTCCCCGCATTTCATTCTTTCACGGTAGTGCACATTGAAAGCCGGCAGCGGCCCCACCTTCCCGCCAAGCATCTGCTCCAGAGTGTAGACATCATGACGACGTGCCTGCGCCAGGCAAAGGTCAACGCCTCTTGATCGCTGTGCTTTGCTGCGGTTTGTTCGATTCGATAGCTCAATTTCGATTGATTCGTATCCAGCAGATCCCGAACCCATTCACCGAGATGCCGTACCACCCTTCGTCCCCGGCGCCGATGACCACGGGGGTGCCGGGAGCCATCGTGGCCATGACGGGTCAGGCTGGCTTCTCCCAGCCCAAGAAGCGATACATCGACGTTCCCTCGGAGGACCTCCTCGACGTCAGCGAGACCAGCAGCTACCTGATGGGTGCGCTCGAAGACATCATCGTCAACTTCCCTCCTCGAAGCCGATACCCGCACGAAGCTCTGCAGGGCCTCTGGTCTGGCCCCACGGGCATCGCGTACCTCCTGCTTCAGGTCAGCGCCAGACTCCCAGATTTGATCGTATCCGGTCAGCCGGCCTTGCACTGGGCTCAGTGCTATATTTCTGGGTCTAGGGGACACAACTTGCGGTTGGGGAGCCACGGTTGCGGGGTGTCGGATGAGAGACTGGCATTTGAAGCTGTCAGAGCTGCCCTGACAAAGGATCTCAGCCACGTCAGGGACTTTGTTGCGACAGTGGAGCAGGTCGCCGAAGTGGCCGAATTTCCAGACGAAAACCTGTATGGGAGGGGAGGGACGTTGTATCTGCTGAGAATGGTGAAGCATTGGGTCGGTGCTGATAAGTGCGGCAAGATTATTGACCCTGCTATGGCTGAGATTGCCAACACCATCCTGAATAACGGGCTGGGGTCACCAGGGAAAAACGGAAGTCCCCGTGAAGATAGACGAGCAAAATGGATCTGGCACGGAACACGGTACTTGGGAGCAGTGCATGGAGACATTGGCATCATTACTCAAGTGGTGCTCTCCATGCCAAATTTGGCAGACAGGGTGGAGAGGGTGCTGGAGAAGTTGTTGATGATGCAGCAGCACGATGGGAACTGGCCCAGCATTGAAGGCCATACGAGCCCTGGGAAAGGTTTGGTTCAATTTTGCCACGGCGCGCCAGGGTTCGTGATATCGCTTTGCTCTTTGCGGCCATATTTCCCACGACTACAGGACAAGATCGACGGAGCGCTCAAAAGGGCAAGGCAATGTATCTGGACGCAGGGGTTGTTGAAAAAGGAGCCGAACTTGTGCCATGGAATATTTGGCAATGCTTTGTACGTGGTCTCAGTAACAGGAAATAAGCTAAAACAAAGAAGCTGACACGAGCAGATGTTTTCCGCCCGGCCCACAGCGACAGCACTTTCTGGCAGTCGCTACACCTGAGAATGTGGCCCACATGAAGTGCTCAGATACAACCGGCACGGTATTCGAAAGGGCTGATTACGGACGATCATACTCAACCTTGACCAGCTACGCTCCCTGCGCGGTTTGGACCTGGCTAGTCGCGAGGGAACCAGACCCTATCATGTTGGGGTATAACGATGTCTAGGGTCATCATATGGACGAGGTTGGATGTTGGTTGGGTATTTTTCATGTTTCATCAGTAATGTGTACCTCGCAATATTCGATGCCTCCACCTCCTTGGCCAGCCGTTCCTTCATCACCCATAATTCCTTCTACTCTCTTCTCGGTGCTGGATAACTCGGAGATGACAACCTTCTTTTGCGACAGTTTCTCTTTATCGGTATCTCGTTCAGTTCTTGTCGTTCATAGCGTTTTTTTGGCTCTTGCTCATTTGGTGTCAGTTAGTCGGAGAATAGACGACGAGTTGAGAACGTGACTCACCATGTTACGAGATCTGTGTTGCTCTCTGAGTAGTTGCAAATACTTTGGGTATCGATGTTACTGGCTCGACCTTCGCGCTTGAATTGCGTGCCAAGCAAAGGAGACAATGGCGATAGCAGCAAGGACAGAGAACATGATAATAACTGGGAGGTGAAAGACGACCATCGTAGCTATGACAGAACCATGTGAAAAGGGGTGTTGGCGTGGCGAAGAGGTGAATCGAAGAGGGCTGAGTCCAGGAAAGGTTCAGAGGAAACCAACATCGGCATGCTTAGTCCGGGAAGGAAAAGAGATTTTAACCCCAGGTATTCGAATAGGCCTGGAGGAAAGGTACCTTGGGCAGATAACTTTGCTTGGATGCCCCTGATATTATTTCTCCGCTTCCAGTCCCATCTCTCATGTTATCACCGTCAACAAACATTTCTCTGTCAATCAGGTACCCAACATTTGTGAAGTTTGAAAGAGACTATAATTGGGCTTCGCTGGAACTTCTGGTACTCAACATCTCGCATTCCTCGTAAAGTTACCCCTGTGGCTCAAGTTAAGCCCCTGACTATTCATCCTGTATATGCATGACAGTTCTCAGCAAGGGTTCCAGGTTATCAAGACACTGTTGGAACATAATCCTTTGGTGTTGCATCACCGGCATCTGCCGAACACGCGTGTTGGCTGACACCAGACATCAAGAAGCAGGGCCCAACAGTGGCAGTAGGAATAAATCCCGGTAGAGATGTGGGGGCTCAATGTGCTGTGCCACCCTTGCTCAAGCTTTTAAAGCTGCGGCGTGTATGGAGTCAATCTCCCAAGACCTCGCACAAGTGTGTTCCATCGTCTCTAGCGCACGTTTTCCCGATACGAGATACGATGCGGCGCCGGGGCCACATCAAATCCCGGCGTGGCTGTGTGCAATGGTAAGGACAACGCCACTTGTCGATTTTTGACAATGGACAATTACCTAACTGACGGCTGGGACTAGTAAATTGCGGCATGTGAAGGTGAGTGTCTGGTAACTTCTCAGCGAATTTTCGTTGATGTGAATGATGAACTAACCTCGATCGGTCTTCGAAGTGTGACGAAGGCCGTCCAGCATGCTCACTTTGTACCGTTTCGGCAAGGCAATGCAGCTTCATGTCCGAAGCCCCGGCAGATAGCCCTTCTTCAAGTTCGTTGTCACGACGTCGCAGTCTCGCCGGCATTTCAACGTCCAGTGTCACCCCCCGGGAGACCTCCACACTTCTGTCTGATACAAGCCGGGCCTTATACAGCCCAACCCCCGAGGGGTTGCTCAATCTCCGTCATATTCACCTCTTGGTTCACCTGACATCCTCAAAGGACATCTTCGACTTCGGGGCCACCCCTCTTCGGGCGTCCGAGAATTCAGCAGCTCTCGCTCTGGCCTTGCAAAAGGGTCTTCAGGACACCTATCTCCTCTACCAACTCCTCGCCTTTTCAGCTCGCCACCTTGCCTGCCTACATCCTTCTCAATCAGAAACCTACCTCGAGCAAGCCATAGCTCTGCAGACGCATGGCGTCTCTCTGTTCAACATTGCCCAGCTATCCCAAGTCGACCGGTCCAACTGCGTGAGCTTTCTCATCTACTCTGGCATCCTCGGACATCACCTATTGGCTGATGCTCTCTCTTTCCGAGATCAACCGATCGATGAGTTCCTCGCCGAGTACGCCTGGTGTGCGCGTCTTCATCGTGGAGTGAGGACGATAGCTGCATCATCCTGGCCTCTGCTGATGGAGTCGGAGCTCACTGGGATGCTGTCTTGGAGTCAGGAGTATTTGCTTCGAAAACCGACTGGGCAGGAGTGCTCTCGAATCAGAGTGATGGTTGCCGCATCAGCATCGTTGACCGGGGGCGAAAGACAGGCGTGCATGCAGGCGATCGATTTCCTTCAGGTTGGGTTCGATTCAGTACTGTCTGCCGACTGGGAGGAGCTTGGGAAAGAGGCCGGAAGCAAGGGGAACAAGCACCAGATGACTTATTCGTGGTCTGTGGTGGTGGCCCCCGAGTTCATGGCTTTGTTGGTGGACAAACGACCCGAGTCACTGGTGGTGTTGGGTTATTTTTGTGTGCTGCTGCATTATGCGAGGGAGACTTGGCAGATAAGAGACGCGGGGAGGTATGTTTTCGAGATGGTCGAGCAGTGTCTTGGTGAGGCTTGGAGGTGTTGGCTTGACTGGCCTCGAAGGATGATTGCAAGCGATTAGCCGCCATCGTGATTGACAGAATGCGGAAGGGCAGATTGTGTCAGCATCTTTTGGGTTCTAGGTAGCTGCATGGCTCGACTGCTGCAGTTCTTGTGGTAATTGTTGTTTGCCGAGCAAGACTGGATGTAACTGTTGTTAACTCCGAAGATGCCATCCAAAGATCGCCGCATCCTGCACGGCAGGTGGTAGCCGCCATGACCCCGCTGTCAGCAAGTCATTGGTAATGAAAGCAAGCAACTATCAACGAGCCGATTTGTCATTTTGGAAGAGAATAACAAAAAAAAGTACCATGCACTGTCGCCTCTGGTGCGTGATCACAAGTTGTCGATAGATGGGAATAGCCACCTTGGACACTCGCAGACTTGGCCTCATTGATATAAAGAGGACATATATCGACAGTTGAGTCGAACTGATCTCATCATCATACGCTGTCAACATCAGCTTTTTTTTTGCCGATATAATCATTCACTCGAAGCTTCATTCGCACCATTTCCCCAAGTCACTATGGCACCTCAATACAACGCCGAAACGACCGGCTCCGAATTGGTCACCGAATTTGCCGCCCAGATCAAAGGCAAGGTTATTCTCACTACTGGCGTCTCGCCCAAATCTTTGGGGGCACAATTCGTTCAGCTTATCGCGGAAGCTGAACCCGCTCTTCTCATCTTGACCGGCCGCAATACGACCAAGTCGCAACAGACTGCCGAGGTCGTGGCCAAGGCTCACCCCAATGTCAAGACACGGGTTTTGAAGCTGGACCTGGGCTCCCTGGCCTCAGTCCGGGAGGGTGCTGCCGAGGTCAATTCCTGGGACGACGTGCCGCACATCGATGTCCTTGTCAACAATGCCGGAATCATGGCTGTTCCATTCGCACTGACTGCAGATGGTTATGAAAGTCAATACGCTACCAATCATCTGGGCCACTTTTTATTTACCAACCTGATCATTGATAAGCTCCTCAAGAGCAGCGAACCCAGACTTGTCAGCGTGAGCAGTGATGCCCATCGTTTCAGTCCTGTCAGGTTTGACGACAATGACTTCCATGTGAGTGCTTCCCACCTGAAGTCGAAAAGCGGACCGGCATGCTGAAGTATCTATGCTCGACAGCGTGGCGAGAACTACAACAAGTGGATTGCATATGGCCAAGCCAAAACAGCCAACATGCTCATGGCTTTATCGTTTGCCGAGAAGTTGGGAAAGAAGGGGCTGGTAGCTGTGAGCTTGCACCCCGGCGTCATCGGTACCAACCTGGGAGATGCTGTCGATTGGACGGGCGGTGATGTTGCCTTGTTGAGTATGTCTTCTCGGTTGTCTCTGAGCGGTGTATTGAGCCAAAATCAAAATCAAAGCTAACCATGGAAAAACCAGATTCTGTTGATAAGACCTTGGGAAACAGGGAAGCATGGGAGGACGGTCTGAAGTGGAAGACACATGATCAGGGCGTGGCCACCCATGTCTTTGCTGCCTTCCACCCCAGCTTGAAAGAGCACAACGGTGCTTATCTTCAGGACGCGCATGTTGCCGATCCCTGGACCGAGACCGTGAAGCCCTGGGGCACAAGCCCGGTGGAGGCTGAGAGGCTTTGGAAGCTGAGCGAGAAGCAAGTCGGACAGGAGTTCACATACAACTGAAGTTGGTATGGGGCCTCCACGGCCTCCAACAGTAGGCAGTCGAATAGAAGCGGTTGGAACGTGATGCCGGAGATAACTTAGGTTGAATGTAACCTCGGTGACAGGGTGGGCAACAGAAGGAGCTGAATAAAAGCCCATAGTAGGATAATGATCAGCTTCTGTGGCGACGTCAGACTGTATGGTATCCTATCGAGTTGGTGAGTTCGGCCTGTTTCCTTTCTAAAATCAAGAGGTTCTGCTATGGAAAGCTAGAATCCTCCCCTGGATGCATCCTTCCTTGCGCGCCAAACGGGCGTCGACTTCCTCTTCAGGAGGTGATTGAGTGTGCCGAGCAGTACCTGGACAGGTTTTGTTCCTGCCACAAGGTAGCAGAGCGACGTCAACTCTTTCCTATTCATCAATGCGGGCTGCAGGGTTGGCCACAGGTTTGATCGTGCCTTGCATTTTTAAATGAAGTGTTCCAGATGTAACCTCTCTTGAGAGTTTTGCCTTGGGCGTCCCATTTCGCCCCCCTCATCCACCCCTGCCTGACACGTCCCAGCCCGTACTATGTTTACATCCAGGAGAATCACCGTTACTGCCCACCGGATAAAGTGTGGACCACTCATCATCGACGTGTACATTTCCCTTTCAGTCGATATTCCTTTGGCTATCAACACTCTCAGAGATAACCGATCAATGTCCTGGTGTGCCAGGCTTTTCTATTGATCGGTATATATTGAGCAGCCAGTAGAGTATCGGAGGTTAATTGCTTCTGTTGTTGTGGCGAGCTTGTAACCTGATCCGGGCACAAGTGACGTCGATCGCCAAGACCCTATATTCTGGAACCGAACTTTCTCAGTGATACCCCGGGGCTTATGCTGTGCGTCATGACTGCCATCTGCACCACCGTTGTGTTTCGGGGATTGGGTTCCTATACCCGGACCGGACATCAATGCAGGCGAGCTTACAGCCGGACGATTTAGGTGGATACTGGTGGGTACCATTCCTTCTTCTATCCCTTCCACCATGTGCTTGCGGACGGCACATCCAGATTCCCGGATGATGTCGTGATTCTATTGCAGAAAAGGGGTTCTTTTGTGGCACAGGCTGCCTCTTGATTATCTCGGCCTTTGTAAACATCACTTATCGAGCATTTTTGCAAGCTTCTCTCGCCACTCCAAGCCACTTGAACGAGTTTCAGTGGCTTGGGAACCACAGAGCCAGTGAGGTGTTTTACCCAAGCTATAAGATGCCATTTATAACACCCTTGTAATCAAGATCATCGGTCATAGCAACTGAGATATCCTTGCATGTGCCGTGGCTTGTTCCCCCCCTGTCCCTAGGCTCGTGTTGCATTGTCCTTTCTTGTGACGCCATAACATGTCTTGGATGTTTACAACTGGCCCAGGGCGGGTTTCGGCACCAAGCAGGTATAGGATGGAGATGACGGTGATTCTACCACCACAACATGGACTTGGAAAAAGTCAGCGATGACCAGCTATTGATGCGGGAGTGCAAAGGGGAACGGGAATGCGACACTGCCATCTATATAAAGATGCTGCTTCTCCCTCCCTCTAGATCAAACTTTTTCTATCCTCCACACAATCAAGCAAACAAGCAAACAAGCCCACAAGCAAACAAGCTCTACTACAACCTTCCTGCACTTCAACAACACATCTCAACTCAAATCAAACCGCCAAAATGAAGTTCACTTTCGCCATCGCCGCTGCCATCTTCACTGGCCTCGTCTCTGCCCTCCCTGCCAAGGAGGTCGAGTCTCGCCAAGTGCCCTACATCCCCTGCAGCGGCATCTACGGCTCGGCCCAGTGCTGTGCTACCGACGTTCTCGGTCTTGTGAACCTCGACTGCGGCCAGCGTACGTTCTACACATTTGTCCCGACTCTCCCGACCTTGAGCTAACATTTTCTGAACTTGGCAGCCCCCGAGACTCCTACCGACGCCGATACCTTCAGCGCTATTTGCTCGGCCATCGGCCAGCGTGCCCGCTGCTGCGCTCTCCCTGTCGTAAGTCACCATTGCCTCGGGATCTTACAAAAGACATTATGCTAACTGACACTTCCACTAGCTCGACCAGGGTGTCCTCTGCAACACCCCTGCTGGCGTCCAGCCTTAAGCACCTTTTTGTTGTATAAGGCGGGGGCTGTCGGTCTTGACTGAATTGTCGTTTGCGCAGCGATTTGTTTGGGTTATCTTTGGACTTTCCTTTTCGGCTTTTTTTTGACTCTGTTGGGGGTGTGAGGAGGTGATATTGCTGTATATATAGCTGTATACTATTAACGCTCCTTTGATCTACGTTGTACAGTTCAGACGTGATTACATGCTTTTGTAAACTTTACAAATGGTTGTATAAATGTGATCTTGCTGTATAAGCCCAAGCCAGACTGTGATAGGTTGACTGGCTTGGGAAAGCCTTTTGGTGTGCCAGTGAGGCTGTGTAGACCAGAACGGCATGGTTTCACTTGGCTTCAGCATCAGCCCCCTCAAACTATTCAACCTCGTTTGGTCGGACTGCGCCCTATCATGAAGGGCAGCATTTAAAAACTGAAGGGAATTTGTTGCATCATAAGGTTTTTACCACCACAACTTTCACGACCAAGCCATCACCATGCTTTTGAGATCACGCAGAATTATCACCCAAACCAATGCTACCCCAACCTTTCCTTTCGACAAACTACCCAGGGAACTGCAGGATGAAGTGTGGAAGAACTCGGATGAAGTAGATACTTTATGGAGACCCACGGTTCAGGCCCAGAACTCGTTGGAGTTAGCACGGGACATGATCGGCCCAAAAGACGCAAACGGGAAGTGGCTTGCAAGGTTTCGCTTTGAGTACTTCGTTTCCCGTCGTATCCCAACACTGGCTCACGTCTGCCGCAATTCACGACAAATCATCCAGGCACATGCTTCAGCACCTGAACAGACACTCAAAGATCGGAACCGCCTCTGGTATAAAAACACCTGGAACGACTTTTACGGCTCAGTCGTCGTCCTCGAGGAGATTTACGCCGAGAACAAACAGTCGCTGCTACCCATCCTGCCAAAAGGCAGTTATCTGGTTTTGGAGCTCCCATATGGTCGCCGCCACGGACCCATCCACAACCTCGCGCAGGGGAGGAGACTGCTCGAGGTGATCCTGGCAGCAAAGCACGATCAAATCAAGGTTCTTTTGCCAAGCCAAAAACATCACAAGCTTTCCAAAACACCGATAAACGAAAAGCTGGCTGCGCAGGCGAGGTTCTGGTACGACGATCCTCTGCTGGTGAGCATTCATGATCTTCGGTGCTGGAACGAACTGCGCGACTATTGCCGCAGTGCTGGTGAAACTTGGCCGTTTATTGAGTCTGTTTTGGAGGGACGGAAAACCAGGGACGCCATGGTGGAAGAGGCTCTCAGGCCACTCGTGGGTCTGTGGAACAGAGAGAACAAGCATCGAGAAGATCGAGGGTTCGACAAACTGAAGCCTTTGCCGAGCATCGACGTGGTGGCAGAGGTCCGGTTCACGCATTCTAGTGCTGGGTATAGTAGGATGGCTCTCAGTCGTGGTGGGTGGGATTAGAAAGGAGAGCCCTTAGTAGATAGCCTAGTTGGATGACAACAGGTTGTTTACTTTCCCCCTTTTAACCACCGTTCAGCATACCTAGCCACGCACCGCCAGTCTACGTGCAGACTTCGATAGACGATGCTCAAATTTTCGTTTTCGACTTGCTGAATCTCTGGTCTCACTCTGAAATTTTGAGGCTTAGCCCCCAAGAACTTGGCGACTCGATTATGCGTACTACCTATGAGCCTTGATTTCTATGATCGATCTCGTTACTCACCGGTGGTCAAAGATAACGATAACAGGCTCGAACCATGACTAATGGGTATTAAACGTGTTGACGAGTGTCGCTTGCTCTTCTTCCCACGGATGAGTTAAGGGGAAAAGGGAATTGATGTTCCCGTTCCTGAGCGCCGAGAGCGCGTGGAAGGCGGCCAGAACGAACCTGCGTTCTTCTGTGGCCTTTCCAAACAGGAAGTTCCCTTACAAATACCCCACTCTTTTGAGCTTCCAAGGCGCTGCCAAGGCCTTCTCTCCGGCTTAATGCTGGAGTGTGAGCGAAGGGGGGCCCCACGGCGCGGCGTCTTGACATAAAAGAATGAGTCGGCACCTGTAGACATGTCAGAGCATGGTCAATATCGAAGGCGCGAGAAAGGGCGATTAAGTGAAGAGGCGGTCGAGCATGGCAGCCAGCCCTACGAGATGGCCGTGTCAGAAGAACTGCCCAAAGCGGCAGTAAAAACACACGTCCTGCGTTTCCAGTTCCTCAAAACCGGCTCCACCGCCTCCAACCGGCCCCCGCAAAGCCCAGCACAAACCCACAATTCTCTCAACCAGGTACGTAATGTCTGTGGCCATTTGCGCCTTGGCTGCCAGGTTCGGGTTGGAGAAGAGCTGCGAATCCCTTCCTGCCCAGACATTCTGTGATTCTCCTTCTCTTGCTCGCGATGCGCCGAGCTACGCGATGGGCAACTTTCGCAGGCGGCCCGGGATGACTCCTCTACGTCTCCAGTGGCGGACCAACGGGGGAAGAGAAAACATCCAGAGGGTCCAGAGTGTTAATAAGACGGGACATGTTGCTGTTATATAATGGCGTCCTCGGCTCCCCTTTCTGTCATCCCAAGAGTCTTGCCAACTTCCACCCCTTCGAATCTTTCGATGTAGCACCCCAGCCAAGTTGCGGATCACACATTTTCGCTCCCCGCCGTTCATCTGCCATCTTGGCTCTGCCGCCCACCATGGCGAACCTTCAGCAGCAAATCGAGGGGCATGTCTCGGGCCAAGCCAACGAGCCCCTTTCTCTCCCTGCCCACTGCCTTTCTGCCTCCCAGGTTGCTCAGGAACTCCAGACAGACCCGACAACGGGTTTGACCTCCCAGGAAGCAACTGAGCGCCTGGCCAGATATGGCGCCAACGACCTCGGCAAGGAAAAGGGTGTCAAGCCCCTCGAGATTCTCTTTGCCCAGGTCTTCAACGCCATGACCTTGGTACGTACGGTATCTTGCCAAAAGAGTCTAGCAGCAGAACGCTAATCATCTCCCTCTAGATCCTCCTGCTAGCCCTTGCTGCCAGTTTTGGTATCCAGGCCTGGATCGAAGGGGGTGTGTTGGCTGGTCTGATCGCCATCAACATTGTTATTGGCTTCTTCCAAGATCTTCAAGCTGCCAGAACCATTGCCTCTCTCAAGTCTCTCAACTCTGCCACCGCCCGCGTGGTCAGAGATGGCGCCACAACCACCATTGAAGCCAGCAAGCTGGTTCCCGGCGATATCATCGAGCTCAAGGTTGGCGACAGTGTCCCCGCCGATGCCCGCATCATCGAAGCCGTCAACCTTGAGGCAGATGAGGCGCTCCTCACTGGCGAAAGTGTCCCTGCCCGAAAGCACCCCGACGAAGTCTACCAAGATGCCGATACCGGCCCTGGAGACCGTCTCAACATCGTTTTCTCGTCCAGCGTCTTGACCAAGGGTCGCGGAAAGGCCATTGTTTTCGCAACTGGCATGTTCACCGAGATCGGAGCCATCGCCGCCGCGCTCGATGATGATGGAACCAAGAAGCGGAAGCTGGAACGGGACGAAAACGGCAAGGCCTCGATCGGTGCCTACTTTTCTTTCGCTCTGGGAAAGACATGGGACTGGATCGGCGCATTCCTTGGGGTTACAGTCGGTACCCCGCTCCAGCGGAAGCTGTCGCAGCTGTTTCACTATATCTTCATGTTTGCCATCGTGTGCGCCATCATCATTCTCGCGGCCAACAAGTTCAAGGCAAGAAACGATGTCATCATCTATGCCGTGGCCACAGCCATCGGTACCCTTCCGGTGACCCTGATTCTTGTGCTCACGATCACCATGGCCGCTGGAACCAAGGTTATGGTGCAGCGCAACGTGGTTGTCCGCAACATGCGCTCTCTCGAAGCTCTCGGCGGCGTTACAAACATTTGCTCCGACAAGACTGGTACCCTCACCCAGGGCAAGATGGTAACCCGTATGGCCTGGATTCCCGGTTTCGGCACCTATTCGATTGACACCAACGACGCCTACAACCCTGAGGCTGGAGCCATCACCTTCACCGACGCGGAGCCCCGGAACATGAGACGCTCTGCCGACAATGGAAGAGCCGTCAGCCCCAAGGACGAGTCTCACCCTTCCCTCGCTCACTACCTCGACATTGCCTCCCTTGCCAACCTGGCCAAGGTCATCAGATCAGACAACGAAGATGGTTCCAACCAGTGGAAGGCCAACGGTGACCCAACCGAGATCGCCATGCAGGTCTTTGCGACTCGCTTTGGCCGCTCCGGCTTGGGCATCGAGGCCGGTTCGGGTTGGAAGCAGCTGGCTGAGTTCCCCTTTGACTCATCTATCAAGAAGATGTCTATCCTGGCCGAGAGTGAGTCCACTGGCTTGGTGCACATCTTCACCAAGGGTGCCGTCGAGCGCGTTTTGTCTAGCTGTGTCTCCGTGTCTGTTGGCAACGATGACAGCACTGTTGCTCCCATGACCGAGGAGTTCAAGACCACCACCCTGGCCAACATGGAAGCTCTTGCCCGTAGAGGTCTTCGCGTTCTCGCCCTTGCCAACAAGGGCGGTGTCAGACCTGTTTCGGAGGAGGAGTCCCGCCGTGGCCTGCTCAAGCGCGAGGAGTTTGAGCATGACTTGGTTTTCAGAGGCTTGGTTGGCATCTACGACCCGCCGAGACCAGAGTCACGGCCCAGTGTGTTCAAGTGCCACGAGGCCGGCATCGGAGTTCACATGTTGACGGGTGATCACCCCGAGACCGCACGGGCTATTGCGATTGAGGTTGGCATCTTGCCTGCTAGGATGGAGCTCGTCAGAGCTGATATCGCCCAGGGACTGGTTATGGCCGCGCATGATTTTGACAAGCTATCGGATGACGAGCTGGACAAGCTGCCAGAGCTGCCTCTCGTGGTGGCCAGATGTGCACCCTCTACCAAGGTCAGGATGATCGACGCTCTTCACAGGCGTGGCAAGTTCGTTGCCATGACTGGCGATGGTGTTAACGACAGCCCCAGTCTGAAGAGAGCCGACGTTGGCATTGCTATGGGATTGGGTGGCAGTGATGTTGCCAAGTCGGCTTCTGACATTGTGCTGAGCGATGACAATTTCGCCAGTATTCTCAACGCTGTGGAGGAGGGCCGCCGTATCTTTGACAACGTCCAGAAGTTCATGCTTCACGTCTTGTCGGCCAACGTAGCTTTCGTCACCACATTAATGGTCGGTTTGGCTTACAAGGATTCCGCCGGCATCTCCATCTTCCAGATCACCCCAGTGGAGATCTTGTTCATGTTGCTGGTGGCTGGAGCCTTCACAGAGACTGGCCTCGGCTTCGAGTCTGCCTCCAAGCACATTCTCAAGAGACCCCCCCAGAGTGTAAGTTTTCTGCACCCTTCGTCGTTACGGTATCAACATGTGCAAGGAACTTTGACTAACATTTACGTGACAGCTCAAATACGGTGTCTTTACCCCCGAGTTCATCTCTGACTTGTTTGCCTACGGCCTCATCATGGCCATTTGCCTGCTCACTGCCTTCATCGCCGTCATTTTTGGCATGTACGACGGCAACTTTGGTCACGACTGCAACCTGCGCTACTCGGAGTCTTGCGAAGGTGTCTTCCGCGCTCGCTCGACTTGCTACACGGCCATGATGTGGATTTTCGTCTTCTTCGCCTGGGAGCTCGTCGACAGCCGTCTTTCTTTCTTCCACGGCGCCTTCAACAATACAAAGAAGTGGGCCGACAAGTTGTGGAGAAACCCGTTCCTGTTTTGGTCAGTGATGGCTGGCTTCTTTTGCACGTTCCCGACGCTGTACATCCCCGTGCTCAACGACCACGTATTCTTGCACAAGGGCATCGACAAGGAGTGGGGTGTTGTCTTTGGCGTGACCATCTTCTTCTTCTTGGCGGCCGAAACATACAAGTGGGGCAAGAGAAGGTACCTGAGGAAGAAGGGTGAGATGGTGAGGAAGGGCGAGGGGAGTTCGGAGGAAGACCTGGAGAAGAAGACGTTTGAGAGATTTTACTCGTCGGATAGCGATTATGCCAGCGCCGGGACAGAGAAGGCGTAAGCATTTAGGTGTTGATCGTGGGTCTACCTACCACGTCGCCATTAATACTAGGTACCTAATATTTTGTTACCATTCCCAAAGCGTCCACTTTGCGTGTTTTGAATGCTGCGCCGCGGCCCAACAACGTGGTGTTGGTACCTTTGGTGGATACCCCTTGCACTGACAGGCCAACCAGTGGGTGCGAGCGGGACCTGGGAATATCCGAGGCACCAACGATACACTGCAAGACAGCGGCGCATGTTGAAGCTGACCATGCAGGGACGACCAAGCCGTCAAAGAGATTGTGAGTTGGCCCACAAGATGCTTCGCTTTATACACCACGACAACGCGCTGCTCCTCGATCATACTCGCTCGTGTTGATTCTGCCAAACTTGTCTTCCTGACCGAAGCACCAAAATGGGCCTCCTATCAACAGCCTTCTGGGCGGTTGCCAGTCCGATAGTTCTTTTCCTGGCATACACTTACCTTTCACTCCTTTGGAACTACATCGTCGCCCTTCAAATTGGCGTCCCGGTCCGAGCTATCCCCATCGAGCAGACCAACCCTTTCTGGATGATTATGGATAAGAAAGTCCTGGCCTTTCTGAAGCGATACCTGCCATTTTTGCGAGGCTCCAGCTTTGCGCGATTCAACTGGCGAGGGTTCGAGATCGTCGAGAGATACAAGCCGCATCATGAACTGGGAGATGTGTACATGGTCTCGACTCCTGGGAAGAACTGGTTGTACCTCGGTGACCCTGACTTGGTGACGGAGATGTTCAAGAGACGGAACGATTTTCCGAGATGTTCGAAGCTGACGGGTAAGTTTGAAAAGTCTTGGATGTCGAGTCGGGTTGATGCTAACCGAGGCTTTGCAGAGTCTCTGAACGTTTTTGGGACAAATCTGGGCACTGTTGACGCCGCGGAGTGGAAGCGGCAACGAAAGATTATTGCGACGTGCTTCACTGAGCAAACCAATGCTTTCGTGTGGAGTGATGCCGTTACTCGCGCCCGCGATATGCACCGTTACTGGACTTCAAAGCCGAGTTTGACGACAGCTGCCGACGACCTTCGCACACTGTCTTTGGGCATCATGTCCGAAGTTGGATTCGGACAGTCATCCAAGTTTCAAGGTCATGGAGAACGGCTGGGAGCAAGCGGCACATCGACGACCAGCTACAAGGACACACTGCAGGAGATTTTGGAGAACTGTGTCCTAATCATGGCGCTGGGGCCAGAGGTTCTTGCCAAGCTTGAAAGATGGCTTCCGAAGAAGCTGAAAAAGCTCCAGCATGCTTGCGTGGTGTTTCAGAGCCACATGACCAAAATGTACGAGGAGACAAAGGCCAAGGTTTCCAATCGGACCTCCTCTCAGACTTCGGCCGATTCGCGAAACTTCTTGACCTCATTGGTGCAAGCCTCACACGGGATGACATCGGAGGGTCTGACAGAAAAGCAAGTGTACGGCAATATGTTCATGTTGGCGTTCGCTGGCCACGACACGGTAGCACACACCTTTACCTTTGCCATGCTCTTCCTGGCAGGGTCTCCTGACGTTCAAGACTGGATTTCGGAAGAGGTGCGGGCGGTTTTGGAAGACCGCGATACGAAGGATCTGGACTACGAAAAGGACTTCCCGCGTCTTCACCGATGTCTGGCTGTGATGTGCGAGACTATCCGTCTGTACAGCCCAGTTGCTTTGGCCAAGTGGACAGATTCGGCTGCACAAACGCTACAGGTTGGACAGAAGGCGATTGTTATCCCCGCAAACACCATGGTCATTCCCAGCTACTCTTGTCTTCACACTGACCCCAGATGGTGGGGAGAGGACTCCTTGACATGGCGGCCCTCGAGATGGATCAGGAAGAGCGGGCCGAAGGGAGAGGAGGAGCTGATAACACCTCGCAAAGGGACGTTTCTTGGCTGGTCCGAAGGCGTACGGGACTGCCCAGGCCGAAAATTCTCTAAGGTTGAGTTTGTGGCCACGATCGCGACACTGTTCAAAGATTGGAAGGTTGATCCAGTTCCTCTAGATGGAGAAAATCTGACACAAGCAAGGAAACGAGTACTGGAGTTTATCGTGGAGGATGCTGCTCCCGTGCTGCTGTTGCAGATGAATCATCCCGAAAGAGTACCGCTGGTTTGGAAGAAGAGATGAGCGGTTTGATGGGAGCATAGGTTTATAGAAAGAGAGGGCTTTTGTCATTATATCGAGAGTCTCTCGCAAACCGCCGATATTTCTGTCCAAACGTTTTTTCCGCATGAAGGACTGATGATATACGTCAAGCTTTTGCTATATTGTGATTTAGCATCCTTTATAGCAAGGAACACGTACGTGCATGGCATGTGCATTACGTACCATGATCCGGGCTGTGGTGACACTCGTTCATCCCCGCACACATCTCCCACTTCAACTTGCGTGCTCAATTTACGTTAGCTCGCTGACTTCGTTCAAGTCGAGAGGTTAGCAATTAGCAGGCACTAGTCAAAATGGCGCTACTCAACGATGTTATTCCGGTTTTTTGCACTGCTGAAATCCGCGGGGATGTCCTGGACGAATTTTTCCGTGCTGCGTATAGTTCTCCAGAGTTTGTCAATGAAGGAATTCATGGTGACATCGGTGGGCTCTTGTATTCCACTACCTACTGTGAAATAAACCAGGCAATCTAATTCCTTTTGGGTCATGCCCATAGCGGTACTCATCCATGATACCAATACCGAAGGCATAACCCACCCAACAAACCCACCTGTTTCCAAACCGACCTCTTGCCCCTTCAAGAACAAGACGGCTGAGGAGATCTGGGATTTCGCACAAGAAAACCTGCGTTACCCCATTTTCAACCGTGCCATCGCCATACTTGACGAGCAAACAGTCGTTGACAAGGAAACATGCTTGCTCGTAACTACTTGGGAAAACCCCCCGTCAGAACAAGAGAACGGGTCTGCGTTGTTGACCGTCAGGTCAGACTTTCGATCAGCACTAGTGATCCTCAACATCAAAAACTTGGGCATTGGAGGGGACGAGCACTTCAAGAATGGCAAAGATGCGAAGGGTGTGATCCGCCTTTATCGGAGATAAGATGGAGGCCAATAATACTAGATCCACGATCAAAGGTGTGGAACCTACGTCGCCCTTCCAGTGTTGATAGCTTTTGGATACACGTTTCATTTGTTTGTTTACATTGTGTCCCCTGAGCCCCTGGACCCTTACCCCTAATTTTAGACCCACGAATTCAAAAATGAAACTCCGGCCAATATATCCCCCCTCCCTGCTGAAACAAAAGATCGGAACTCGACGGGTCCTCCAGGAATTGCATGCCCATAGCCGGCTGCATGAGAAATTCTTCCAAGGACGGTTCGGCAAGAGCAACTTCAGCAGTCACTTCCAGCCCGCCCATGTCAGGCATCTGATCCCTATCCTCGGTGTGCGGTACGCCAAAGTGACCCGGGGCCCCATGTCCCATGTAAGCATTTACATCGTTACTTGGACCAGCCATATCAACTCGAGAGTTCTTCTCTTCTGTCTTTTTGATCGTTTCCATCATCAGCTTAACATGGCGGTAGTACTCTCTTGCGGGAAAGTTGCCGCTGTCTTTGAGTTGAGACATTAGCTGGGCTGCATCCTCGAAGCACTCCCTGTCACTGGCGCTGTCCTCGTGATCGAGAAGACTGGACACGGCGAGGACGGTGAGTGCTGAGAATAGGCTCTGTGTCAGGTCGTGGTACAAGGCCGGAAAAGCACCGTTGACCCAGCTTTCGGACAGGATGCGGTAGGAATGACGGGCACATCGAATACAAGTGTCGATGAGTGTCTTGGCGGAGGCGGGAATCGGCTTTGGTGGTGAGCTGCCGGCGTGGAGACGCAGACCGTAGAGGAGGATTGGACGGGTGGCTACGATGATGGTCTGTAAAACACGGGGTCGGTCTAAGTAAGGTACCTCCATATTACTCGAGAGAGAAGCACTTACCGCATTGAGTTTCAGGTGCAAGGAAAGCATGTCATAATTTGGGTAGGAAGATGTCGTGGTGCTAGTGGTGACCATGTGTAAAGCTGGTGGCAGTTCCTCCACCCAAGCCTTTAGCTCTTTCAGCCGTTGCTGCACCTTTGTAAAGAGATCGGCTGGTTGATCCTTTCCGCCGTAGATGGACTGTACGACCTTCATAGAGATGGTAGCCAACTTGGCGTATGCGATGTAGTACCCGGCGTCGCTAAAGTCTCCGTTGGTCGGGACGTCCTTTTCCACCAGCTTGTTGGACGGCATGTCCACCCTGATGTCTTCGTCCTGGATCGAAGGGAGACAGCCAAGGGTAGCCGCCCATGACCGATCCAGGATGTAAGCCGTCCACCATACTCTGACTCGGTGTTCACGGAGAACAGGATCTGGAAGTTGCGTCGGGGGTATGTTGAGATGAAGACCCAAGAGAACAGCCATCCGGACGGCGCTGCCTGCAAAGGTATAGGAGGCATAGATGCGGTTGAGTGTGAATGAGTAGACTGACTGATCATAGCACCAGTCTGTTAGCGCTGTAGGCCGTTCTCAAAGTGTATGAGCCTACCAATATCAGACGTATCTCGATAAAGTCCATGGTCGGGTGTTCTCCAAGATAGCTCAGGACTTTTGTCGCTTGTGCAAAATGACCCAAGCCAGGGAACGCCTGACCCGGAGGAACGAATCTAGAGGAACACAGCTCGCCAAGAGCAAAGAGTGCCCTCAGCTTGCCAGCCATGATCGGATCCCTCCAGTTTGGATCGGTAAGGCTGTTTTCCAACGCTCGCAACACCTCACCTGGACGCACAATATACAGACATCTGCTCGCGTGCATCAATGCGACGTTCATGATCAGACGGGCGCGGGAGGGTTTCGGCCAAGGCCAGGGTGTCTCGGCCAACGACATGATGGTGTCATCACCAGCGTACTCGTTATGTGGAACATGGGAGAATTGAAGGTCACTCGGATCTGAAAGAGCCTGTCTGAACCTCGTTGCAAATGCTGTGTCGGCCGCCTCGTTGATTGGTTTCGGTGTCTGGGGAAGATCGATGTCCAGGAACCACGGCTGCGCATCAGTCGAGCCATGAAGGGCAGTTGTTGAATCCGGGACAGCGAAGGGCCCAGTTGAGCCGCGATCCCGGCTGGGGCCTTGCTCTTCCTGAGCTGCCGATGGTGTACTGACGCTGGATTCACCGCCACTAGGTGGGACTTCTGCTCTATGTGTAAGTTGAGCGCGCAGCCGCTTGTTCTCACCTTCGAGTTGCTTGATATATCTAGACCGAGATGTAAGCCCGGTTGCTGGTTGAAAAGTTGCATCAAGGGTTGGGATTGCCAGCAAACCTTTCATCGACCCGGACTCGTCTATTTCGATTGGGATAGATGCACTCTAACTTTGACTTCTTGCAGTTTGTGCAGGGCTGTTCACCGGAGCATTTGACCTTCCGAGAATGGCAGCGATGGCATCTGGAGATGTGATATCAGTGGAAAGGTCCAAAAACGGGCACAATAAGGGGTGGGGGGGGGCTGACGCTGTTGACTTGATCTTCGGAGCTAAGGTCCCGTCATTCTCTCGGTCACCCATTTTCTCTCTGTGCCTGTATCCAACACGGCATTTGGCCGGTCGTTGTCATGTGCTGGCCCGATGCTATCTTCATCTCGGCGCGGGCCTGAGTGCAGCATCCGATGCTCGGAGCCGACAGTGACAGGGCACGTCCCGCCGTGGATCCAGTTCTCGACTTGTTGGCAAGTTGAGTCAGACAGTATCCGTAGACTTGGGCCTTAAAAGTAGGGCTTATCGGTAGCCTCCCAGCGTGTTATCGCCTGTGGTCTAGGCCTGGGCCCTGGCTCGTTTGGTTGCAGTGAGAACGACGGTGTGTCTTGACCGTCTCCACCACATCGGCAAAAGAACTTTTGCCGACCACGCTGTTTTCGGCAAGGGTGCTGTGGCCGAGCACTTCACGAACTTCAATATCACTCGGCACACTGCAAGTATGCCGAACTATGGATAACGGTGAGAAAATGATGCATGAGCACTACGGCAAAAGGCCTGTAAAAAATTCGTAAGAAGCACTCATCATGTGTCCCAAGGTCGACGAGATGAGCTCGGTAATGACGTGTTCAGACATTGACGTTCCAAAGGAACTGTATTTAAAGTCTTGAACCAGCGTCGATCATGATGACTCTCTTGCCACAGTTTTGTATCATCATCTAGTCTTTTCTCTACATAGGGGGCACCAGGCTCGTCAACCATCACCATGCCCTCGTCTCTTTCTGATAGCAATGAGCTTGGCATCACCAAGCACGCCAAACACGGTGGGTGCGCCGTCAAGGTCAACACTGCTCCATACGTTAACCCTACCAAAGAATCACAATCCTCCCTTCTCAAAAGATTTGTCAGAAGCAATCGATGGACGCCACCATGGTGTCGCCAACAACAAGGGCGGGAATTTAGATACAATTCTGGTATTGTCTTGCTATCCGCCTTCGCCAGCGCCGTGGCGGCCGCCAACTTGTACTACACCTATCCTGTCCTCAACAAAGCCGCCGACGATTTTGGTGTCAGCTATGAAAAGGCCGCTCTCATTCCCCAGCTGTTGCAGGGCGGGTACGGCCTCGGCATCCTATTCCTCTGCCCCCTCGGGGACGTGTTTCGACTCCGGCCCCTCATCATCACCCTGACCCTTGCAACCACTTGCACTTGGCTCGGGTTGTGTTTAAGCTCCAACTTTGAGCTCTTCACCACCCTGAGCTTCCTGACTGGCTTTGTGACGGTGAGCCCTCAAATTCTACTCCCACTCATTGGCACACTCGCGCCACCGGCACAACGAGCCACGGCTGTCTCCCTCGTCTTGGCCGGCATGATGATGGGCCTGGCAGTCCCTCGTGTCGTCGCTGGCATCGTCACGCAATATACGCCCTGGCGTAACATCTACTGGGTTGCTCTCGGCCTCCAGTGCATCCTTGTTGCCCTCATGTGGCTTTTCTTCCCCGACTATCCACGACCAGACCCCAACAACACCCAGACCTTCTCCCGCAAATACATGAATATTCTGGGGAGCATCATCCGCATGATGGTCACACAACCGGTTCTGGCCTACGGCTGTCTTGTGACCTTCCTGGTCAACGCTGTTCAGGCATCCTTCTGGACAACTCTGACAGCCCACCTCGCCGGCCCACCCTTCCACTTTGGACCCCTCCACATTGGCCTCTTTTCCATGATCGGCATCGGCACCACCATCCTGATCCCTGTGTACGCTCATTTCGTGATTGAACGGTTTGCGCCTTGGTTTTCGACCATCAACGGACTGTTGCTGACCATCGTGACGGTTGCCTTGGACTGCTACACCGAGAATGTGCTGAAGATCGGGGGGCCTATACTGCAGGCATTGGGCGTCGACTTTGGGGTACAGTTGGGAAGTGTGGCCTATCGAGCGGCTGTGTACAAGGAGCTGCCGGCCAATCGGGCCAACGTTATTTTTACCGCCTGCGCATTCATCGGACAGCTGGTTGGTACCAGCATCGGGAACACTGTATATGCCAGGAGCGGTTGGTCAGATGTTGGAATTTTCCACATTGCGTTTGCTTTGGTGACGATGGTGGTTATATTTTTGAGGGGGCCAAAGGAAAAGGGGTGGTTTGGATGGACAGGGGGAGCTGGGCTGCGGTTGGAAAATGGTGGTTCGAAACAAAAGGAGGAGGGTTCCGAGTCGGATGACAATTCGGCAAAAGTCTGATGTTGTTTTGATTGTATGATGGTATAGATAAAAGTTTTTGGGTGTCTTTGGGGTCTTTAGCGGGTTTATAATGATAATGAAGAAGACGGTGAAAAGTAATGGGTTAGGGTGAAAAACGTCCAGGATCTCCATGTTCACGAAGGGGCAGGAAGTGATTGGTTACAGTTTGACGAGCTCCAGGGTGCCTATGAAGACTGTGTAGTTTCTAGGGGTGGAATTAGGCACCTTGGGCGGATCATCAAAGAAGTGTTATCAAACTTGATCTGGCAAGCCAGGCCCAATGTGGAGGCAAGGAGTCAAGTGGTCAATGCAGCCATGGTTGGAGGCTTGCAAGACAAGGAGCAAAGGCGAGCAATTAGGGTAACAGTATAGTTATAGCCACGGCCAATCTACACTATACTGCACTTGGGGGCTCTCTTATGATTATTGTCCAACTTTGTGCATGTTAGTGTACCTGGGTAGGTAAGATAAGGTACGTATCCATCATACTAGTAGCAGCCAACAACATGAAACGAAGACACGATGCTACACCAAACCTCCAGGGTCACACGAAACACCCTACTGTATACTCAGATGAGCAATATCTTTTTTCTTCAGCACTTTCATGTGACATGATGGTGTGCTAAAGATCCTTCCGTCCTGTCACCAACTGCACTGCTAGTAGCCATGGATAACCTTGGGAGTGTTGGGTGAATGCAACCTTCAACCAACAAAGACTCACCAGGTGTCTGAATACCGCGTATGGGAATTAGCCATCCGGTCTCCATAATGGTTATAACTTTCGATACTGCCACCAACAAAATTTAGTCAACTCTTGGTATACCCAGTTCATTAGCCCTGCATGATCAAGCGTATTCGGCTGGCCTCCAGCATCCACTGTTGGTTTCTCCAATGTCACTCTCCAATACCATTCCAATGGATGTTGGGGTTTACCAAGAAAAGTCGGTGAATCTTAGACATGGCTGTTGGCAATTATGATGCAGCTTGGCTCATGCTGCGTGGCTGTAAGGTATCGGGAATGCCAGAAGGATTGAGACTCGTGATACATATAATGGCCCGGGGGCCGCCGAACTATCTTTGCCTACTGAGTCCATCACCTCTCTGCTTCCACCGCTTCCTTGACACTCACCATGAAGTTCTCGACACTCTCTGGTATCACAACCGTGCTCCTGACTGAGATTGGTGGCGCTCTTGCTCAAGGTGGTGGTTTCTTCCAAAGTTGCAACCAGGATTGGTACATGGAAGGTGACCGATACATGGTGGCGACATGCAGAACCAAGAGTGGTGGTTGGAGGCGGACAAGGCAAGACATGAACAAGTGCATCACCAACCTCAACGGGAATCTGCTCGCGTGGAATATGTAAGCTGATGGCCATGTTTGTTTGAATTTAGTTCAGTACTGACATGCAAGCGTCTAGGGGTGGTTACCATCCTACATGTGGCATGTGCAGCCAAGGCGGCCTCCAATATGACGGAGCACCAAAGAACAGTCGGTTGAACTGCATGTGCATCAATGCCGCTGGTCAGCAAGACTGGAGTGAGCTTGAGCTGAGTAAAGGGTTCCTCGATTGATGACATTCCAATGGAGACTTGCAAACTGACCATGTGATCAGACAATTTCGTTTCCAATGAGGATGGACATCTATGGTGCTTTGGCCATTGGGCCCCCGAATACTGAGGTGCAAGGGGAAAAGTGATGGAAAGGGCCGGGGTAATGTGTTATTGTGCTAATGTGCAAATGTGGTAAAGTGGTAAAAGGGTAAGGGAGCCAACAGCTCCACATGTTGTCGTTGCAGGAAAGAACGGTGTGCATGGGGAAAGAGCATTTGTGGAAGACACCATATAGGGAAAGAGCCAAAGGAGAAAGAGCCAAAATGGGAAGGGACGACGGTGGGTAAGGTCAGACAATGGAAAGAGCAACCCTGGGAACGAGAAAGGATGAGAAGGAGCAAGAGATAGTTAGGAAGGAGCAAGAGAAGGTATATTCCATGACACCGCCTCTCATCGCTCTCTCCTCGCAACGTAACAGGGCCAGTCCTTTGGAACAACGGTAAAGTAGGCTTTCCACCTCCACTCCTTGGCTTTGTCAACCTGCACAAAATCATAATCCCTGACCAAAGTCGCACATGTCTTGCTGAGCTCAATCTTTGCAAGATTCTGACCAGGACACGAGGCGTACCCAAAACCCCAAGGCACAAAGTATTTTTCCAACCTCACCGCGTCAGGAGTGAGCCATCTGTCAGGGTTAAACATCCTGGCATCCTCCCCCCAGATCTCCTTACTGTGGTGAATCACCCACACGTTCACGGACACGGTGGTGCCGCCAGGAATGCGTCTGTCTCCAATCACCAAGGGGGTTCCTTTCGGCACCACTCTCGGCAACCCCATCGACGCAGGACCAAACACTCTCAACGCCTCTTTGATGCACGCTTGCAAGAACGGCAAATGCTGGGCGTCCGCAAATGACACTGATCTACCACCGACAGTCCCAACCTTGGCAGCATCAATCTCCCTCCTGCATCTTGCCCACGCAGTGGGGTGTCGAATCATGTAGTACACAAACGCCTGCAGCCCCGTCGCCACCGTCTCATTCCCCGCAGCCGCAGCGTTGAACGCCGCCGAGTGTATCTCATGCATCTCCATCTTGCCCTTGCTCTTCTCCAGCATGTGGAGCCAGTGCGCCAAGGCATCAAACTTCTCCACGTTGGGATTCTCCTGCCGCTCTTCGATCGCCGTCATGGCCGTGTCGATAAGGTGCCCCCACGGTGTCACTCCCAGCCAGGTGATGAATCTGTTGCTGAGAAACAGCACATGAAACCAGCGGAAGAACCCGGCGATGGAGACATAGGCCGCTTGAGGGTGTGTGTTGGCGATGGTGTTGTTGATGTCTTTGCCCTCTCTCAGAAAGCCGAACTGCTTGGAAAAGATGACCTCGCCGATGACGTCCGAGGTGGCAAAGGTGAAGAACTTGTCGAGATCGATGGGCTTCTTGGAAGAGCTGAACTTGTCGAGCCAGTCAAAGAGGAGCTCGAGGGTGTTGCCGATGGCTTCTTCGGAGCGGAGAAGGTTGGGAAGGGTGTATGCTGGGGCGAGATGGCGAGACAGTTCGTTTTTGACGGCAGGATCAGTAGCTGACATGGGGTTTTGGAAACGCCCATCGGGGAAGGCAATCACTTTGTACCAAGGGGCTTTGTGTAGAAAAGGAGAAGCGAGGACTTTCTTGATCGCGTCAGGATGGCTGATGCTGACTTCATTCGGAGCGATACGGACAAAGTGACCTTCAGATATCTATCAGCTGTTTGCTTTTTGTACAGCCAGTAGTGCGGAACACCCACCATGCTTGTCATGCAGCCTGATGAGCTCTAAGTTTTGGTCGCCCTTGAGAATGTGAAGGACGTGCCATATTCTGGTGAAGCTGGCCGTGAATGGGCCGGGAATATCGCTGATTGGAGAGCAGTATCGCCGCCAGAAGAGCAATGTGAGGAGCAGAGTACCAACCAGACTGGCCAACTGAGAGAGGCTCAGGCCCAAAAGGGCGAATAACCCTGTCATGTTCGACGTCACTTCAGAATACGCCCCGATGCTCTGGAACTGTGGCTGGCACAGGAATGCAGTAGGATGTCGGTAACACTCGGACTTGGGGAAGCCAAAGTGAGAGAAATCCTCTTGCAAGAATTTCCCCTCTTTTTGACCAACAGTGAGATCGCTTGTGGGCTTGCAGAGAACTTGTGATGGCAGGGGTGAGATTCCCCCTCTGTCGGCGGGGCTAAACCGAACAAAAACCGACAGGACGGCCAAGAAATATTCATGGATTCTGAATGGAAGCTTCATCTGCTCGATTTCTTTGGAGGCATAGCCATAGATATGTGGACTCGAGTCAATACATCAACACAGAAAAGATTGGCAGTGCGTGTTTTTTCTGCTTTTTCAACCCTCTATAATAGAGGTACTTATCACTCTTATCGGTTCTTATCGCCCCTCTTACCCCCTGAAGCCCCCTTTCCGCCCTTTCCTTTCCATGTCTCTTTGATCAAGTCGGCAGCCTATAAATGTTTCAACACATGAAATCAGTTTCCGGGCAAGAGGCAATATGTGAATATGAGAGTACCACAAAACCTACCTTCTCCCCAATCACATAAACCGTCAATTGCGTCGTGCCCCCCGGCAAAATCGGGATAACACTCGCGTCCGCCACCCTCAATCCCCTGGTCCCATACACCCTCAGCTCATCATCCACAACCCCACCCAACTCCCTCCTCATCTTGGCCGCCGTCCCAACAGGGTGCCACGCTTGCGGTATGTAGTTCGCCCTGATATACCCCGCCAAATCCTCCCTGCTTGTCACCTTGGCGCCCGGCGCCGTCTCGACAGCGCGATATCCCGCTAATGGGCCCTCGGGACCGAAGAAGCGGCGGTAGAACTCGAGGTAGGCGATCATGAGGTCAGTATCGACGGGGTTGGTCAAGGCGCGGTAGTCGACCACTGGGTCTGGGGCGTCAATGTTGTCGGGGTCGACCGAGACGGTACCGCGGGAGGTGGGGTGGAAGTTGATGGGGTTGGCGCCGGGGGCGGTACCATACCCGATTACCCAGTGGAGGAAGGAGAGGGAGCCGGGGGCCGAGGAGAGCATTTGCTCCGCGAGGAGGTTGTTTTGGGCTTTGTAGCCGCGGAGAACGGAGCTGTCTGTGCCTGGTGCTGCGAAAGAAGCTGGATCCTGGCGAGCGAGGGAAGAGGCGATGGCGGGAAAGGCAGATGGTGCCGCGACGGGGAGTGGAAGATCTGCCACCAGACCTTGACCTTGTCCTTCGCTGGGCGGGAGATGGGTCGAGTTCGAGGTAGGTGGTGGGGGTGGTTTTGTAAAGTTGAACCGAATAGGGGGTCCGATTGGGTGATCTTGAAAGTTCGCACCCACCCCAGGTAGGCTGACCTTAACAGGGATTTTGGCCTTCTTTAAGAGCATGCGTGGACCTACTCCGCTCAGTTGCAGAAGCAGAGGCGTATGGATCGCTCCTGTCGATATCACAACTTCTTTGTTGGCCTTCACAGTAACTCTCTTTTCTGTGTCTGTCAAGATGCACTCGACTCCAGTTGCCGCGTTCTCCTTACCACTCAGGACTATCTTGGTAGCCCGTGCGCTTGTCAAAATGTCATAATTTGGCCTGTTCAGACCATCCCAATGGCCAGTTCTCGAATAGGAACGCTGTCGGGTCTTTGGATCCACTGATAATGGATAGTAAAACACTCCATGGTTGCCGGCGTGTCCGTCCGCTGGGAATGGAATTCCTGGCGTTTGGATGAGACCGTCGTAAATTGTTTCTATGCACCAATCTCATGTTAGTGTCTGTCCTACTATGAAGGTGAAGGCCCTTCAATGTTTTAAAAACATACTGATCGCAGGATTAAGACCGCCTGGGAACGATGCGTAGAGGCGGGTGTCATTATACTGTCCCCAAGCCTGAATGTCATACGTAATGTTGAAGTCCGCGGCAAGTACCGGGTTCGGGGGAACAAAATGGATTGCCTGTTGTCGTCAGTACATGGCACTCATCTCGTGACGGAAGGTGAAGAGGCTAGGTGCCTTCTTGAAGTAAGGGAGCAATTCTTTCCAGCTCCAATTCGAGCCATTGTTTCCCAACTGATCCCAGATGCCATAGTCCTTTACAGTGCCACGCATCACAGCCATACCGTTGACAGCTGAGCTGCCGCCCACGCCAAAGCCCATGCCCAGCGGTATGGTTCTGTTGTTTAGACCTATTTGTGGAACAGACGTGAGATTGTACAAATGCGCAGTTTGACGGTCGCCATTGGGGTCGGATGGATTCCCTTCCAATGCAAGTCAGTACTCCCGAACAAGTAAATGAAAATGAAGTTGGCAACCTACAGAACCTTCCATGTTCGATCACCAGGACAGAGTCTGTTTACAATGAATTAGCATTTTGACACATAAAGCAAGGTATCCGACGCGTACATTCTGGCAGCTCAGTCAGACGATCTGCAATTGTAAGGCCAGCGGTTCCAGCCCCAACTACGATGTAGTCGTATGAATCTCTTAGTTCTTCGGGAGTTTGAACATGCCTCGCCCTGAGCACCGAGTCTGGGACCGCCACTGCAACAGGCAGGATCCTCGTTATCAGGGAAAGGGCAGCCACGACAAGAGAGATGTTGAATTTACGTGCCATCATCACTGACCGTACGAAAGCAACATAGTTGAAGACACGATTTAGACAGAACAACGCAAAGGACTTGGGCGGGGTCATGATTTGAACTTGACTTACCTGACCTTGTTTCATTGCCAAGAGACAGCTGCGTCGGTGCAAGAGACGTAATGATTGTAGGTGACACAAGATGCGAGTAAGACGCCCAAATTACCATTCCTCCAATTAGTTGCTAGTATTGCTGTGTCTAATGCATCCATTGTCACGTTGGCTGCATGTGGACCGTGAAGGATTCAAGCTCTACCGGCATACATCACCACAATACCCCTGAACAACTACCACTATTGGTAGAGTAATTAATGCAACGAAGTGAAACGACAGGCAAGAACGAACTCAGTTCCATGATATTAACACTAGGTATCACCACCGACTCCCACAAAACTCCTTACTATCGTACAACTTGGTTGGCAAACTCTTGCAGAAAAGGAAAACGGAGAAATCTAGTAGGCCACCTGGCTGTGGAGGCCATCCAGCTCTCTGGCCCAGCACCTGTGCTGGGCAATGTTGTGGAAGAACTTCTCCATAAAACCAGCACCGGCCTTGACGATGTCCACCGCCTCACTCAAGCTTCCTGGCTTGGTCTCACGCATAGTCACGACACCATAGCTGTCCTGGACCTCGGCACTCTCCGAGACACTAACAGCTGGCAGGCCGATGGCCTTGTTGACCAAGTCGACAGCTTCGCCTGTGGCTCCAATAGCCTTGAGATGACCAAAGGCCTCCCTGATCCAATGCAGAGCTCTGCCGTTCTTGGACAGAGCGCGAATGGAATCAACACCGCCGGGAATGAAGATGGCGTCCACCATGGTGGAGCGGAAGCCTTCCAAGTGATGATGAGGTGTGGTGCTACCAGCTCCACCGGCGGCAACAATCTTGCTTCTCTTGGTTCCGATAACCAATGGGATGGCCAAGCCAGCCGAGATAGCAGCGTACGCAGCTGAGTAGGCGACCTGATCGTACCCATCGGCAACCAAGATGGCGATTCTCCGGGACGCAATGGTAGGCTTTGATCCGGGGAACTCTGTTTGGCTCAAGCCTGGTGCCTTGCGGCCGTGGTTGGGACGGCTGGCCTCCTTGGGGGGCTCACCACCAACCATCTCGGCGACTGTCTGGGCGAGACCCAAGTCGATATCGGCCAATCGCGTCACCATGCGCTCGTACACGACAGGATCCTCACAGTGGTCAAGCTCGAATCCGAGGGCGTTGATGATGTGGTTCTTCTCAACCGCCGACATACTGTTCCAGAACAGTTGCGCCTGAGCAAAATGCTCCTTGAACTTGGCACTGCGGGCGCGGGCCTTGATGCCGGCAACCTTCTCAGCGTATTCAACATACCCGCCTTCCTCGTGAGTAGCAGGCTTGACCTTCTCAAACCGGTTGGGCCAGTAGTTGACGGTGCCTTTGGTGATGGTGTGGCGCATAGCACCATCGCGGTTGAAGTTCATGACGGGGCATACTGGGCGGTTGATGGGAAGCTCCTGCCAGTTGATACCCAGACGGCTCAATTGTGTATCGAAATAGCTGAAGTTGCGGCCTTGGAGAAGAGGGTCATCGGAGAAGCCAATACCGGGGACGATGTGGCTTGTGCAGAATGCAACCTGCTCAGTCTGTGGGAAGAACTCGTCTGGGTTGCGGTTGAGCTCGAACTCGCCAATGTAACGCACAGGTACCAGATCCTCGGGCCAGATCTTGGTAGCATCCAAAATGTCGAAGTCGAACTTGTGCTCATCAGCTTCAGGGATCACCTGAATACCGAACTTCCACTTGGGGAAGACACCGTTCTCGATGGCCTCCCACAGGTCCTTGCGGTGGAAGTCTGGATCCTGGCCGGCAAGCTTGAGGGCCTCGTCCCAAATAAGAGAGTGCACGCCGAGTTCCGGGGTGAAGATGAACTTGACAAAGTGACGCTCTCCCTTGGCGTTGATGAGCGTGAAGGTGTTGACGCCAAATCCTTGCATCATGCGGTACGAACGAGGAATACCTCTGTCGCTCATCTAACGGGCCCGGCATGTTAGCTCTCCAGTCACGTCAACAGAGCCATCAGGTCACAACTTACCGCCCACATGAACATGTGCGTCGCCTCGGTGTGGTTGTACTGGAAATCCCAGAAGTTGTTATGGGCTGTCTGGGCTTGGGGAACCTCGTTGTGTGGCTCGGGTTTGCCAGCATGGATGACATCGGGAAACTTGATGGCGTCCTGAATGAAGAACACGGGAATATTGTTGGCGACAATATCCCAGTTTCCTTCCTGTGTGTAGAACTTGATCGCAAAACCTCGCACATCGCGAACGGTATCAGCGCTGCCACGGCTACCGAGCACTGTCGAAAACCGGATAAAAATGGGCGTCTCGCGCGATGTGTCGGTAAGGATTGGAGCAAAAGTGACATCCTCGGCACTCTCGAAGAGCTTGAACTTGCCGAAGGCACCGCTGCCACGGGCATGGACGACGCGCTCTGGGATTCTTTCGTGGTCGAACCTGTGGATCTGTCCAGGTGTCAGTTGTGAGTTGGCAAGAAGTGAGCCATAAAAAAACATACTCTCTCGCGAGCAAAGGGGTCTTCCAACAGCATGGGACCAGTCTTGTCGTTGTTGACGATCTTGAGCCAGTCATCGGCAGAGGTCTGCTTGACACCATAGTCTGTTGTGAGGCGGGCCTTGTCTGACATCTCCTTGGTCTCCTTCTGAAGGTCGGCGACCTTGTCACCCCCTCGGGGCCCAAGAACGGCGTGCTGTACTTTCTCCATGGAGGGCAAATAACTGGCCATACAACGTGTTGGTCGAGCTGGAGTTGTGTGCAATTGGTGGGCGAGGGTACTGAGAGTTGGTGCTCGGTAGCGCTGATAGGATTCGGGATGGAAAATAGAATCAGTATACTACAAGAATTCCATTGATAGAAACAATGGCATCTGGGGAAGCTGCTATAAAGGTGCGGTTTGGGGCAGCCGGCACTTCAATGTCCATGACGTCAAAGAAGACGGAGGACCAGTCGCGTCAGCGGGGTATTCACCCCGGTGGGAGATTGCAATGGCCATGATTGGATGCATGCTCTGGCATTCCCATCTGAAAACATCTCGATGAGCCTCCCAGTCACGATCGTCCCGACTTTATTGCTCATCCAGAGCTTGTTGCACTTGCTGCAAATGGTCAAATGTGGATGCAAAGCCGCGACTTCAGAGTCTCTGATGTCATGCAGCCCAAATAGCTCCGTCTGGCCTTGATTGGCCAACCAAGCACAACCCTGATGCCCTGGAACCCCCGCCCCCACCTTCTAAGAAGCCAAGATCACACCCGAAAGGGAATTTCATTTTGAAGTCCAGGCAACATCCATTAGAGATTAACCGTTTGTTCATTATTACATGCATGGACATAAACTTCTAAAATAACGCCCTTGAAGTATACAGCCCCCCTCAACTCACTTAGCAACGTCTTCCATACCCTCCATAACCACCATGATGTCGCCCGCCCATCCTCGGCCCTGAACCCATCATGACAGGCCCATGTCTTCTTCGACCGCCCCCCATCATTCCACCAAACCCTCCTCCGCCGCCATAACCATGTCCTCCCCCGCAGCCGTTTTGGACTACCACTGGTCTGGGTCCTGCGCCATAGGCACCCCCGTAGCGACGGGATGATTTAGATCCGAAACCGAAGCACATGGTGTTTTGACTTGTGAATGTTGCAGCTTAAGGTAAGTATGCTGACAGTTGGTGGTCTGATGTTGACTTGTGGCAGTAGACGTTGATGTGTGTTTTGAATTCTGGTCTTTGATCTTTTGGATGGAAATCGTGTGCGTGACAACTTGGTTGAGGTTGAATGTTCTGTGATGAGCCCGTTGATGTGTTTGATGAGAACCTTCAACTGTTCATGTCTTGACAGACTTTATATCCCCAAGTCTTCAGCGTTTGTCTGGCTGGCGTCGTCATCGCTTCAACCATATCTCAAGAGTCAGATGGTGAGGACGCAAGCCAAGCTAAACTGTTATCACTCTCAACTTGGCATGATGTCAGTCCAGCCTTTGAGCCTCTGTGAGATAGCGAATGCCAGCTTCGAAATGTGGGGTTCAGGGTGAAACAAGCTTCACGCTCGTCCCGGTAGGGACTTGGGACGCGACGACAAAGCCGACAAACCAAGGAGAACCAATCGCCACCCTTGCCGAATTCCGGTCTATTCGTGTCTATTTCGTTTTATCACCGGATGCAAGTGCCGTTGCCAACAGCTGGTCGGTAACCAACTTAGCCTTGTGCGCGAAGCCCATCAAGTCATCACCATACTTTTCTTTAAACTTGCCATCAAACACCTCTACACTGACCCAGCCCCTAAAACCTGTTCTGAGCACTGCTTCTGCGAACTCCACGATTGGGAGGTATCCCCCGTCATATCTTTGGTTCTCAATCAGCTCCAGTACACGCCAAGTGTTGAGTCGTGGAACGGAACTTACGGCAGGGGTCTCCAGTCGTGGCTCCATCTCCCTCTAGGTCTCAGGCCTTGTTCTACCACATCTGCCAGCGGCTCATCCATCTTGTATGCGTCACTTATCTGCAGGAAATAGATCTTATCTGACGGGACCGTGCGCGACAGCTCTTCAAGACTGTCCTTATACCGCACGGTGAGGTCTGCAGCCGAGACCCCTTCAATGAGACGTGACGCTGTAGTTGGATCTCCCCATTCCCCACCAGCTGTCTGGAATGTATCTAGACACAGTCCAATGTTGGGCCGATCAACCATCTTGACAATTTCCCAAACCTCCTTCCATGTGGGAGCCCGTGTTGCCCAGCACCAATTCTCATAAGCAAGTTTGAAGCCGTGTGGTGCAAGCATATCGGCCAGCTCCCGGAGGTCCGCTGCCAGATCCGAAAAGGAGGATGAGATGCCCGCCGAGTCGGACGAACCAACTTGGAGCATGTCAATGCCTGTGGCATCCATGATTCTGATCCAGCCTTTCGCGCGAGCAAACGCGTCCTGACGCTCACGGCTTCCAGCGGGCCAGCCTTCAAAGTTTGCAAAGGGTTGGAGGACCATGATGACAAGTTCGTGGCGGCTGCAGAGATCCTTTACTGCCTTTGCTGCCTCACAGAGGGTACCGTAATCGTCCTCGGCGACATCGCGGCCAAAGTGCAGCGTAGCGTATGAGAGCAAGTCTGGGAAGGAGAGTTCTATGCCTTGAAAGCCGGCTGCGCGGATGGCTTCGATCTTTTGGTGCAGTGTGTGTTTTGGCAAGCCGATGGAGCATGATGCGAAGGCGAGGGGAACCTGTGTTGTCGACATCGTCATTCGTTCGGATACTTGGGCGGGATTTCGATATTGGGCGAACAGAGGTGGTAAAGTGAGGCCACAAAATCACCTTTTAGGAGACTTTCGAGAAAGTCGTGACTTCGATGATGTCAGCGTTACTCGACACCACCCCACACCATCACCCTTCAACCAATCCCGACAATTGATCAACAAATGCAAAGAAGAGGTCGAGCCATCATCGAAAAAGATATATCATGAGCATCATCACACAAAATGCCGACTCTAAAGAAACTTGGTTCATCTCTCGCCATCCCATGACAATGCCGAGCAACTCTCCACCTCACCGACACGGGCAAAGACAGATATTTTGTAAGCATCACCATGGATGTCAACAAAATTGGAATGATAGGCACAGGCTCCATGGGGGGCATGATGTCTCTCCTCCCAGCCGACCACAACATCCACGCGCACTTCTACGACCCCGACCGCCCTAACGTCAAGAAGCTTCTCTCTCAAGCAGCCGGCACAAACCACTCAGACAAAATAACCCATCATGAAGTCCACAAGTCTCTCTGTTCGGCTCTCCCTTCCGACTCCCCCAAGGTCTTCATATTTTCCATCCCCCACGGTGGAGCCAGATGCCAGCATTTCTGACTTATCCCCGTTCCTCAAGAAGGGCGATATCATCATGGATGCCTAAAATGAGGACTACCGCGCCACCGAGCGCAGACAGGAGGAGCTCAAGAGGATCGGGGTGCATTACATTGGTATGGGTGTGTCTGGAGCGTACCAGTCCGCAAGGCAGGGCCCAAATATATCTCCGGGATGAGCTGATCAGGCGCTGGACGTTGTGATGCCATTCCTGGAGAAAATAGCGACAAAGGATGGGAAGAGAAGACCATGTGTGAAGAAGCTGGGGCCGGGCGGGACTGGGCACTACGTCAAAATGGTTCACAATGGAATCGAGCACGGGATGATGACGGCGTTTTCTGAGGCTTGGGAAGTCATGATCACGGGGCTCGGCATGAGTTACGATGAGGTGGGCGACGTCTTCGAAAATGAAACGATAATGGTCCCTTGAGAGGGAACTTTCTGGTTGACATTGGCGCTCAAGTGTGTAAGATGAAAGGAAAGTGTGGCGAGCATGTACTGGGGGATTTCAATGACAAGGTCATACAGGACCTCGACAATTCCGAGGGGACTGGGACGTGGGCTGCTGAGGAAGGAATTCGATTGCATGTGGTGCACCCGACGATAGCTCTGTCTCGCATCTTTCGTGCGGCATTGACTGATGCGGCCAAGAGAGAAAGCATCAAAAAGGCACTGGGCGGAGGTGTTCAGCCAGGCAAAATCAACGGCATTGTGGGTAGGAAGAAGTTCGTGCAGGAGGACGTCCAGCAGGCGGTGCATGCCTCGTTATTGATGTCTTTCATTCAGGGGCTACACATGCTGTCAAGGGCGAGTCAGGAAAATGGATGGAACATCAACTTCCTAGATGTTCTGCAGGTCTGGAGGGCTGGGTGCATCATTCAGAGCGATGGTATTGTTGATTTCCTTGAAGGCGTCTACAAGACCGGCAAGTTGGACCATGATAACCTACTTGCTTCCACGAGTGTGGCCGAAGAGCTTCAACGAGATTATCCGGGACTTGAAGCAGCGGTATGGCGAGCAATTGAGGCAGACCTTCACGTGCCAGCGTTGAGCGCCAGCCTAGAATACTTCAAGTACTCAAGCTCCACTAGTCTTCCAAACCAGTTCGGTAGGTTTAATTTTTGATACGTATCTTAACCCATGCTAACTAACAGGCGCCTTACGGAGGAAGCCGAATTGGATTACTTTGGGGCTCACATGTTCAACCTCAGGTTCGAGGGTCCAGGAAAGCCCGAGACTGGCAGTCATCATTTTGAGTGGAAGGGGGCTAAAGGCAGTCAGGAGACGTAGTTCCATGTTCAGATCGACCTTGTTCAGTTCATTAAGTGCCGTCAACCAACCTAGTGACTTCGCCGCGCCTTGGCCGCTCCTTGGCTGAGCTGAAATATTATCAGACCGAAGTTGGGTCTGAACAGACAATGTTTACAATGGCTGAAGTACGACGAGAACCGTCGTTATGTAATGTATTGGAATCTATGTACCTACGGTGCCACCTGATGTGACTGATAGGTATTCCATCATTGTTAGAATAACCCGCCGGACAAAGCTAGTGGACTCGATGAAAGAGCCACTTTGCAGCGGTGAAGAGACTTGACCCTGCAGCTCCATCTTGTGAACTACTTGAGGGCCCTGGGGTGGGTTTGGGCGGACCCTCTTTGATGAAACCTCGAGTCCTAAACTACATGACACTCAAGCAGGCACTGACGAATTACACCGCACTATGTCCACGGAATGCATTGCGCTTACTCCTTCGTGTGTCTGTCCCGGCAAAAGCAATCCTTTTCAAGTTGAAAACAGGGGCTGGGGGTGATGGAGTCTTGCTACTACTCTCAGCAGCCAGCTGAGAGTGAGACAAATCCGGACTCGGTGGTGGAATGTCGGCCTTTTCGTCTCTCCTTGCCGAGAGAGTGAAAAAGTCACGGATAAAGCTGTGGTCCAGTTTCCGAGGCCGCCTGTCCTCAGTCCAGTACCGCTCTTCACTGAGCTCCTTGGACAGATGCTGTCTGAAGAACCGATCCTGCGATACCCACCACGTCCGCCAGAGAATAAAGATAATAAAGGTGAGTGGGAGCGCAAGGGCCCAGTAAAGCCAAAATCGTTCTGGCGTTTCGGGCAGCCTATCGCCATCGTATTCCTCGTCATTCCATTTTTCAAACATGGCCATGCCAAGGAGGCTGGCGATAAAATCACCCGGAAGGAACAGGGCTGTGATAACAGCTAGTGCTTTGAGGGAAGAGGAATCTCGAGTCGAGGTAACTGCCATGCGAGCTGTCAAGATATTGTCTTCCTGCTGCATCTTGGCATAGATCTGAAACGCTCCATTAGCACGTTTGGTCAACCATTAGAGCAGAGCAGACTCACAATATCGATCTGAGATTTGCATCGAACTTCCAACATGTGTCGTTCAGTTTCCAGGCTCTTGCACAGCTGCTGCAGACTCTCGAGGTACTGCCTGATCTCATGCCAATGGGCTGACATTGGATCCTCAATGATGCGGGCACGAGCAAGACCTGTTACCGTCCGTCCAGATGCCGAGATCAAAGCGCCCTGAAGGTCGGGGCTGTCAATGTCATTCTCACTCTCGTACCTCACTTCTTCTAGCTCGTCACCTGCCCGCAAAATAACACCAACTGCCCTATCCATCCAGGTGATTGTGTCCAGCAGCTTGATAGACTTCTTGAAGGCGTCGTGTGCGTTCTTCATAAGTTCAGTGGGCCGCTTTGGATGACTGTACCCGCCGGTTGCACCTGAACTGGTCGAATTCGACCGGCTCTTTGGGCGGGAGTCGATCGTTTCGAACCCAGCCATGCGTTCAACATCTTGCTCCACCTTGGAGATGTCCTTCTCATTCTCAGCCACGGCGCGCTCAGAGAGCAAAAACTGCATCTGGAGCAAAACAACGGGCGTGACCAATGGGTGGGCCCAATGGGGTTTGCAGGCCTGCATTCGTTCGCCATACTGCTCCAAGTCATCCACATCATGAATGTGCGGGTCATAGGACTGGCGCAAGAGCATTGTCGCCGTTCGGTCGGGGATGCTGTATGTGAAAGACATAAAGTCGTAGGCTGGCCGCGGCTCTGTGGAGAAGCAGAGGATGATGCTAAGCTTCTCGTGACGCTGATCCCAAAAAGTGGACTCGGTCGTGGTCCGGCGGAGATATTGGATTGTCGACGGGTGTAGTTTGAGGGCTTCGTAGTCAGCACGTGTGAGGTTCAGACCGTCGAGCGCGCCCTTTTCATCGGAGCTATAGTTCAGTCTGCGCCGCGCTATCACCTGCCTCACACGGCCTCGAAGTGCTGGATGTACGTGGTCGCCCTGGAGCACAAACTCGCCATCTCGGTCCACAGCATGGTTTTGTCGCAGAGCAAGCTCAAACATTCCACGCCCCTCCCAGTCCTCGGACAAGGCACACCGGCTCACCTCGCCGGCAGAAGACCCCGCCGAGGTTGGCTGGAACTGCTGGATGCGTGGTCTGGTGAAGGCAGCATACTCGTGGTAGGTAAGCTTTGGCGCGCCTTCGTGCACCAGGATGTCACTTTCAAGGGCGTCGGTATCGTAATAAAACATGGCTGTGTGCCGTCGCTTCCGTGTGCCGAGAGAGTTGCCCAGAACTTGGGAGCGTCAACCAACGCGTCGCCGGCGGTGTTTTCAAGCATGTTCAAATCTTTGTGGCGGTGAGATGCCCAGACTTCCACGTGGACATCCATGACAACCCACCCTTGGAAAAGGAGGGGTCGGACGGTGATGATCAAATCCACACTTCCAAGGCCGTGGCAGAAAACAAATGGCTGGATCAAAAGACTTTTTTCCATAGCCAATCGTTGGCAAGGCGTCGTTGACGAATACCCCACAGAATCCCCACAAGGAGCCGCATCAACCCGTGGCGCTACATCATTTTGGGATGATAGTCCATAATTGCTGTTTTCAGCCTGAACAACTGTCTTCACAACATTCACAAACTCATGAGAATTCATAATTAAGGTGCTGAGGCAAGCTTGACAAGCTTTTAGCAACAAGGATCGCTTTCTTGGCGGAGGACGATACATGGAAGCTTCAATGTTGTTCATCTGTCCCCAGAAAGGAAACCTGGAAGCTTGGAAGCTGAGATCTTCACCCATCAACGAGAATGATGTTTTCCCTTAGGGCTCAAGCCACAACAGTGTCCAATTTCCAATTTCCTTTTTTGGAGTCTTCGATGGGCTGGATGGCCTCACACTGTGGCTTTGGGTGTTGCTCAAAAGTCAAGGCATACCAAACGGAGACGGGTGTAATCTAGTAGGCTTTTAATCCGTCCCCGATGCTTTTCACCACGCTTTCCCATAGAGCAGAGCGGGTACGAACAGTCCAATAGCTATTTGACCTGTCTTGTAGATAAGTGAACTGCCTCGAAGTATTTGTTTGCACTTTACCACTTGATATACATATAGATAGGTAATCTAATCGACCACGCCTTGACTCCTCGCAGTGAAACCTTGACCCTATCATCTCACTCTGTCCTTATTCCTTTAGGTACTTTATACCAAAGCGTGCAAACTCAATCATGACAACCGAATCTAACCATATCGGCGCCGAAGCCATGATCGCTCTTGTTGGGGTCTGTTTGGCGGTGCCAGCAGGAGCTGTGGCCCTTTGGAAATGTGTCAAACGATTCAGGAAAGGACCCCGTCAGGGAAACTGCGAAGGTAGGAAACACTATCTCCTACTTCAATTGTGGCCACGGCGTGTTGAATCTTCTGTCATTGCAGTAGGGTATAGTTCCGTTCGCTCTCCTTCCTGCCCTTCTCCAGTTGATCAACAGTGCCACCGTTCAGCATGCCAAGTGCGGCCAAACTTCACCCGAACGACGATACATTTACATTATCATTGTGCCCTACCACCCACACCTGCGCAGAAGAAGCTGGCATAAGCAATCATCCCTCTCAGTGATTAACGTCTCAGCGATTCAAATCAGATAGGTATTCCATTTTCTAATCATGTAGGTATGTTGTACGGCAGCGAAGATCTTGATAATTGTTGTTGTTCTTAAGTACAAGTTAATCAGCTCCAGAGAGCAACACCTTTTCCATATCCTTTGCATGTGGACCTCAGGGCCAAAGCCCTAAACACCTGACTGCCAACCCACAGGAATATTGCTCCCACAAGGTACTTGTTCATGTATGATGCCCTTTCAGCAAACAGCCACGGTCATCTTTTCCCCAGACCATTTCTGCCCACATGTCTCCACCTCACCCTTGACAACGTCTTGGACCCCTGAACCCCTGAACCAACCAAAATACGATATAAAGTTTGCTCACGCAATCCTCCTCCAAGCAGGCTCCCTCTTTTCCACCTCTTCCCCCTCCCTCCTCCTCAACCCGCTATCCAGCTTCGGCAGATACGGACTCGTCTTGGCATATCGCCTCCACGCATCGCAATTCGGCACCAGCTGATCCAACGGCATCATCCTCTTGATCTCATCCTTCCTCTCCAAGAACTGCACCCCCAGACCCATAGCCACATGCCACCCGATATGGCAATGCATCAGCCACACACCAGGGTTATCAGTCTTGTACCCAATCACCAGCCAGCTATTCCCCGGCATCTGCACCACGTCTCGTCGAATGGGGTTGTTGAACGTGAGCTGGCTTTTCATCGTGTTGATGTTGAAGGTACCCGACCCGATGCCAAGGGTGAGAAAGTCGTGGCCGTGGAGGTGGATGGGATGGGGCAAGGCGAAGTCGTTTTGGATGACCCAAAAGACCCACTGGTCGGCTTGGGGGACGTCGATGAGGTTTGCCGCTCCCGGCCAGGAGCTGTTGTTCTCGAGGACGTACTCGAGGATGGGGTGGTCCCACTCGATGTTGATGGGGGTGTTCTTGACGCGCCACTCAAACACCTGGCCCCGGCCGTGGTTGGGGAACTCGAGGGTGACGGGGAGGGTTCCGACCGCGGAGCCGGCAAAGGCGGTGGAGGGCACGGTGCGGGTGAGGATGGGAGAGAAGCCGGTCTCGCCGTTGCAGGTGGCGACACGGGAAGTGCCGCGGTTCGTCGGGAGGGCGGTGGTGCTCGCGCCTTGGTAGCTGATAATGGCGGCCGGGAAAAGATTACGGGATCGACCGCAGTTGTTGTTGGCTTCGAGAGTGGCATTAAGCCAGTAGTTGCCCACAGCTTGGTTGGCCTCGATGATGACATCGTAGCGCTGGCCCACGGCCATGAAAAGGGAAGAGCGCACGACTGGATTGACTGGAACAAGGTCGTTCGTAATCACGGTGAAGTTGTGGCCTACGAGAGAGATAACAAAGGAGTTGTCGACACTGGCATTGATGAGGCGGAGAAGATGTTTCTTGCCGGGGGTGAGAGTGAGACGGTCGTAAGAGCCCCCACGGCTTGCGCCAAGTGGATGAATGTTCTTGCCTCTGAAGAGGATATTGTCGCTGTCAGGAGGAGGGCCATTGCTGACCAACTCGGCTCGCAGGTGAAGTCGATCAGCAGTTTCGTGATAGTAGTCATTGATCATGTAAGGGCCGAGGTCGATGTCATAGTTGGCCGCTGCAGGGCCACGCACGATCAAGGGTCCTACAACACCATTACCATATTGGTTGGAATAATGGCTGTGATACCACGAGGTGCCATATTGGGTGACGTGGAAATCATATGTCTTCATGGATCCAGGTGGGATAGGACACTCGGTCACTCCGTTGGCACCATCCTGGTTACTTTCGCCGTACTGGCGAATTCCATGCCAATGAATAGACGTTCTGTTCACGAGTCAGAAATTAATACAACTGCCATTGACGGTAAGTATATCGTACCCGTTGTCTTGCATGTCATTGTACACATTGACAATGATATAGTCACCCCAATCAGCTTCAATCGTGGGTCCAGGGAATTGGTCTGCCAGCATGTTAGAAAGCGACATCAGACAAGAGTGAATGGATGATAACGTGCTATTGATGAGCATCGCTGGTTTCCTGACACCATCCGGACCAAGCCAATTTGTGACATTGGTGATGTGAAAGTCGTACTATACAAAGTATGAGTTCAAGTCAAAAGTTCGGGATAAGATGAGGGGACCACCTACCACTCGGTTGTTAAATGCTGGTGGGTTGATGTTGTCATAATCTGTGCTGATGTTCCAGTTATTCTTCCAACACCGTCGATTTGTGGCATTATTTTGCCCGCATGGCTTGCCTCCGGGTATGATGGTCTGCCGGGGGAGGAGGTGTATGACTGGAGAGGGTGCTGGTGAAGCCACAACTAGTGCAGCAGTGGCCAGCAATACTGCCGAAACTTTGGTGAGCCCCAACATGATGATGGACTTGAAGAAGGCAAAGGTTTTGATAAAGTAGGTAGGTAGACAAGAGGGTCAGGAGAACCATGGTGGTGAAGGAGCCCAGATTTATACCTGTTCCCTTTACGATGCGGCACGGACAGGCGGTGCTACTGGCCTACCTTCACAGCATGATCGGATGCACAGAACACCATAGTATCTTGTCTCGTTTCCGTCTTGCATCCCAAGATAGTACCCCCAATGTTCTCGGTACTGCATGTTTACGGCCTCTGGCTTGAAACCAAGTCCGAAGTTCGCAGCCCACTTGTCAGAGACGGGATTTTAGGACAGGGGGATGCAGATCCCAGTCTGCTTGTGAGCCTTGGCTGCTTTTCCGTTAGTCCACCACATGACGCATGTCAGAGCATGAACTATCTCTCACAACTTGTTGGTGATGGTGAAGTGGGCAGCCGGCCCGGTAAGACGGTCCGAGTCCATGGTTAGCTGAGGGACCCTGACTTTGATGGAAAATACGGGCCTATGAAAGCGTGTCACAAGCGAGAATAAGGTAAAAGGTAACAAGCCACAATGCAAGACGAGCAGCAATAGTCTGCCTCGAGTTTGTGAGGCTGAGGGAACCCGTCTCTTCTCTGCATGGAACTACCAGGGGGTCAGCATCAGCTTGGTTCGAGGAGGACTGATAGGATGCGCCAACGCATTCCAGTCCATGTACAACCGGCACCGTAGAGTGTGTTTGGGTCCCGGAAAGCCAAGATTGGACTACATATAGAGACCGGATGGTGCCGTGTGGGGGTCAGCCATTCCAGTCAAAGAAGACCTTCAGCGTGCTATCAACACTTGAGACGAATGCGCGGTTGCTCTGATAGTGGAGGCTCAAGGCAACCACTTCTGCCAGTCAAGCAGTGTTGACCATCTGATTACGACCTCATGAGAAGCGACGGTCCCGAGTGCAAGACAAAGTTGCCGTTACTATTTTTGGTCTTGATCAGGGCTACCGTAGGTAGGTGCGGGATGTCTGTCAATGACAGACAGATATGTGTTCCGAGGAAGTTGGCCAATCATGTGTAGTTGACAACTCGAAGCAAGTATTCGTAGCACCGGCTCTGCCGACAGTACTACCGTGGCTCGTGTTTCATTCATGTTCGCTTACGAACTACCTTCTCTCTGATGGGCAGGCAACACGGCATTTAGATTAATCGACGGGCAGACTGCAACAGCACGTTGTACGCCTAGTGCCAGAATTGGGAAGGTGTCAAATATGCATGGTGTGCGAATGCGACCGCTCTCCAGGCGTATT